TCCGGGCCATTGACTTCCCATACCAGAATAAATAAACCATATTGGTCTAGGCTCTGTTATTGCTACTTTTTGGACATTAAATGGATTTTGTTTCCATGTTGGTGCTGTTTCTGTTGCTGTTTTTTCTTCTTTTAATTTTTCTTCTTTATTATCAAGAATTATCCACCCACGAAATGGAGCGTCTTTGGATGGAAGGTCAGCCTTTGAAAAGAAAATTTTTTTGAAATAAATTTTTTTGAGTGAAATTTTTTAAAAGGTAAGATGACGTAATATAAAACGTCGAAATACCAAACTCCCCAAGAAACGCCAAAATAAAAAATGAGAATTGTTAGCAATCTTCACACATCGGTGAAAATGTGATTTAGTGGGTGGTTTTTTCCTATGGGTTTCCAGCGTGGTACAGCGTTTGGTATTACGGCGCGCTCCTCTTTTAGTGTTTTTGACCATTCTTTAGAAAAATAATTAGACTCAAAGAATTTATCGGCTAATTTTAAAATTAAAAAATCTTTCCAACCTGTGCAGCAATAAATTGATGAAGAAAGCTATTTTTACTATATTCATCTTTTATTCGTACAAAAATATTTTCCAAAGCTTCCTTTGTTCTACCAGCATAAAATAAGAGTCTGGGGAATTTGAGTTGTTCTACAGGCGTTTCTTCACATTTTGTGAGTTGTGGAGCTTTTAATATTAAATGAGTATTTGAACCACCAAAACCAAAAGAATTAACTCCAATAAATGAACCAGAAGGGAAAATTGTTTTTTCTGTTACGACTTTTAATGAGCCGTCTTTTAATCCTTCAATATACTCGTTTGGCTCGTTAAAATGCAAATTTGGTGGAATAACATTTCTGTGGATTGCGATAATTATCTAAAAAAGTAAAGATATTTTTTTGGGAAAAATAATTTTAAAAATACTTTAGCTAAAGAGCAAAGGCCAGAAGCTGGTTCAGCGTGTCCCATGTTTGATTTAACTGAGCCTATCAACAATGGAGTTGTTCTAAAAATTCAAGGAAAATTTAAAAAAATCTTTAAGATTCATAAAATAAATGTCAATCTCACATCCAACAATGGACCGACCGAAACCGAGATCAATTTTACATATATTATTTTGGTTTTCCTATTGCCTTTTTTTCATTCGAAGCAATTTTCGGATAGTTAGGGGCCGTCAAAATTGGGTATTTTTGGAGCTAAGTGCTCTCACGATGACAAAAAACAAAATACAGTCCGAATGGGTCCCTTGTCAGCCTTTTTATAGAAATCTCCAAACCTGTTCTGACAAAATGTTTGTGTAATAGCATAAGCCTCTTGTGGATCTCCAACTTTAGTTCCAGTCCCGTGAGTTTCCACATAAGCAACTGTAGATGGATCCAATTCAGCTTCACGATAAACTTCTTCCAACAAAACTGCTTGTCTATCCCCTCCAGGGAAAGTGATTCCTTGTTCTTTGTATCCATCAGTATTGCTTTTAGCATGAACAACACTAGCATAAATTCTTTTTGCAACCGAGCGGCGTTGAATTAATATTGCTGCGATTCCTTCAGTTCGGCAATAACCATCTCCAGATTGATCGAAAGAACGGCATGAACCTGCTGGACTTAACATTCCTAATTTGAGGAATTGTAAAGCTGCTGTAGGTGTTAATGTTAGATGAGCACCTGCAGAATTAAAGAAAATTAATGTAATAGATTAATAAATTTAAAAGATTCCACGTAAAACCTCAATGAAAACTTCAAAGAAAAATCGAACAAATCAGAGTCCCAATGAAAATTTTCATATAAACCTAACAAGGAAACTAATTTCTGATTCAAAAAAAAGTAAAAAAAAGTCGAAAACAAGTCGAAAACAGTTCGAAAAACAAGCCGAAACAGCCAACAAAAATTCAAAAATAAATTTTAACAAAAATGATAAAACGCCAAAAATTAAAATTTTAACGCCAAAATAATGGCAAATTTTTTAAATTTAAACTAGCTCAAATTACTTAATTCTCCTTCCTTAAAATTAAAAAAACTAACCAGCAACAATAGCAGCGTCACATTGTTCCTGTCTAATAGCATCAATAGCTAGCTGCATAGCCAAAAGAGAAGAAGAACAGGCAGTATCAACAGAAAAAGAAGGTCCACGAAGGTCGAAGGCAAAAGATAGTCGATTTGAAAACATTGAACGGACACATCCAGTTAAAGTATATCCTGTTACTATGTCTGGATCTTGTGTTAAGGCTCCTCCAGTTTCTGAGGCTGAACAGCCAACGAATACTCCAGTACGGGAGCCACGAAGTTCGACGGGGTTAACGCCTGTGTTTGGGGGATTTTTGAGATTTTAAAAATTTTTTGAAAATTTTTTTGAAATTTTCTAAGATTTTTAAACAATTTTAGACACTAAAAAATCCTCAATCTCCCTACCAGCATCCAACATTGCTTCAAAAGCCACTTCCAACAATATTCTCACTTGTGGGTCCATATAATTTGCCTGTTTTGGTGTAACACTAAAAAACTGAGCATCAAATTTATTTAATTCTTTGAGTTTTCCGTGACGTTTTGGAAGTCCGTAAAGGCCTAGAAATTATTTTTATTTTTCTTCAAATTTTTAAATTAACCAGGTGGCCATCTAAGGTCATCTTCTGTAACCAAATCTTCACCAGCCAAAAGTAAATCGCCAAATTGCTTTAAAAATAGGGAAAATTATTTTTTAATTCAAAAATTTGTTAAAAATTTCAAAAAAGAATTTAAAATTTTCCAAAAATTTCTAAAAATTTTCAAAAATTTTCAAAAATTTTTCTCTTTGCCCTACCTCCATATCATCACTTCTCGGAAATCGGCCACTAACACCACTAATAACAATTTCTTCCTGATCACGCCAAAAAGGACGTTGAGGATTGCCTGTATCTGAAGCAGGTCCTGCACTATTGTCATCTGTTCCACTCGGCATTATTAAATCGTTTGACTTTTTTGGTAGAAAAAATTTAAATTAGGTAATTAAAAATAATTTTTTTGGGAGAAAATTCTTTAAAAAATAAATTAAGAAAAAAAAGAATTTGTCAAATAAAATTTTTTAAAAACAACAAAAATTAAATAGGTATAATTACGTAAATTTTAAAATAAAATTAAAAACAGAAAAAAATTGGGGACAATTTTTTGGACGCGCGAAAATAATTTAAAAATAGAAAATACAACTGTTAAAATAATTTAAAAGGTAACGGAGAATATATTTAATTCAGAATTAAATTTGAAATCCGAATTTAAAAACACAATTAAAAAATACAGAAGAAACACAACAACAAACAAAAATACAATATGAAAATAAAATCAGAATTATTATAAGATTAAGTCCATTAATCATAATGGACTTAATTAAAATCAGAATAAAATAATAAACTTAGAAAATACAAACTTAGAAAATACAAAAATCAGAATTACAAAAACCAAAAACACAAAAATCAGAATAAAATAAAAAAATCAGAAACAAACGAAAATACAAAATAATAAAATTAAAAACACAAAAATCAGAAAAATTAAACCAGAATTACTACAAGTCGCAAAATACAAAATCAGAATAACCTTTTAAAAATCAGAAATAAAAATACAAAAATCAGAAATTCTGCAAATAAAATACATTTTTATTTTAAGTATTTATTTAACTACTAATTAATTTTTATTTGTCTTTTCATTGAATAAAATATTTTTTTAAAAATAAAATTTACAAGGTTTCCTTTTTTGAAATAAAATTGCATTTTTGATTTCATCAAACACCTTGTTTTAATTTTTGTAAAAGATTAATTTTTATTATTTTTTTTTTCTACTTTGATTTATTATTTTATCTAAACAAACGATCAGCAAGTTTAGGAAATAAAATTTAATTTTTATTATTTTTAGTAACAACCTTAAAAGAGTTAGTTAATTATTCAAGAGAAAATCTATTCTCTTATCTCAATTTTAAATTAATTAATTTTCGAAAAAATTTTTTTAATTTTGCAAAAATGAAATTTTCAAGAAAAAAAACAATTTTTTTGCGTCAAAAACGCAAAAAAATTTTTATTAATTAATGCAAATTATTTCTGCGGGAGTTGTTTTTTACGTACTAATTAAGAAGAGTTTGTATTACGTAGTAAGGAGAAAAAATTTGAATAATAAATTAAATATTAAAATAAAATCAGAATTAAAAATGATAAATTAAAAAGGCTTTAGAAGAAATAAAATATATAAATCGGAATAAAATTTTAAAAAATACAAAATCGTCAAAAATACAAAATCACGAATCAGAAAATTAAATAGAAACACAAAAATCAGAATTTATAAAACAAAAACACAGAAACCAGGAATTCGGAATAGAAAATCAAAACACAAAATCAAAAAATACAAAATCAAAACAAAAACACAAAAATCAGAATTATTAATAACACAATCAGAAATACAAAAATCAGAAATTCAAGTTTGTATTTTCTTAATTATTAAAAGAAAATACAAAAATCAGAATTTATAAAACAAAAACACAGCAATCAGAAAATCGAAATACAAAATCAGAAAATACAAAATCAAAACAAAAATACAAAATCAGAATTTACAAAAAATACAAAAATCAGAAATTCAACCTTGTATTTAAATTAATGTATTTTACTTAATTATTTTTATAAATGTATTTTATTTATTTATATCAAATAATAAAATAAACCAGAATTTAATGTTGCAGAATTAAATAAGTAAAAATACAAGGTCAAATTATTATTATTTCTGAGACTAAATCATTTTAAAAGAAGGTGGCAAAACAATTTATTATTTTATTATTATTTAAAGGAATGTGCGGGAACGCGAAATAAATAAAATATTATTTTCTAGAAGAGAATGATCGTGATTAATATCTTGGGCTTATTTAAAGGGTAAAAAAAGGGAGAAGGAAAAAAACTTTGAGAAAAAAATTCTGAAAATTTCAGAAAGTCTGAAAAAAATTTCTGAAAAATTTCCAAAAATTTCTGAAAATTTTTTTGATTTTCAAAAAAAAAATCTGAAAATTTCCAAAAAAAATTATTTCATTTTCCTTCCCCTTTTTCCCCTCAAAAATCCCCCAAAAAATTTTTTTTCATTAAAAAAAGCTCACTCCTCCAGAAGCCCCAGACGAAACATGTTCCCAACTATCGCTAGCACTACTAAATTCTTCTCCAACATTTTGTTGTTGTTGTTGCGCGGAGGAGGATGAACGCTGCTTTTTATTTGAAGAAATTTCTTTTTCTTCTTCTTTCAACAAATTATTGTTATTTAGATTGTTCATCCCGATATATTTATTTTTATTTTTAAATAAAAATAAAAAAATAGGCGGAGAATAAAAATAAAATTAAATAGTTTTTGGTAGTTTAGTTTAGTTGTTTTAATATTAATCACTTTTCCCAGTTAAAATTTCTGTTTTTTTGTGTTGTAATTAAATCAAAGTTTGGATATATGTCCTTTACTTCACTTTATTCTTGTAGAAAAAAATTATTTATTTATCAATTTTAGGCGATCTCCGAATACTTGGAGGGGGAGATTTAACGGGAATATTGTATAAAGTAAAAAATAAAAAAAGTTGTTATGAGAACACTCAAATGTTGTAAAATAAAAGAATGTTTTTTTCAAAACGTTCAGATAAAAAATTTACTAAAATTAAAGAAAAAAAATTTTATTAAAGATTTCAAAGGGGTTTGAATTAAAGTAAAATTACAGTACTATCTCACCTAACCTTCCCCGAATACTCCTATCCAAGTCCCGGGCAAAAAAGTATAAATAAAAAATTGTTAGGGGGTTCTATTAGCCCAAATTAAAAGTCCTCTAGGTCAAAAAATTTTTTTTGAAAAATTACAAAAAAATTTTTGCAAGATTTTCCAGCATACTCCATTGGGTAGGGAATTAAAAAAATTTTTTTAATTTAAAAATAATAAAAAATTTTCTCACGATTTTTTCTGGACTTTAGATTAATCTTTATTTCCTCTTATTTAATCTTTAAACTTGAATGGGAATTAAAGGCATGATTAATAATATAATGAACATTTTTATTTTTTTATTTTAATATCTGTAAATAAATTTAAAAAATATTAGTAAATATTTATTTTAAAGAAAATAAAAAGAAAATATTATTTAAATAAACACGAGACAAATTTTAAAAAAATTATAAAAATAAAAAAAAATTTGGAAAATTAATAACATTTTAAATTTAAAAAATACTGACTAGTGACAGTTTTTTGACCACAACTTTTTTTGTTTGGTTGATCGAAAATTTAATTTACCATTTATTTTATAGCCCCTTTTCGCCTCTATCGAATGATATAAAGATTGATATAGATTAATTAATTTATTAATTAGATATCAAGGAAAAACTGAACATGGGTCGTTACTTTAAATTAATCCACGGGTTGGCGGCAGTTTTTCGATCAGAACTTTTTTTGTTTGGTTGATCAAAAATTTATTTTTAAATTTATTTTGTAGCCCTCTTTCTCATCTATCGAATGATATAAAGATTGATATAGATTAATTAATTTATTAATTAAATATCAAGGAAAAACTGAACATGGGTCGTTACTTTAAATTAATCCACGGGTTGGCGGCAGTTTTTCGATCAGAACTTTTTTTGTTTGGTTGATCAAAAATTTATTTTTAAATTTATTTTGTAGCCCTCTTTCTCCTCTATCGAATGATATAAAGATTAATATAGATTAGCTAGTTTATTAATTAGTTATTAAGCAAAAACTAAGCTTGGGTCGACTGTCCAAATCAATCCTAATTAATTTTTTTTAATTTTCTAAAAAATTTAACACCTTTTAAATTATCGATAAAATAAATTTTTCGGAAACGTAAAAAATATTTATTTTCCTCAAAACTAATTTTTTCCTATTTTTAATCAACCAAACTGATCATTTCCACACACACACACCTCTCTTTCCCTCTCACTCCCGATTTTTGTTTAAAACGAAAGCGCGCCACAGGGAAAAATAAATTGAAGGAATTTGGAGGAGACTACCTTAAACTACAGCAAATTAACAGCTAGGCCCGAGTCTATTTTAATTGTTGAAAATATAAATTAATTAAAATTAATTTTTGAAATAATTGTTGAAATTTATTTAAAAAAGAAATAAGTAAAAAAAAATTTATTAGTTAAATATAAGGGATTTAATTAAATTAATTTAATTGGGGAAAAAATTATTTTATTAATTAAATTAAATTAATTAAATCACTGGGAGGGGTTTATTTTTTTCCTAAAGCCCCTACCTGGACCTATCAAAAAAAACAAAAAAAAATCCAAAAAAAATTAAAGACCATCAGGGACCAAAAAATAATTAATTTACTGACTTTGGGGCACTTTAATTCAGGTAGTTTATATACCCCTCAATAATTCACCTATTTTTTAAAATTAAAAAATCCTTAAAATTTTTAACCTAGAATTTTGAATGACGCAAATATAAAATTAAAAAAAAATTGGGGAAAAAATTATTTTATTAGAGAGAAGAATGTTTCCGTCTTTTCCCGCAAAATATTTTAAAAAGAAAGAAAAACTATCCCTGCGCAAATTTGCTACCAAAAAAGAGGGGAAGGGAAGGAGGTTGGAGGGAGGGAGGGAGGGCAGGGAGGGTAAAGGAGAGGAGAAGGCGGGAATAAATAAAAAAATAAATTTTTGTATAAAATAAAATAAAATTTTTTTATTTTTGATATTGCGCAAATGTGTGAAAAAAGAAAAAAAATTTTTAAGAAGGAAAAAAAGATGCAATATTGATGACACGGTCATTGATCGACTCATAGTAAATGTATAGTAATTTAATTTATTTTTAAATGATCAGAATTGGATGGGGGGAAATATATAAATTAATTAAAATTATAATTTCTTTCCGGAAAAAGTTTATTTTCTTTTGTTATATAGAAGTTCTGAATTAATAATTCTGAAATAATAATTCTGGATATTAATTCTAATTTTATTCCTTTATTTCCGGAAAGTTTATTTTTATTAAGAAAATTCTGAATTAATAATTCTGGTTTTATTCTTTTCCTTCCGGAAAATTAATTAAAATTAATTATTTCCTTTCCGGAAAGTTTATTTTCTTTAATTAAGAATATTCTGAATTATTATACATATTTAATTCTGAATAATAATTCTGATTTTCTTTCCGGAAAGTTTATATTTATATTAAAGTTACATTGGTTGAATAAAATGATAATAAAAGCCCTAATATTTTAATTATTTAATTAAAATTATTTATCTTATTGTTAAAAATTTTTTTAAATTTTTCAAAAAAATTAAAAGAAAAACTTTTGGCGATTATGCGCAGTTCTGACGTATTATATCGCTCACACTTTTTTTTAGCTTTGACCTTATTTTTTTGAATAAAAAATATTTTAGATGATCGATTCTTTTATAAATTTTATACTTCCTTTCACATCACGAGAACAATATTTAAGCTAACCGAAAAAATTTTTTTGTGCCGTCAAAATAAAAAAAATTGGGGTCATTCACACAAGGAGTAACCAATGGCGCGAATCAATGGTTGTAGATTAAAAAAGAAGTTTTGAAAAAATAAAAGATTAGAAATTAAAAAAATTCTGATTTTCTGAAGAAAAATTCTGAAAAATTCTTTTATAAAAAATTCTTATTTTGATTAAAAAAAATTTCTGATTTTTTGAAAAAAAAATTCCGATTTTTTGAAAAAAAATTCTGATTTTATTTCCGGAAAGTTTCAATAAAATAAAAATATATTCTGATTCATTTTCTTTTCCGGAAAGTTTATTTTAATCAAATAGGAATATTATTAAATTAATTCTGATTTTATTATTTTCTTTTCCGGAAAGTGTTTTCTAGAGATTATAACTTCCTTAAAACAAATATTTAAATAATTAATTTATTAAAAATTATTTTTGTTATTTATTAATGTATATAGACTACTAATGGAATTTTCAAGGCTATTTATTTGTCAAAAATAAAAATATATAAATTCCTTTTTAAAATAAATCTCGTATAAAGGATCACGGAACAAATTTATTCAATGGAATTATTAATATATTTATTATTTATTTAAACGAGAGAGAAAGATAAATGACCTAGAAAATTGTTTGGATATAAAAATAAAGGAATTTTGGGGGTGAATATAATGTATTAATATTTTAATATAATATAAAAATACAATAATGAAGATATTCTGATTTTCTTTCCGGAAAGTTTTTAAAAATAATTCTGATTTATGTCTTAATATAATAAAATTCTGGTTTTATTCCGGAAAGTTTAATTAGAAATTCTGATTCTATTTCCGTAAGGTTTTAATGAATATTCTGATTTTTCCGGAAAGTTTTGATTAAATATTAATTCTGATATTCCATTTCCGGAAAGTTTATAATAAAATAATAATTCTGATTTTCTTTTTCGAAAATAATTCTGATTTTATTTTCAGAAAGTTTGTATTTTTCGTGTTATTTGTATAAAAAATATTTTTATAAACCTACTACATATTTGTTTAAAATTAATTTTAAATTTATTTATTACAACTAGTTTATTTTATTAAATCTTATCTCTTCCTCCAAAAAACTAATTCATTAAATACATCGCTAGATCGGTCCTTCCTCGTGCTTTTCGTCCTTGATCCCTAAATATATGTTCATATTTTAGTCTGGTCGTGAAATTAAATCAGATAACACAAAAAAAAGAATTTACTAAACGACAATAAATCAGAATTAATTAAACATAATAATCAAATTAATGAACCTAGTAATAAATCAGAATTATCTAGTGATTATTTCAGAATAATTATTGCTAAAATAAACTTTCCGGAAAAGAATAATAAAGTCAGAATTTTTATAGTAAACAAACTTATTAATATAAAAATGGAAAATAAACTTTCCGGAAAAATCAGAATTTATATTAGATCAGAATTTATATAAAATATTCTGATCCCTGAAAAATCAGAATATTATAAGCATCAGAATTATTATAGTAAATAAACCTATTTTTAGATAAAATAAACTTCCGGAAAAATCAGAATTTAAATTACAGGGTATTTAATCAGAATATTATAAACATCAGAATTTTTATAGTAAATAAACCTATTTTTAAATTAAATAAACTTTCCGGAAATAAAATAATAAAATCAGAATATATTTAATTACAACTTTTTAATTATAAAATACATACCATTAGAGTTACAGGGTTATTTAATATATGTATTTATATACTACCAGCTAGATATTTATTTTAAATTAATTATAAAAATTATATTTTCAGTTAGTAAAAGCTTTTCAAATATTTAAATGTCAATTAGAATTATAATTAAATAAATCATCCGTAAAATTAACCAAAAACCATTACTACTAATTTTATTAATATTTAAACTGATTGAGCGAAAAGATAAAAATAAATATAAATTACTGGAAATTAAAAATAAAATATATATTAAAAATACCGGAATAAAATAAAAACAAGTTTTTTAAATATTTTTATTTTAAGATGCCGATAATAATCTAAAGAAATTTTTAATATTTTTTTCTTATTTAAATAATAAAATAATTTTTAGAAATAAAAGTAAAATTTAAAAAAATTAATTAATTAAAAATTAAAATTTAATAAATTAGAATTCGTAATAAAAATTAAAAATGATTAATATATTTTATTAATTATGAAAATAAAAAAGCATAAAAAACACACAAAATGTATTTTTATTTAATTAATTATTAATGTATTTTCAGTGAAAAATAAATACATGTCATAAACTTTGTATTTTACATTTAATGATAGGAAAAGTACATATTAGCGAGGGTCTAAATATAAAAATATAAAATATTTAAAACTTTCCGGAACTTTAAAAAGAAAATACAAATTTCCGGAAAACTTAAAAAGAAAAATACAATTTTTCCGGAAAACTTTAGAATGAAAATAAAACTTTCCGGAAAACTTTAGAATGAAAATAAAACTTTCCGGAAAACTTTAAAAGAAAAATACAATTTTTCCGGAAAACATAAAACCTCAAAAATATAATTGTATTTTAAAACTTTCCGGAAATAATTACAACTTTAATAAAAATCAGAATTAAAAATCAGAATTCTATTTAGTATAATTTATTTCAAGGCAGAAACCAAACCCACACAAAATCGCCTTAAAATTTAATTTTATAAAATTAATTAAATTTAAATAAAATTTTAATTAAATCACCCGCATTCAACGCAACATTCTTCTGCTGCTGTTGTTTCTTAAAAAAAATTTTTTAATAAAATTTGAAGAAAATTCTTAACTTTTTTTATTGGTTATATTTTCCTCAATTTTTTTATTTTCTCCAGGCATTGGTTGTACAGTGAAAATTACATTTTTGGGTTGTTTGTAAGGGGAAGGCATTGAATAATGTTGTGGAAATAGTTGACGACTCACTTGTGTTGTTGCTAGTGTTCTGAATAAAAAATATAAAGAATTAGACTTTCCGGAAAGAATATATTAATTATAGGTTTGTTTAATATTCCGGAAAGAAAAATCAGAATTAATTTAAAACTTTAATTAAAGAAAGATCAGAATTATAAACTTTCCGGAAAAGGTTGGACTAATAAAATTCAGGAGAATCTGAATTATTTAAATAGAATAAACCAGAATCCGGAAAATATTATTAAATTAACTAAATTCTGAAAAATCAGAATTCTTTTAAAAATTCTGATTTTTTTATTAAATCAGAATAAATTTAGAACCTTCCGAAAAGAATAATAAAATAAATGCCTACGTATAAACTTCATTAGCAGGAACACCAACAAAGGGCCGTAGAGGAGACGGACTTCTTTTAGGCGTTGGACAAACCGAAATTGCAGGGCTGTTGTTATTGCTACCTGCGATACGTCGAAAGGGAAGGGCCGAAAAATAAGTAATGGACACGGGAGGATTAATTTTATTTTTAATTAAAATGAGAATAAATTTAATTAAAAGAAATATCAAAAAGAAAAACAAACAAAAAAATTTCAAATTAAATTGGAGTTAAATTAAGAATTATTTTTTAATCAGAATTTTCTTTTAAAAATTCTGATTTTTTAATTAAAATTTTCCGGAAAGTTTTAATTAAATAATTAAAAATTCTGATTTAAATAATATTATTTTATTTCCGGAAAACTTTCCGGAAAGACTTAATTAGTGTTTAGATTCTGATTAAAAATAATTCTAAAGAAATTCTGATTCAATTACTTTCCGGAAAAATAAATAATTTTAAATAAGAATTATTAAAAATAAAATCAGAATTAAAACCAGAATTAACAGCGATAATAATTCTGATTAAAAAATAATTAAACTTTAAATTATGTATATTATTCAGTTACTAAAAGTACAACAATAAACAGTTTATTTTTTTACATTTTTAATTAAATTTTAAAAATTTAATTATTTTATTTTTCATTAAGTTTTAGTTATTTAATATAGTAAATACTTTTTTTTAAATAAATTTAATAAAAAAATTTTTTATTTTTAATGACAAATTTTTTAATTTAAAATTTATTTACCTTCACAACAAGGACAGCCTTTTGCCCTTTTATTTAATAGCCATATTCTTGGAATATTTTCTAAATTATTATTTATTTCCCCTTCCTCAGTTCCAGGTGTTGGAGGGCCTTCTTCCTTATAAAATAAAAATTCGTGTCGAGCTGTTAGACCTTCGGAAAGGATCCTAAAAATTATTTTTTTTTGAATTTTTAAAATTATTTTTTTGAATTTTTTTTTGAATTTTTGATCTAGAAAAATTTTCTTTGAATTTTAAGATATTAAAAAAAATTTAATTAATTAAAAATCAAATTTCACCATTGTACTAATTCTTCTTGCATTGTTTCCTTTTTAGCTCCCTCAACCACTTGATCAGGTAACAATGACTCTAGAGCTGCTTTTAACTCGTATTCATCCATTGCAAACAATCTTTTTCGATATTTCATTTTCTTTGGAATTTTTTAAAAATTAATTTTTAAAATTTTATTAATATGTAAATATGGAAGGGATTTGTTAATTAAATTAATTAATCAAAAATTAATTTTTAAAAAATTTTTTAGCTTTAAATTAATTTTATAATTATTTTTGAAATATATAGAGAGCTCTAGTATTTAACAAAATAAATATTTTTATTAAAATAAAAGTATTAAAAATTGTATTTAATTTTTTCTTCTTCCTGACAGCCATGACAGTCTCTCCCTCCATTTATATTTAAATATTTACTACTTTTTATTTATTTTAATCAAAATCGATCCTCAAAAATCTGTCATGTTTTAATGTCTCTTTCTTTTTTCCTGTTGATTTTCTGTTGATTTTTAGAGCAAATAAAAAAATTAAAAAAAATTATTTATTTATCCGATTAGTGTACAAATACCTCTTAAATAGTTACTTCACATTTATTTCCACTAAATTCCTTAAATATATTAATAATTCTTTTAATTCCCAATATTATTTTTTTTGATAGCATAATATCATATAAATTTACATATTTTTATTTTTATGGAAAAGAAAAAAATAAATATAAAAAATATTATGAAATGTTGTCCAAAAATAAATTTAAATAAAATAAAAAATAAATATAAAATTAAATTGTTTTGATAAAAAATTCAATGACTAATGGTCTAATAAATTTATTTAAAAAATTAAAAAATTTTTTTTAATTAAAAATAATTTTTTAAAAATTAAAAAAAAAATTTCCAGTCCTTTTCTCAATAATTTCGTCAATTTTTAATTTTATTAGCTTCTTTAAAAAATTTTTTTTCTTCCAAAAACGAAACATATATTTTTATATTTAATTATTAAAATGCATGACATAAAGACCAACTTTTGTATTTAATTAGTTAAAATATTTAAATGTTCGTTTTTAAAATAATTAAAAAAACGGCATTTAAACGTATTTTAAACTTAAATATCCAATAAAAATTAAAAGAAATTTTTTTTTAATTTTTTAGAGAATTGTAGACAGACTAATGTTCATTTAAAATAACTAGAAATTTAAAAAAAATTTTTTTAATTTTTAAAAAGTTTAAAATTCAATTCAATTTATAAAGACTGCAGCCTGCAGCTACCTACATAATACTTTAATTAAAAATTCTTTTAATATTTCTAAATTGAATTAATTAAAAAATTAAATAAATTATAGACAATTTATTCTAAAAAAATTTTTTTAATTTAATTTAATTAAAAATATATAAATTATATTAATTATACTCTAATAGACATATGTGTGTCAATAATAGACACGCCCCTTTCTTCAAGTAAAATTGTTCTTCAAGTGTTAAATAAATAAACTTGGCAGACTCCGCCTTAATTATGCTGTCAGCAGACAATTATTAGGCTTATTTATATATTAAATTTATTTTAGTAATTTCCGGTAAATACAAACTTTAAGCTAGTTGTTATTAAATAAATAAACTTTCCGGAAATCTATTTAAATAAACCTAAAATACAAAAATATTATTAAGCCCTTCCGGAAATAAAAATAAACTTTCCGGAAAATACAGATTTTCACTATTAAATAAATAAACTTTTCCGGAAAACATTAAATTTAATTTCAATTTTCCGGAAAATACAAACTTTAATTGTTATTAATTAAACCTGAAATACAAAAATAATTAAAATAAACTTGATTTTTTCCGAAAAACACAAACCTTTACTATCAATAAATAATCTTTTCCGGAAAACATTAAATTTAAATTAGTTCCGGAAAATAAAACTTTAATTTATTAAATTAAATAAACTTTCCGGAATATTTTCCCTCGCTGCTGTAATATTTCCTTCGTTTTTTTAATTTTTAATATAAAAAATAATGCCAAAATAAATGTACTTTATTATTTTTAATAATTAAATAGAAGACTTAAAAAATAAATGCTTTCGTACTTTTATACTTTTTTAGCTTTATTTTTAATTAAAATTTGTGTTTATTTTTTAGTTAATAATTTATGTATTTTCTTCTAGTTTATTTTTAATTATTATTCTATTTCACGTCTATTTAATAAAATAAAATACAAGGTTGTAATAAAATGAAATACAAACTTGTTAAAATAAAATACAAACTTGTATATGTGTGTATTTTCCGGTATTTTCCGGAAATAAACTTTGGAAATAAACTTTAAAACTTTTTTCCGGAAAACTTATTTATTAATGAAGGTTTGAGTTTCCGGAAAAATATTCATGTTTATTTATTTATTTTTGTATTTAAAGTTTATTTAATAAATTCAAGTTTGTGTTTTCTGGAAACTTTAGCTTAAATTTTATATGTATTTTCCGGAAAAGTTTATTTAATAATAAAATCCAAGTTTGTGTTTCTTCTTTTTGTATTTTATTTTTTATTTCAAGTTTATTTAATTTATATTTCCGGTTTGTATTTCATCACATTTTAAAGCCATAAATCTTTACATATTTTAATTTACCCAAATAAATGAGAATTTAATAAAAAATGTGAAAAATCTTGTGTTTTGAAGACATTCCGCCCAATTTAATTCCATTTTCTTTAGGCCAGGAAAATGGTAATTTTTCTATCCCTTTTTTGGTGGTCTTAAATTAAATGAAAAAAATATTTTAAAAATAATTTTTGTGTTTTGTTCAATTCCAAGTTTATTTTTTGTTAATTTATTTTTAAGTTTATATAATTTATAAACACAAACCTTAAATTAGTTATAAATAAATAAACTTTTCCGGATCCTAAATTAAATAAACCTAAAATACAAAAATACATTAATACTAACGGATTTTTAAATAAACTTTTCCGGAAATATAAACATTATATCTCAAGTTGTATTTTTCTTGTATTTCAAGTTGTATTTTTCAAGTTTATTTTTTTTTGTACTTTACATTAATTCTAAGTTTATTTTTTTGTATTTTTTAAACTTTTTAGAATTGCTAAAACACATTAAAATGAAAAACACAAAATACTTCTTCTCCTTCCTAACAACTTTATTTATCCTTTTACATTTATTTATTTGTAATAAAGTTGAAAGTTTTGATTTTGAAATACGTCAATTTGGTCCCTCTGTTGGTGGGAGTAATTCTGGAATTTCGCAACGTTCACTTTTTGTTGATAATACAGAAAATAATTCCGAGGTAATTTTATTTTCAAAATTTACAAAATTTATTTAATTTAAAAAATAATAAAATATTATTTTTTCCAAAAAATTAATTTTCATTAAAAAATAAATTATTATTTTTCCAAAAAATTTCTAAAAAAATAATATTTTCCAAAAATAATAAAAAAAATTATTTGTATCTGCGTTATTTAAAAACTATTATTTATTCATGCATGCAAACTACAAAAAATTAAAAAAATAAAATAAAATTTTGCAGATATTATATTTTATTTTTTATTTTTAAAACACCTTTAAAAAATAAAAATAAAATTTACATGCTCAATTTATTATGCTTTTTTAAGCTTGAAATAACTTTAAAAAATTAAAAAATAATTTAATTTCAGGACAATGCCGGCTTTCTCGGCAATAGTTTGTCTGTTTCAGGACGTCGCAGACTTATTCAACCCCCGCCTTTAAAAAGAAGTTTTGAAGGGAGAGGACAGAGAATTTTGGTGGGGAATGATTGGCCAATACTTATGTCTCCTTCGAGGGCTTGAAAAATTTTTTTGAAATTTTTTTGAAAAATTATTTTTTTTTGATCTCTTTTTTGTCTAATTAAATAATGATTCTCTCCAAACTTTTTTGAATAAAAAATATTTTTTATAGACTAAAATACGTCAAAAATTTAAATAAAATATGTGTAATAATCCATCATAAACCTACGTAATAATTTTTATTTATCAATATTTTTTTTAAATTTGTTTGAATAATTTAAACAAATTATTTGTCTATTGAAAAAAAAATATGTGAAAAAATATTTTTAAAAATTTAAAAATATTGAAAATAATATTTTAAGAAGACGTAAGCAAAAATGAATAATAAGCCCTTAAAGAATTTTATTTTTTAATTTTAGAGTTTTACGTACTAAAACAAAAAGTCTGCCGTCTTAAGTTCCAAAATTGGGAACATATTTTTTCATGTTAGCAGAGGATCCCTGACCTATAGGTAGACTGAAATATTTTTTTTTAAATTATCCATTAAATAAATGGTTAGAAAATTCGCCCTCAAGCTCTAAACTATAACAAGGGTGTCAAAAAAATTTTGTTGGTCAAAAATAATTTTTTAGTAAAAACTGTGTGTGGCACATTTTTTAAATAAAAAATATTTTTGTTAAATTAATGTGAGAAAATCCTCAAAAATAAAAATTAATTGAGAAGGCATTAATATAAAAATATATATTTTTTTATTAATTTTTATTTGTGGGAATTCCTACCATAAATAAATCCAAAAAAGACGAAAAATAAATTATTAAAAAAATTTTTTAAAGAGATTTATCTGCTTTTTTTAAAAACCGGCATTAATTTAAAAAATTAAAAATTAGAAAAAAAACTCTAGATTTGGTAAATAAAAATAAAAAAATAATTAAAATATTTAAATAATTACGATATGCTTTACATGGGAGTTCAACAATTAAAGGATCATCACCAATTTCTCCTTTATTTAATGGTGGATCTGTTGGTGTAAGACAGAAATCTTCTTTTTCTTCTTCAAAATTTTTATTAGAACAAAATTGTTGGCATTCAGGACAGAGTATTTGACCTTCCCTTAACCATCCATTGACTAACTAAAAAATAATTTTATTTGAGAAAGATTAAAAAATTGGTTAAATATAAATAAATAATCAACCAGGGAAGGACCAGGTTTTCAAAATTTTCTTTAGATTGGGTTTCAAAACGAAAAGACAGTCCAGGGGTTTCGGGTAATACGTCCAATTCACTAACTGAATCCTCGTGAAGGATTTTAGAGAAAATAAAAAATTTTTTAATTAAAAAAAAATGATTTGAAAGAAAAAACAAACTTTTCTAATATAAATTGGTTGACCAGATTTATAACAAGGATAAAGCTTTGTTGAATTATGTACAAGAATATTTACACGGCCATTTAAACAAACAATCTTTTTTAAAAATTAAAATTATTTTAAAAAATTTAATTAAATTTACTTGATAACACCCAGCCATAAATTGAGAATATGTTCGAGTTCTTCCACACTTTTTTTCTGTCCAACTTGAACCCAAGTCTAAACAACGAGAGCCATGCCCATAAAGTTCTAGAATCTGTAAGAAAAATAATAGGAGATTAATTTAAAAAATATCAGAACTTATAAATTAAAATCAGAATTTTTAAATCAGAATATTTAAAAATTAGAACATTTTCAAATCAGAATCCTCAAAAAATCAGAATTACCAAAAAACCAGAATTTTCGAGAAAAAAAATCAGAATTTTCGGAAACCAGAATTTCAAATCAGAACATTTTCAAATCAGAATTTTCAGAAATCAGAATTTTCAAAAACCAGAATTTCAAATCAGAATATTCAAAAAATCTGATTTTCAAAAAACCAGAATTTTCAAAAAATCAAAATTTTCGAAAAATCAGAATATTTCCCCAATAAAAACTTACAGCATTTCCCTCATTATATTCTTCACTAATTTCCCCGTCTGGGGGCCCATTACCAATTAATTCACATCTACTATCCCTCCTTCCACCACTTGTATTATTAATTGTTTTCCATTCAAATTCTTGATTATAAGGACAATAATCAGCCAATTCAACAGATCCCCCATAATATTTTATTCCTTCTTTTCTAACACCTTTTAATTTGCCAAAATTTCGATATTGTTTAGGTAATTCTTTTTTATGTGGAACTAAATTACATAATGCCAAAGAATCCTTTAAAAATAAAAGAGAAAATAAATAAATATCAGAATTTTTCTGAAAAAAATCAGAATTTTCTAATTTTTAAAAATCACAATTTAAAAAAATTTTTTATTATAATTAATTTTACCCTTTGATCTGTACAGCGTGTAGTTGCCAAAGATTTACTCCCATCATGTTTAATATCTGCACAAAATGGAGCTGCTGACTCATTTCTAATATTTTTAAAGAAAATTTTAAAAATTATTAGAATTCAAAAAATTTTCAAAATTCGAAATTAACGAAATTTCGAAAATTCGCGAAACTCGAAATTTCGCATTTCGTTTCGATTTTTTTCCGCTTCGAAAAAAGTTTCGTATTAAAAAATTAGAAACCTTTCCATTCTTTGTTTAATCCATTGTCCACAACTTTTCATAGCAAAATCACAACCCAAATTACTTCCCCAATGCAAAGGTTCAGCAACAGAATAATTAGCTTTATACCAACCACTATCTTCCATTAAAGCTAACGTTAGACGAGAATAAACTGGGTTTTGTGTGTGTGTTCCAGTCATTGCCTCATTTTCAAATAAACGTTTTTCCCAGTGTGTTAAGGATGTTCCATCTCCTCCCTTTTTAAAAAGAAATTATGAAAATCGTTAATGTCAGCAAATTTTTGTCTGCATGTCACATGTTATTCTTTCCATTGAAAGGATTTTTGGGTAGTTAGTCGAATCCTTTATACCAGGAACTGGTTAAAAACCGATTCGAACAAGAATCTTAAAAACTTGATCTGAAACATGAGCCGACTTTTTTCTCAACCCGACTTTTCCATCTCTTCTCTATACAATTAAAAATTTAACAGAGAAATCTTAGGGAAAGAATTCTGAATTACTTATAGAAAATTACAAACCTTGTTGATATAATTAAAAAAGAAAACCTGATTTTCTAATTCAGCTCCTTCTAATTTTGAACAATTAAAATGCTTCCTGGCCTCTTCAATTATTCTTTCAGTGACTAATAAATGGACAGGATGGGGTAACTAAAAAAGAGAAAAATTAATTTTAAAAATTTTTCAAAAAATTTAAAACCTCTCCTTCCGCCGTCCACCAATCTTCTCGAATTATTGTACGAACTGTAGACGGTTCTGCATCATAGAAACCTCTTTCTCGATTAAAAGAAAGTGGACGTCCACTATTTTGGTTCCTTTAAAATTTAAAAAAATTATTTAAAAATACATTTTAAAAACCTTCTAGAACGTGGACGTCCTTCCGAATCACGAAAAAAGGCATATAAACCAGCAGAGAATCCAAGAGCATGTAAAATTTCATGTTTAATGGTTGAGAGAAGAACTTCCTTTTTAAAATAAATTTTCTTAAAGAATTTAATGAGAAAAAAGGCAACTTGATCATGTGAGTGGGTGGAAAGTGCTTGTGGACAAATATTGACATGACCAGCTATAGGCCTACAAAAAAAAATTTTAAATTAAAAAATGAACGGAAAAAATTTTTTTTAGAATTTTCATTTAATTTCCGAAAAATAATTTTTTAAAATTACAACAAAAAAATAAAATTAAAAACCTATCCAATTCAGCTTCTTGTTGGCAATGTGCAGCATAAGCTATTGTATCATCATTTTGACACCTTTGCGAAGGAACGGCAGAAACATAAAGAAGAAAATCTGAGCCAATAATGCCTTGTCCATCAGGTGGGCCAGAAGGGACACAGGAAAGTGGGTTTGATTGAATACAGAAACGGCATTGCTAAAAATAAAAAATTTTTAAATTTAAAAAAAATTTTTACAAACAAATAAATGTTCATCAGGTACAGCAACTTCTCCACAATAAGTAGTCTGTTTACAACGAGTCACACAACGCAGAAAGGGGGAATTTTGATCAGAATAGTATTTGTTATCCTCGCATTTTCTTAAATTTTTTAAAAAATTTTTCTTGTTTCTCTCTCTCACCTGCTCAAACGTATTGGAGCTAGTGAATTTCGAACAGACAAAGCTTGCTAAAAAATTTAAAAATAAATCCATCAACTCAACAACATTTTATTTTACTATAAAAACCCCCAAAAATTTAAATTTTGTTTTAATCAACGACACTCCAACACTTTTACTCTCTTCTAGCACAGCAACAACTCTCGCTTTAATGGGCTTCTTGTAAGTTTATCCTCCAATTTTTTTATTTTTCAAAAAATTTTCCCCTTTTAGTTTGGACAACCTTTCGCTCTCTACATGGAATTTGGCTTTGTACATATCTATTGCTTATTTGGCAATGTTAGTTTTGCCCTTCAAAAAATTTTCAAAAATTTTTTTCAAAAATCTTCCCCTTTTTCAGATCCATTGTTGTCTACTACGCCACTTTCTATCTGAAACGAAAGCGCTTCGAGAAACAAAAAGATGAGGAAGATGTTGAAAGATGGAATGAAGATTCTTTCCTAGCTTCTATAAAATCTACAAGATCTTCAAAATCTCTCAAAACGGCAAAAAGTGAAAGGATGATGGCAGCGACACAAAGGGATGATGATGAAAAGTCTTTCAAGGATACCACCTCCACTTCCACGACCATCCCTAATAATAGTGTTAATGGACTTTTGAAAACGAGGCCTGCTCATATTAGTGCACGCTTAAGTGATGGAAAGTCGCCGATATTGCCAGACAATGTTGTGCCTAAAGAAAAAATGCCAAAGCATCTTTACTTTGATGAACTGGCAGAGGTAAATAGAGAGTATACCCCTTCAGAAAATTTTTTTTATTTTTTAGGAGTTTACCCAAGAACTGACGCAAAGTGTCAGAGACCAAGACATTTCTCCACCAGAAACTGCGCATGGTCCATCTTCAAGAAGCAAGAGTTCAGCAAAGGAGGGTAAGAGAGAAATTTCAGAAAATTTCAAAAAAAAATTTCAAAAAAATTTTTTTAGATTCATCATCTACCCACACACAAACAGCTAGTGAAAGGAGCAATTCTGAAGGATCAAGTGTTGAAGAAAGTAAAACTTCTACTAGTGCTGTACCACCACCATCATCGTCTGGTGAAGAAGGAGAAGATGAAGAAAAGGAAAAAGATGGGAAGGAAGAAGAGGAAGAAGGAGGAGGGGAGGGAGGAGGAACATCTACTGAAGGAACGAGTATGCCGGAAGAGAATAGTAGCGATGAATCTTCTTCTTCGACTGGTAAAAATTAGAAAAGAGAGAAAAATAATAAATAAAATTGTGTGTATAGGAATATAATAATTATGTAAATTATTTTTGTAAATATGAAGTATATTTTTGTTTGTAAATAATTATTGTTGATTTTTTGTGGAATAAAATTTTGAAAAAAAAATAAAAATATGTTGAAGAAAGTTGTTAAAAGATGAAAAAAGTGCCTCTCTTAAGTGAGTGATTTTCACTCGAATTCCGATCCAAAAAATGTAGAAAACACGACTTGAAACCTCGACTTTACGCCCAAAAATGGAGAAACAATTTACAAAAATTGTAAAGAAATAGCAACCCTTCCCCTCCTAATTTACCCCCAAAATAAAAAAAAATAAATTTAAATAATACCTCCCAAAATCCTATAGCATCAGGCAAAAGTGAAGTCTAAAAATAAAAAAAAATTAATTTGAAAAATGTGTTTAAAATTAAATTGACTTGCATTAATGTACAACTGTTTTTCTTGTGAAAGCCTAGGAAAAAATTTTTTATTTTAATTAAAAATAAAAAAACTAACGGTAATATGCTGACAGGGTCAAAATACAATTTAATTCGCAATTGTCTAAATTCTCGTCCTTTAACCAAATCACGTCTAAACCTCTTCTTGCGTGCTCTTAAAGAATGATGACGAAGAAGTGGAGAAGAATGAGTTGAGGGAGAAGAAATGTGAACAAATGGAACTCCAAAAATTAAATCTTGAGCATCTGGAATCTGAAAAGTAAAAATATTGAAAATTTTTAAAAATTTTTGGACAAAAAAATTCTGAAAAATTTTTAAAAATTTTCGAACAAATCTCTCCACATTTTTTTTTCAAAAAATTTCGAAAAACTTTTCCCCAAAAAATTCTAAAAAAATTCCAAAAAATTCCCTAAAAATTCCAAAAATTTTTTCAAAAATTTTTTTACCAAACCTTGTAAGAACATCCACCACCTTTTTTGATTAAATTAAAATTTTTATTAGCCATTTGTGTCCAACAAATAATAAAAAAGTTGCCAGTTGATAAAATAAACCAAAAACAAATTAATAAAGAAATTTTGGGTCGATTAAAATTTTTTGGTCTTGAATTTGTACTAAACAGTCTTTTAGACTTTATAGCAGTTACAAACATCGACCGAGGTCGGTTAAACTATTTTAAATTTTAATTTTTAGTACTTTTAAACGTTTATATAATTCGATTTTTTGGAAGGAAAATTGGGAGGGCGAAGATCAAAAAAAGAAAAAAGAAAAAAATTTTTTTTTGGAGGTGGGTGGACAGAGTCATTTGAACGACTACTACACACGACTAGTCCGATCGGAAAAAGAATAACGGATTGGAAAAATAAAAAAATAAAATAAATGTGTTTGTAAGTAGTACATACAAAAAAAGAGAAGAAAAATGTAAAAGAAAATTAATGAGGGAGTGTGTAATAAATATTTTAAAAGATTAAAAAAAAAGGAGAAAATTATTTTTTAGACCTATTTGCTAGAAAATATTGGAAAATAAAATCATTAATTAATAAAAAATTTTTTGAGAAAGGAAAAGAAATTTTTTTTTAGAATTTAAATTAAGACTTAAGTCGGTTAATTAAATAAAAGAAACCCCTCCTAAAAATGACAAATAATAAAGACAAGAAAAACAAGAAAAATAAGGAAAAAACGGAAGTGAAATGCACATGATTCTAGTTAAAAAGAAGGAAGAAAATTCCCTCCCCCGTCCTCCTACAACTCAGAAAATTGGCAAACATTTTTAGGTAGTACCAGTCGATAAAAATAAAAACACAACCCACTCCAAGTCTCCCTTCCTATCTCCATACCAAAGAGCAGAAAATATGCTTAATTGGCTTTTGCACTTTTTAAAAGAGAAAATTGGCTCTTGAAAATGGAGAGGGATGGAAAAATTGTTTTTACTTTTTTTTTTGTTTTTAAAAGGGCAAAATTATGGAGAGGCAACAACACAATTCTGCAAAATTTAATTAGGAAGAAAAAAAATTTTTTCCGAAAAATAGATTCAATGATAATTCTAAAGAAGTTAAAAACATTAAAAAAATTTTAAAAATAATTCCAAAAAAAAAAAATTCAGAAAAAATGCCGAAAAAATAAAATTTTTTTAATTTTGTTTTAGCTCCTATTTAATCTCCCCATCATAACCTAGTTACCCCTACACTCATTTAAAATTTTACTACCATTTTTTAATTAAAAAATTCCCTTCTTTAGAAAACCTTCCACCAATTTTATAATACTACCAATATTTCAAAAAAATAAAAAGGATTTTTTCACACGTTTCCCCTAACCCCCGAGAGTAAAGCAAATCGATGGCCTGTAGGCATATACGGCGCATAAAAGATAAAAAAGAAAATAAAAAGGAAAGTAGATATGAATAATGCAAAATAAATAGAAAAATGGAAGGTGAAGAATAGAAAAGAGTGGAGAAAGTATTTAATGAGCGGATAGAAAAGGATTAAAAACAGACAGAAAAAATGTACTCCCAATTTACACACAAATTTTTATGTTGTGTAAAGTAGAAATTAAAGGTGTCAGAGGAGGAAGGAGTTGTATTTTCCCTGTATATTTTTCTAAAATGATTTTTTTCTAAAAAAATTATAGATTTTTTTTATTCTGATAGCTAATACAAAAATTTTTTTTATAAATAAGATTCAGGCACATTAATTTACAATTTTTTGCGTTAAAAATTTAGATAATAGAATTTATAGTCCTATTTTTACCCTTAAACATAAATATATTTAGTAGAAGAATATCACAAAAATAAAATAATTAATGAAATTAGACATGAGAGAGACATAAGAGAAATACTTAAAAAAGAATTTTCAATAGAATGTAAGCTTAACTTATGGGATTTCTAAAGGGGCTCCTTAATAAACTTCGGTTGTATTTTTTTAATATTTTTTAACTCCATTATGGGGGTGAGGGAAAAACTCCGTCCAGACAAACGGTGTTTTGAACTTTTGATCAGACAAAGTCATCTGGACGGAGTTTTGCCCCGACACGCTATTATGCAGAAGAAAAGGAGGGAATATTAAATAATAAAAAATACCTTACATCAAAATCGTTTTTAGAAAAAGAGAATTATACAAAGTCAGTATTATTATTAATCATCTCCACCTCTTGACATTTTTCCTCACCAGCCATCTTCAAAGCCTTTAAAAATTAATTTAAATAAAAATTCCTAGAAAACTTAAAAAAATAAACCTGCTCTTTACACAATTTTCTCAAGTCCTCATTATCCTCTTTTAATTCTTCTATACTTTCAAGACATCCACCATACAACTCCAGCAAATGATCAAAACGTTCACGAAGTTGGTAAAGTTGTGCTTGTGAAGAGTCTAATTCAGATCGGAGATGTTCAACTGATGGACTATCCAACTTAATTTTTTTTTAATTTTAGAAAAATTTTGAAATTTTTAAAAATTCAAAAAAATTATTAAACCAAAAAAGCGCTCAGATCCACAAGTTTATCCATCAATAACAATCAGCCGAAAGATGGTGATTATAAGGTAACTCTTCCTCATAGCGCTAGGGGGAACCAAAATTCTTACCACTTAACCACACTAACAACTCACAGAAAATTTTAAAAAATACCAAATAATCTGTTGTATTTCCATGAATAATTGCATCAACTTCATTTCGTATTTGATTTGATGAGGATGGCTTTAAAAAAAAGAATTACAAAATAAAAATGAGTTTGAGTAGTCTTTTAATTAGCAGAATAAATTTTTAAATTAATTTTCGAACTAAAAAAATTTTTTGCAGTTTTAAAAAATTATTTTAATCAATCCCTTGAAGTCCTACTCCCAAAAATTCTGATAAAAATTCCCAAAATTTTATTAAAAAAATAAAAAAAACCTTCTGAAAACTTTTTAATGTCTTTTTTTGTGCTAATATTTGTTGTTGTTCTTGTCTTTGTTGTTTAAATTTAGCTCCAATATTTTTTCCCGTTCCTTCAATATCTGACATTTCATCATTATTAGCAATTATAACACTCTTTTTCTACAAGAATAAAAAAAATTTTAATTTAAAAAAAAATAAATTTTACAGGTGAAAATGTCGGCACAATTTGTTCTTTTATTGATTTTGCCAATTTTTGTTCCAATTCGTTATTTTTTCGTTGCAAATCGACAATTTCTAAATTTCTTGAATTGGAATCTATTTCTAATTCTTTAAGACGACGTTCTATTCTTTCTATTTGTGAAACTGATTTGCGTTGTTGAGATATGAATTCGTCTTCTTTTTGTTTTAATTTACTAGAAAAAATTCTTTAATTAATTTAAAAATTTATAATCGAGTGAAATCCGAGCTAGATGATAAAACATCAATTTAAAAATGTCAGCAAAATGTTATCATTCATTGAAAAAAATTGGGTTAGGCTATCTTTGGCGTTTTGTCATTTTATTAAATTGGCGTTACTAATCCCTTCACCCAATTAATATTTTATTACAAATATAAATAACCTTTCCAAATGAGAATATTCTTTTTGTAATCTTTCATATTCTTCAACTTTTGCTGCAAAATTTGACTTTTCATCTTCCAAATTTTTTCCAAGCATTTCTATTATAATTGAAGATTTGGATGTTTTTTCTGATAATTGAATATTTGTTTGATTTAAAGAACGAGAAAGTGATTCATTTTGACGTTCCAGAGAAGTGACTAAAAAAATTTTAAAAAAAATTTTATCTTAAAGATTAAGAAAAAGCAAGTTAAAAATCAAAAAGCAAAAATTAAAAATCAAACTTTTCTCTTCTAAACTAGAAATTGTATGCAACAGAGGCGAATTAGCTGAAAAAATAAGCAATTGAAAAAGAAAATATTTTTTAAAAACCTGTAGAAATTTCTAAAGCAATATCGCGTTGATTATCTTGAAGATTTTCCAATTGCTTTAAATTAGAAAAAAATTTTTCCATTTAATTGAAAAAATCAACCTGTTCAAGTGTTCTTATTCTTTTTAAAGCATCGATATTTTTAGCCTTTTCAGCATTTAAATCTTCAATTATTCCCCTTTCCCGTTCACCTTCCATTCCTTCCTGCACAGATTTGTTCATTAATTTATTTGCAAGTTGTTTATTTTCTTTTATTAATTCCTTTAAAATTTCAAAAAAACTTTTTACTATTCCGAAAAATTTTTTTTCAAACCTCTCGTTCTCTGCTAGCCACTTTTGCATCCTTTTCCGACCTTTTTAACTCTTCTTTTATACTTTCCAAAATTTTTAATTGTTCCAAAATTTGATTTTCCATCGTTGTATTTTTATTTTTTAATTTTTCAATTTCATTATTTAAACGATTTTTGTCATTTTCTGATTTTTCCAATTCTTCATTTAATTGTATTAAATGAGCTTCTTGTTCTTGTGTTTGTTGATTTAATTCTTGAAGTTCTTCTACTGCACTATCCCTTGCAGCTGTAACAATTTCTAATTGACTCAATTCTTGTTTTAATTTGCGAATTTCTTTTGCTTGACGTCCACTGTATTCAGAGAGCTTTTTGCCTTAAAATTAAGAATTTTAGGAGGTTAAAAAACTAAAAAGTACGAAATTAATAGACGAAGCTCAAATAATTTTACTGAAAAATTATTATTTTATACCTTCCCCAAGAAGATCATTTAATTGTTTCTCAGTTTCTGCCAATTGAGTTTTAAGTTTTGTTTCGTTTGCATTTCTTAAAAAAGAAAATTATTACCAAAAATAAAAAAAATATTTTCACAAACTTTTGTTTATATCTTGCAGTCAAATTTTCATTTGTCAATTTTAAATTTTCATTTAAACGTCCCAATTCTTCAATTCTCTGATCCTTATTTTTAAGTTTTCCAACTAAAAGAGCAATTTGTTCAGTCATTTCTTGAATTGATTGAGGTTCTAATTGAAGGTCTTTTGAAGAATTTGAAGTAGAAATTTGTTGTTGAATATCTTCTTTATTTGTATTATTGACTATTTTTATTGGATTATGAAAACTACTTCCATTATTGTGACTACTTGTTATTGACCTTTAAACGTTTAAAAAATGATTTTTGAGTTTCTGACAGGACCTCTAAACTAAAAAAATATTTCTTCTTAAAGCTCTTCCCAAAATTAATTGTTAGCCAAGAAAATTGCTACCCCAAAAAATAAACCAAAAATTCTTACCAATCATCTATCTGACGAATAACTTCAATATCGCTAGATGCAATCGTTCGGATCTCTTCAAACCTATCCAAAGTTTTTTCTGATGAAGAAGGAACAATACAATTTTGTTGTTCATTATCTACACTTTTTGCGTCGTCACTTTCTCCCTTTTCCAAATTTAGAGAAACAATTTCAAGTTCAGAACCGTTTTGAGCTGTTGTTGTACTTTGACCATTTTGGCTGCTTTCATCGTCATCAGGAGAATGCTAAAAATAAAAAATGCTAATTTAGGTAATAAACTATTACCGAAGAGGGAGAATAATTAAAAACATTTGACGGTTCATGAGCATCACGGATTGGATTTGGTTCAGTATCTACAACAGTTTGCTAAATAAACAATTTAAAATCGGTAAATATTTTTAAAAACAACTTACATTTTTATTCTCTGGTTCTTCTCTCCATTGAGAATGATGAGACGAAGGCTCGTTTAAATCAACATCCATGAAATCAACTTGCTGGTTATTAAGTTTTGGGTCATTTTTAGGTTCATTTTGAGTGTATTTTACTTCGTTCAATTTAGCAGACTGGATGGGGTCCTTTAAAAAATTTTTTAAAGCAATTAAGAAAGTATAACGTTAAAAAAAATTAAGGGCACGGGTTCGAGCCCGCTTGGTGAATTAAATTTAAAAAAATAAAACCAACCAGAAGAGCACTTTGATACAAACTTGTTGAACTCTCAAATAAATTATTATTAACATTATCTTCACGCTCAGTTTCATCGTCTTCATTTTCATCGCCAGATTCACCACCATCCTCTTCTATATGAAGAGCAGAATCTATATGTTTTTGAGCTGTAAGAAATGCATTTTTTGCAAAATTTGTAAAACCACTAAATGACATCTAAAATAATAAAAAATATTTTCAAGTAAAAGGTGCTAACAATAAGAAAGAGATTAAATAAAAAAACAAATTAAAGCTTCTTTCATGCGTGTCAAAAAACATAAAACAAAATAAAAAACTACTTACCCAAAAGAAAAATAGATTTTTTAAAAGTTACCAAAATGAAATTCTAAAATTTCATTTTGGTAACTTTATTTTGTCAATTCTTTTTTAGGTTACGGTTTATCAATCTTTTTTTACTGTTTAATCCTTATTTGTTTGTTAATTGTTCATTGTTTTAGATTTATTATATTTGTTCGAACAAATAATTTAACAAAAAAGTATGGCTCGAGGTCCAAAGAAGCATTTGAAGCGTTTGGCCGCTCCAAAGAATTGGATGTTGGACAAGTTGGGTGGCGTTTTTGCTCCACGTCCCATGTGCGGGCCTCACAAACTTCGTGAATCGCTTCCTCTTATTTTGTTTCTTCGTAATCGTCTAAAATATGCACAATCTTATAATGAAGCTAGGATGATTTGCAAAGTTTGTTTTTTTCCTTTTTTCTTATTTAATTTGCATTCAATTTCAGCAACGTCTCATCAAAGTCGATGGCAAGGTGCGTACAGAAATGCGCTTTCCCGCTGGATTCATGGGTATTTTATTAATTCTTCCATTTTTATCATAAATTTAAAGATGTGGTTTCCATTGAGAAGACTGGGGAAGTCTTTCGTCTTCTCTACGATGTCAAGGGACGTTTCATTACACATCGCATACAAAAAGAGGAAGGTCAGCTGAAATTGTGCAAGGTAGTAAAGCAAGCGATTGGACCAAAACAAATTCCTTATATTGTTACTCATGATGCCCGTACAATTCGCTATCCGGATCCTCACATCAAGGTTTAATAAGTCTACAGCAAGGTTTTTAGTAAAATTCTTTCAAAGGTTGACGACACCGTTGCTGTTGATATAAACACTGGAAAGGTTACAGATCACATTAAATTTGATTCTGGAAATGTTTGTATGATTACTGGTGGTCACAACATGGGACGTGTTGGTATTGTTGGACATCGTGAACGTCACCCTGGTTCTTTTGACATTGTTCACATTAAAGATAGTGCTGGACATGCTTTTGCTACACGGTTAGATTTTTAGTTAATATTAATATGGGCCAACCCACTAGTCTCAAAATTTTTTTTTAAGATACTAACCCTTCAAAAAATCCTATTTTCAATTTTCAGACTTAATAACGTGTTTATCATTGGAAAAGGAACTGTTCCGATGATTTCTTTGCCTGCCGATAAAGGAATTCGACTTACCATTGCTGAGGAAAGAGACAAGCGTTTGGCGCAGAAACACAAGGCTGGTCAATAAAATTGAAGAAAGAAAAAGGATATTAAATATTGGGATAAATTGTGTATTTGGAATATTGTTAAAACAATTGTTTTTTGTTATTAAATTGTGTTAAAAAATTTTTTTTAATTTTTGTTGTTGGGTTAATTACCATTTTTATTTTCTTAATGAAGTAAAAGTTTGTGAGAAAAAATTAGCTTTCCTCTATTAACTTTTAGGATGTCTGAACCCTCTAGTTCTAGTAGTCTCGTTTCTGTAGATGTAACCGCTGATGGCAAATTGCGTCTTTTTCAGATGCTTCATAGCCTTGGGAAATCAGATGACTTGAAAGAGTTTTCTAATTTTCTGTTTAAAAATCTTTTTAAAATTATTTTTAGATCTACAACCAAAATTATCAATCATTTGGACCAAATTGACTTTTCTTGTCGTAATCAACAACAAATTTCTCAGGAAATTGGTAAAACAATTTGCGTATTAACATTTCTATAACTTTATTTTTAGTTTGTCTTATGAATAAAAATTGGGAGAAAATGGAGGCGATTAAAAAACAATTTGCTAAATCCAAAGGAATTAAAAATGATGTAAATTTTGATTCTATTGCTGAAGGAATTAAAGTATTTTTTAAATTAATAAAATATTAGGAACATTTTAAGGAAAAGCCAACTCTTGAAGAGACCACAGAAAATCTAGAAATTTTACAATACGGATTAGAAGAGACTTATTCCAAGCAGAAAACATTGGAACAGAAGGTATTTTTATTTTAAATTTTAAAAAGTAGTATTTAATAGTTAATTGAGAAGAGAGAAGGTTTGTGTTCAATAGCTGCTCTTCTTGATGAGTTGAAGGATATAAATACAGAAGAAACTGAACAGGAAGAGGCAAATAATGAAGAGGCAGATAAAGAAGGAACAAGTTAGTTTAGCATTTTTATATTGAATACTTGGCTCTTGACTAGAATTATATGCGTCCAATCTATATTTAGGAATGTTTGGACGCTTAAACTGTACAATAGCCAAATATTTTTTAACAATTCTTTAGTATCCCCAAAAATATTTTTTTAATTTTAGAGCCAGAAGTGGTGGAGCTTAACGATTCGCCATCTAAAGATAATAAAGGCGCCACTATCAGTGGAGCTAGGAAACGTAAACGCAAAAGAGAATTGGTTCTAAAAAATTTTAATTTAAAAAAAATTTAATTTTTCAGGAAAGAATGAGGCTGTGGCGGAAGAGTATTAAACAAAAAAGTAATTTTTTTATTGAAAAAATTTTAATTTTTTTTAATTAAAAGGTACGTTAGAAATTAATGAACTTATTCAACAACAACAAATCTTTATTGATTCTAACAATATTGCCAATACTGATTTAAAATATATTCTTTCAAAAAATATTTTACACAAATTTCTTCTCATTTCCGAAATGCAAATAGATGTTACTGGACATATTTATGGACTTTCTTCTTCATATGACCCTGGCATTAAAGAAATTTGTTGTATTTTTATTCCAAACAAATGGGCTATTTATCAATTTAATGTGTATAGTTTTGATCAAATATCTCAACACCAATTTAAAAATTATGAATTTTTTGGATGGTAATTTTAATTGTTTTTTTTAAAGTTTGTTCTTGCTATACGTATATCTAATGCTAAAAATCTTAATATATATTAAGTTGGTTAGCCTATGGAGTGTGAAATAGTGATGTCACGCTTTCCCGATAACGAAACCCTGACTTTTTACTCGAAACCCGACTTTTTTCTCGACCATTGACATCCCTGGGAGGAATAAGATACCTAAGCGATACCCACTGTTTATTGTTAGGATACACCTCATTATAAAATACAATTTCCTTTTTTTATTAATTTTTTTCTAAAGGATTCACACTAAAGCCTCCAATGATTCATCAGAATTATCACATAATGATCGCTTCTTTCATACAAATTTTGTTCATCAATCTCAACAAGGACAACAACACACTAAAGCTTCCAATGAGCAACGTGTTTTTGTTTCATGCAATTTTACTCCTGATTCTGTTTCACTTTCGGCTTTTCGTTTAACTTCAATTGGTTATGAGTGGGGCCGTATTGCCAACGCTGGGAAGTCGAGTAAGCTGAAAATGTATTCGCCTTCACATTATGAGAAAGTACTTTTGTTGGTGCCAGATTTTCAAAATAATAATGTTTGTTACACATGAAAATGATTTTTTTAAGTTTCTCAATTTTTTGAATAATATTATAAATTTATTGTATCACTGTGTGGGTTCTCTAAGCACTCTTCCTTTAAAAAAAATTTTTTTTGATTTTCTGATAACTCAAAACTCGGAATTTTTGCATTGGTGAGAGGAGAAAAGGGAGAGTAATATTTAGAGAAAACAGTGATTTATTAAAATATTTATTTATTTTTGATTAAATTTCACAATAGCCCTAAATATAAAAATAAATATTAAATACAAATCTTATTAAGAATTTATTCTTTTTTAAAAATTTTTATCTAAAAAATTTTTTTAAATATTTTTTAATTTTTTTAAAAAATATTTTAGTTATTTCTAAACTTTTTTAAACTCAAATAAATGACAGAGGAAGCTATTATTCGTAAACTTGTTGCTGATGGAGATGGTACTGGTGATGATAGAAGGATTTTACATTTATTTCAATTAATTAATAGTCTTGGAAAATCAAGCGATTCTAAAAGGTTTTTTTAATTTTTTTTAATTTCTATTTATTTTTAAAGCGTTACAAATAAAATTGTTATTCTTTTGGATCAAATTGAATTTTCGTTTCGGAAGCAACAACAAATTGCTCAAGCTATGAATTCTGAACGGGAAAATTATGAGAAGCTTTATGAAGAGATTGGTATAATTTAAATTTTATTTTTGGGTTAATAGTCCCTTGTGGTGTAGTCGGAAAATTACCCCAAACAGAAATAATTGAATATTAAGGGTCGTGGGTTCGAGTCTGTTCGGCCGATTTCTTTTTATTTTTACCCTAAAAAATATTTTTCTGAGAAAATAAATGCTTAAATATTATTTCTAATTTAGTTCATATTTTATTTTGTTCTTTCTGGCTCAAATAATAATTTTTAAAATTAAAATTATTTCAAGGTAGTCTGTTAAACAAAAATCAAGAGAAAATGGAAGAAGTTAAAAAACAATTAGCTGAAGCCAAACAAGTTAAAAAGAATCAACAAGAATATGATAATATTGCTAAAATGATTAAAGTATATTTTTAAATTTAATTTTTAAAGAAAAATTTTTTTAAAGGAAAAACCAAGTCGAGCAGAAACTACGAAAAAATTAAAAATTTTACAAGACGAATTGGAAGAGGCTTATTCTAAACAAAAGATTTTGGAGCAGAAAGTATGTTTTTTTAATTTTTTTGTTAAATTAAAATAAAATTAATTTTAATAGTTAATTGAAAAAAAGGAAAGTATAAGTACCTTGGCTGCTCTTCTTGATGAATTAGACGAAACAAATAAAGAACAGGGTTTTTAATTTAAAAAAAATTTATTAAAAAATTTTTCTTTTCTTAGTAGAGGATGTATTAATGGCAGAAGTAGAAGAAGGCCCTGTAGCTCCTCCTCCTATCAACAATAAACCAAATACAAATGGGGAAAAAGTTCGGAATGAACTTGAAATGTAAATTAAAAATATTTTTGGTAAATTATTTGTTTTTTTTAAATTTTTATTGAAAAAGAAAATTAATTTTTTCTTGAAATATTTAACATAAAAATAAATACCTAACATTTAATTATCCAAAAAATCATAATTATATTTGTGGAGATTTTGAATCTTCTTCCTGACTAGTAGACGAGTCTGGTGTATTGCTAGGTGGGGTTGAATCAATTTGAAATAGCGAGTCTACCTTTAAAAAAAAATTTTTAATTGGGGCCTTAGGTCAGCAATTTTTTACAATAATTTTTAATTTAAAAATATTACCAAAATTCCTTCCTCTTGTATCGGGTCTTCTATAGATATAACAGACGATACATCAATTTCTGAAATTAATTCCTCCTCGAGTCCCAAAAGCCATCTCTCCTTGTTCAAAATATTTTCCTTATTTATTAACAAAAGTGTTGTCACTGCATAAATAGCTGCATTTCTAAAAATTATTTTTAGGAAATTAAAAAAAATTTAATTTACATAAAAAAGTACAAACTAATCCCAAGCGCAGCATAACTCCACGGAATGAACACATTACTAACACCCCTAAAATTTTTTTTAATTTAAAAAAAAATTTAAAAATTTGGGCTAACCTTGAAAGAGCAGACAAATCACTCATTATATAATTGAAAATATTTTTTTGAAGTACAAAAATAATTGAGAATAAATTTCTGTTTAAAAATGTGTTTTTCTGCTGAAAAAATAATTAGAGAGAGGGGACGGCCAAATAATTAAAAATATAAAAGGTGATTTGAAAGAATTATTTCTGTGGGCACCGTGGTGTAGTGGTTATCACGTCAGTCTCACACACTGAAGGTCCCCGGTTCGAACCCGGGCGGTGTCAATTCTTTTTTATTTTTTAAAATTTAAATTTTTAAATTAAAGAAATTAATTCTAAGAAATTATGGTTAGGAAATTAGAATTAGGAAACAATAGGGTGGGTCTAAACTAAAGTATTACCAAAAATATTTAAAGTAAATTTTAAAAATTTTGAAAAAAAAATCATTTTAAAAAACAGCGAAAAAAAGCATTCAAATATTTACCAACAAATATACAACAGAAAATTAAACATACAACGAATACAGAAAATTAAGTAAAGATGTACAATACAAACAGAACAAATATTTTTATATCTTTTTGAAGTTTCTGTTTACACATCTCAAGTCGTTTAGATTGCACCTATATTCATCATCTTTGTCCATCCTTCTATCGTCTAGAGCGAGCGCCTACTGCTTCCAGAGGATCACGTTGTAGTTGTCGACCCGGACAAGAAGTGAGTAGTTGTCGCCTTGGCTACTGCAAAAATTAAAAAAAAAATTTTTAACCTCTCAAAAAATTTAAAAAAAAATTCCCAACTTGATCGAGCAGACGCCAGTACGCGAGAAGCTAGCACTGCATTGCCAGTCACAGCAGCCATGTTTGGCGTTGAGAGCGTCCCGGACAAATTTGCCAATCTCCGCGATCGCTTTGAGAGAGTCGTGCATCGAACCATATCTACACAAAAAAGAGGAGGATATTAAAAAGATTTAAGAAGTTAAAACTTGGCGACAGCTTCAGCAATGACTTGATGAGCAAAGTCACGCGTTCCAGCAGGCGCACTCTGACTGTTGTGCTCGATGATAACCCTTCCGTTCATGTTTGGAGGTTCGACTGAAAAATTAAAAAATTTAGAAAACGTTTATAGAAGAGAAAATTTAAAAAGAAAAAAAGGCAACGAACCTTTAGACTAATTGATGAGTAGTTGACAAAGTTGTTTAAAATAGCTCCAATTTTTTGGGTTTTTATATTATAAAAATTTCCCTTAACTACAACCAAATTTTACTGTTAAAATAAGTAAGGTCTTTAAATTTTCTTTTAATTTTATTTTTCCATATTAAAAAAAGAAAAAAAATATTTCGAAAAAAATTGACTTGAAAACAAAATTAAAGCAAGAAAAAAAATAGAAAATAGAGTAGGGCAAGAAAATTTGTTTGGACAGAAAAATAATATAAAGCTTTAAATATTTTGAAAATATTTTGAAAAATATACTATGTATATAAAATACAAGGAATGCATAAAAATGATAGCCCCCCCCCCTTAAAAGCGAAATGAAATGACATAGAAAGATTTTCGATTATTTTTTAAAAGGATTTTTCAAACCTTTTAAAAATAAGGGTTGTCGTTATTTAAGAAATTCACAGTTCACCCGACAACCCCTAGTTTTTTAATTTAAAAAACCTAACAATCTTTTTTAACAGATTTGACTGATTTTAAGGGGATATATTCTCTTCTTCCTCTTTTAATAATAAAAAAACGTTTTTCTTCCTAAAAATTCCAATTTTTTTAAATTCCATTTTCTTCTTCCTCTACTCCTCCTTTCTTTTTTATTTTTTCAATTTTTAAATTTTCCCCTTCTTCATTATTAATTAAAGTTTCAATTGTTGTATTTAAATTATTTTCTTCTTCCTTCTCCTCTTCTACCTTTTTAATTTTTAAACATTTTTCTCTATAATGTCGACGTTCAAAACGTTCAAATTTATCAGCTAAAGACAAACTCCAATCTATTAATATTGAATGATTTGGATTTAAAATTAAATTTTTTAATTTATTTTTGGATGAATATTCATTGTTGTTTGTTGTAAAATCAGTAGAAGTTGTTGTTGGTGTTGAATATTTATATTGACCTTGAAGAAATAAATTAATTTTCTAATTTTATTTTTGAAAGGTTAAATTAATTTATGAGAGAAATCTTATTATTCTTAGGTGAGAAGAAATAGAATAATTAATTTAATTTTAATTGAAGATGGTTTTTTTTGAAAAATTTCAAAAAAAAAATTTTTTCACAAAATTTTCAAACTTTTAAAATTAAACAAATTTTAGAAAGGTTTTTCTAAGCCAAACACGTCTTTTAAAAATTCCCTCTAAATAAAAATCCTCTTCACTTAAACTAGTAAGAAAATCTGAAAAGCAAGGAAGCCTAAAAATCGGTCCAAAATTTTTTCCTGAAAATTTTTTAAGGAAATTTTTTGTAAATTTTTGAAAACTTTTTTAACTTAAAAACACTAAATTTGGGTGTCAAAATTTTTTTGATTAAAAAAATTAAAAATAATAATTATACCCATAATTAAATATTTTCTTCCAACTTTAATTTTTGGGCATTTACATTCCAACAATTTTTCAGATAACCAAATAGCCATTTCTTCTCCAGGTTCAATTAAATTAAAATTATTTTCTTTTCCAAAGTCTTCGTTTTTAATTTCATTTTTTAAAATTGAAATTATTTTTATATAGTATTTAGCCCATCCATTAATTAATTCACGGCCAATTACTTGCAAATGGAAGGCTAGAAAAAGAAATTTTTTAATTAAGAAAGATTTTAAAAATATGAAAAATCTTTCAAAACTTAAAAAATTTTTCCGAAATTTTTTTTTAATATTTTCGGAAAATTTCGAAAAAGATTTATCAATTTTTTAAAAATTTTTAACTAGTGGCAAAAATCTTAAATTATAAAAAAATTTTCAAAAATTCCCCAACCATAATCATTTTTGCAAAATCTTTTGTGTGTTAAACGTGTAGAAGACGCTTTACATTTATCACATTCTTCTACAAAAAATTAATTAAATTATTTAACAAAAATAATTTTAAAAACCTTTATTTGCGGAATTTTTTGAATCAAAAAGAGCATTTTCTGCTGGTGGAGGACCTTATAAGGAAATTTTTTTTGAAAAATAAAATAGAAAATATCTTACGAATACAAGGCGTAACAGGTGATTGGGATTGTTGAAAGCCTTTAGCACAACGATTACAGGTTGGGCCTTTAAAAAAATTTATTTGAAAAATTTTTCAGAAAATTTCCAAAAATTTTCTTGAAATTTTTTTATTCAAAAATTTTTTAAAAATTTTTTAACTAAAAAATAACCATCAACTCCAAGTTTGCAAATACACTGTCCACTTGTCTAAAAACAAAATTTATAAAATTAAAAAAAAATTATTTTAAAGAAATACTTGATTGCAATTTCGAGATATAGAGCCTATTGGATGACACAAACAAGCTAGAATTTTTTTTATTAATTTTTGATTTTTTTAAATTTACGTTTGCAAGCTTTCCTATGCGTTATTGGTTTGTTTTGATCTCTAAAGTAGCCAAGTTTGCAATACTAAAAAATTAAAAAATAAATTTAAGATTAAATTATCAAGCTTCCTGTCCCTGTCCACAAATTAATTCCCAAAAATTTTCCATAATTTCCCAAAAACTTAAAAAATTCCAGCACAAAAAAGATCAGAAAAATAATTTCCAAAAAATTATTAAAAAACAAACATGACAATTTCTGCCAGCAGTATTATGCCTACAATTTAGACAAACACCTCCACTTTGATAACCACTAAGACGGTAAAGTTCTGCATTGAAACGACATTTTCTGCTATGTAAATTACAATTGCAGGCTGAAATTTTTAAAAGATTTTTTTGTTCTAATGGACACTTTTTTTAAATTTTTTCTAATAAATTTTTAAATTTATTTATTTGTTCGTTTTTTCCAGTCATTTTTTTAATAAAAAATTATTTATTTTTTCTTATTTTTTGTATTCTTCCCCCCTTAACTATTCCCTCATTTTATTTATTTATTTTTCAATTATATTTTTAATTTTTTTTTCCAATTTTTCAATTCACGCCTCACAGAGAAAAATGAAGGGAATGACCGAACAAAAAAAAGCGTATAACACAAACAAATAATTCAACAAATAAAAGTCCCAAAAATATATTTATCGATAATTAAATTTTGTTTTTTTTGATTGGGTGTGAAAATTATATTTTTTTATAAAAAATAATTTTTTGGCGGATGAATGCGCATTAAAAAAAACTTTTTTTCTGGAACAAGTAAATATATTAATGGGCAATATTTTTACAGATTTATTAAAAATAAAAAATAAAGAACAGAAAGGACCACTAACATAAAACGGTACAGAGAATTTTAGATTTTCAGATTTTTAGGTCATTTAGGTGAACAGATTTTTATAAAAAAAATTTTTTTCAATTAAAAAAAAATTCTATATTCAATTTTTGTTTCAATAAATTAATTCAAAATATTTCTTGTCATAAATTATATAAAAATATTTTATGACCAGATGCCCTTTTTTTAAATTCTCTAAATTTTTTATTTGACTAAATCCTCACCCCTTTATTTTTTATTATTCGAGAAAAGAGGTAATTTGCATTTACTGTTGTCATATCCCTTCCCCCCCCCCCCCCCCTTCCCTATTTTTTTCCATTTCTACTAAAAGTCATTATTCATTTCCGCCGTTCATTCCTTTTATTTTTGAATTCAAAAACTTATAAAAAGAAGTTAGAAAACTTTTAGAAAAAAAATTTCAATTTTAAAACAAAAAATTCTAAACGGTAAATGACAAAAATTAATTTTTTTTAGTGTCAAGTGATACTTTCTAATAATTTTTTTAAAAATCCCCATTAGAAAAAAATTAAAAAGAACCGCCCCTTAAAATTAAAAAAATAATTTCTCGCTTTCTCAAGTGTTAAAGAGGATGTGCAATATATCCAATACAAAATATCACCACTATTTCCGTACTCGCGCAGATGGAAGGAAGAAAAAAATTTTTTTTTCAAGTGTGGAAAACCGTAGTTTTGTTGATGGGGGTTGCAAGGCCAACGAGGGAAAAAAATAAAAAAGGAAGCCGGCATTTTTTAAATACCAAAAATTAGTTGGATTAAAGAGAAGAAAAGGATAGGATTGAATAAAAAAGGAATCATGTAAAGAATTTATAAAAAAATAAAAGAAAATTTTTTCCTTCTCAATGCTTTTATTTGTTGAATTATTTATTTAAGAGGGGGATATATTAATGGGAAAATTTTTAAAAAATATTAATGCTATTTAGAGTTGTTTATTGGATAAAAATTGAAAAAGTAGAGAGGAAGGAATGTGAAAAAATTTAAAAAAGAAAGGGTGACCAAACTTTAAAAATTATTCTTAAAAATATACCAATGCATGGATTAGCATCATCAGCACCAGCACGAGCCCAAGGCCTATCATAATGGAACGGACGGCATTTTTCACAGTCTAGCCCTGTTGTTGCGTGTTTACAATCACAGGCATACCTTAAAAAAATTTTTTGGAAATTTTTTGAAAAATTTTTCAAAATAAAAATTTCATTTGAAAAAATTCAAAAAAAATTTTTCCCCTCGCAAACCTTCCCATACGGTCAATAACACAACGACTAGCATGCCCATTGCATTTACACCGTCCTCCTACTGCCAATTCAGCCATTGCATAAAAATAGCGTTCCTTCAGTAATTGTTCACCAAATTTTGAATTTAAAAAATTTCCTTCTCCAATTTCAAAAATAGAATTATTATTATCCCTTCTAAAACGTTGAATATTTTCTTCTAACCAATACATTTGGTTTTGAACAGTACTTAGACGATTAAAAACTATTTTTATATCTGTTGCGGTTACCCAATCTTGGAGAACCTTTAGAAAAAAATTTTTGAAAATTTTAAAAAAATTAAAAAACCGGTGATTGTTCAAATTCCAATGCTGAAGGTCTTCCTTCTAAAGTAGCAAAAGCTATTCGATTTGATAAAGGTGAAAGTGAACGAGCATCTGTACATCTTGCTTCCTTAAATTATTAAAAGTTTAAAATAAATTTATTTTTCAGTACAAAAATTTTTCTTTAATTTTCTCAGGTCAAAAATAAGGCAATAATATTTTTGAAAATAATTTCCAAAAAATTCTCTCTTCCCAAAAATATTTTCTCCTCTTAAAATTTAAATTAAAAAAATAACCTGTTCATTTTCACGAGTAATTTTAGCATCTTTTGGTCTTTTATAAATATTTTCACATTGAGACGAGTAAAATTGCATTGGAATCCAAGTACGTCCACGATTGTTGGACTTAAAGGAAAAAAATAAATTGTATATTAAAAAATATTTTTCAAAAATAATTTTTAATTAAAAAAAACTTATTTGTAAATAGCCAAAGAATCAGCTATACGTCCACAAAAATGAAGAGAAACGTAAGTTATCTGAAAAAAAATTTAAAAAAAAGTCTTGCCCTTTTTCTTCTAATTATTCTCTAAAAAATCCTCCTCTCCTATTATCTCTTAAAATTAAAAAAAAATAAATCCCCCTCCTAATTACCCTTTTAAAATTAAAAACAAAATAAAACCAAAAAAACCTCAAATTTCTTTCCAAGATTTAGAGTAAGTGTCACATTCGAAGGGGAAATATTTGTTGTTGTTGTTGTTGGTTCACTAACCCAACAAGTCAAATTATCTGGATTATTCAAATCTGTCAGTAATTGAGCTGGATGAGCTAAGGTTAAATCTTCAGCATCACAAATCTCGCAGCGTTCCCGCATTGTTCCATCTTGTGATTCTTCCAAAAGACAAAATCTGTGGAAATTTAAGTTTATATGCCAAAAATTATATGCCAAAAATTAAAAATTTTTTTAAAAATTTTTGAAGGATTAGTAGAAAAGAAGTAAGATTAAAAAGAAAAAGCCGAACAAGAGGAGGAAGAAAGGAAAAACTTATTTTGACAAATTTGAGGAAATAAACAAAAGAAAAAAATAAATAAAAATAAAATTATTTTCGAAATAAAAAAATGATTGGAATTTTTTCCTAAAAAATTTTTCACTTTTTAAAAAAATTTCAAAAACTAAAAAAAAATCTTAAACTCCTAAAAAGCTCCTAAAAAAACTCTGAAAAATTTTTTTCACTCTTTAAAAATTTTTTTAACACCCTAAAGACGATGATAGTTCGATCTTTCTGGAGAAATAATTTAATTAAATTTTAAAATTTAATTTTTCTTTTCTTTTTTTCCCATTCATTTACTTCAATCTTTATCGACTTTTAAAACTTTTCCATTTTTACTTTAATCAAAAAAATTTTTTTTAAAAAAAGAAAAGCTTACGGGTAAAAACACACAAAAACATTTTCTTTTCCTTCAACGTACTTTTCAAGTTTTTTTATTCATTTATTTATTTTTGTGTGTTTTCCACTTGCATAAAATTGTGTGGAGTTAAACGGACGCCAAATTAGCAAAAATAAAATAGTGGCTTCCATTTAACAAGGAAAAAATAATAAAAATAATTTTTCACGGTGCGCAACTTCCTAGTAAAGATGTGCGCTATTTACTTTTTTTCAAATCTTTCCAACTCCAATTTTCCACTTAAAAAATTATTACGCACATCCAAGAGTAATTACAATGCTTTTCCCCTATTTTTTAATGTTTCTGATCTTGTAAGGATAGAAATAAATTTTATGACCGGTTCCTTAGTCATTCTTGGAAGGGAAGAGATTCTTGGAAGGGAAGAAAAGAGGAAAAAATATTAAAAAAGCCAAACAAGTATAATAAACAAATAAATCATTATACAAAAAATCCACTTAATCCGAAAGGCCACATTGAAAGGGGGAAAACAAAAGAAAATGAGAAAATAAGGGAAAACAAGAAAAATCAAATAAAAATCAAAATAAATGGGTGATTTGAAGAAAATAAATTATCTGAACGGAAAAATGTTTTGTGAGACAAATTGGTGGACAGAAAAATTAGGGGAGAGGTTGGCACGGATTTTTGGGGTCCCAAGAAAAAGTCAAAAAAAAATTTAAAATTTAAAAATAACAAAAAAATCCAAAAAAATACTCAAAATGTCCAAAAATTAAAAACCCCATTTAAATTTTTAAAAATACCTCGAAGGTTTTCCATTAGTTCCACAAGTGCTAGAAGCTACAATTGGCTTTCCAAAGGCTAAAAATTTAAAAAATTAATAAAAAAATCTTTGGAAAGTTTACCAGCATTAATAAAATCAGGAACACATCTAACAGGTCTCCCAGCAGAATCATAACAAGGATCTCTATCTGGCTGTCGAAGAGAAGAAAATTGTGAAAAATAGGCCGTCCAAATTGGAACAAAATTGAATAAAAAACAATAAAAGAGTGCAAAAAAGGACGACGAAATTTTTGCCATTTTCTGAAAATAAAAAAACCTCAAAAAAGGGGAAATAAACACTTAAAAAGTTTTTTGTTTTTTCATTTTAAATGTTTTTAAAAAGGATTTCTTAATGCCCCCAAGATTATTATTACTAAAAAAGAAATTCTTTTTAAAGAAAAATAAAAATAAGTTTAGAGAAGGGTGGAGTCTTTCCTCTAAAAAGGATTTCTAAAAAGGATTTAAAAAAGGTTAAGGGAGGAGGGGAGATGCGCCGCTAATTAAGCGGCGCGAAAAATTTTTTTGTGAATAAAAAACAACAAAGAATGCGTGTGGGAGAAAAATACTTTTTTTATTTTGTTTGTCCAGAAAGGCGCTAAATGGGCGGGGAAATTGAGGAAAAAAGAAAAAAGGAGTTAAAAATGTTAAGAAGAGAAAAATGGGACAAAATGTCCAGTTTTGGGCGGGAGAAGCAGCAACCCCCGTTGGAGATTGTAAAAGAGAAGTGAAAAGAAAATGATGACCAAAATGAGTGACGGAAATGGGGGTTTAAGCAAAAAAGGCGGAGGGGGAAGAAAATGGTAGGAAAGTAAGTGGACAAGTTTTAAATTGAACTGGTCAAGGGGGGAGGACTTTAATAGAATTTTGGTCTTTTTAAGAGTACCCAAAATTAATTAAGAGTGGAAATGAGCTTCATTTTTATTTCCTTTAGGGGATAGATTTCTACTTGTTGGTGACCCTACTTTATCAAAAATGTGTGTGTGTTGCCAAAAATAAATTAAAGAAAAAAGTGTGGTCAAGGGCGCTAACTTATTTTAGTATTTTTTGTCCTTAAATTAGCTGGCACGTGCAATTTAATTTCCTTTTTTTTTGTTTTTAAAACCTTTCCTATTATTCTCGTTATATAAAAAATAAATTTGAATAAAATTTGAGGAGTTTAAGATTTTAATTAAAACCCTAAGGTGTCGAAGGCACAGAAAATTAACTTTCCTGCGCTTTTGTCGAGAATTTTTGAAAAATTTAGACGTCGAATAAGCCACAAACTTTGAGAAGAGTTTTGAATGATTTTTAGGAAAAGGAAAGAATTTTGAAGTTTCCAAGGAAGAAAATGGGATAATCTACCCTTCCCCTCAAAATACAACAAACAATCCAAATGAAGACAACAAAAAGTTTTCTAAAATTATGACGCACTCTAGCAGCCGCTGGGAAAAAAAAGTTGCGCAAAAATTATATTTTGAAAGGCAACAATTGTTCTCGTCAATTTTTAACGAGGAAAATTTCTTGGAAAATTTTGAGGAATCAGCGGGTAATGACCAAACAGAATTATGTAAAAATGACAAAAGGATTTGGAAAAAGAGGAGGAGGGGGAAGATGGGGGTTGTTGTGGTGGTCATGGTCATTTCTTTTGAACTTTAGGAATTTTTAAAATAAAATTTATGAAAAAGAGAGGGAAAAGACTGCGTGAAATAATGAGAATAAAGTTTTAGAAACATAAATTATGACTATAATTGCGCGCAGATTTTGGTTTCATGAGAAAATTTTTGGGAAAGAATTTCTGATAGAATTTTAAAGGAAATGAGGGACTAATTTAAAAAAATGATCAAACCTTAAAAACATAGCAAGACTAAGTTGCTGTCACTTTAGTAAGTGTATTAACATCCCATAAATATATACACTTATCCAAACCAGCACTAGCAACAGTTTCTGAAGGATCACGAGAATAGGCCAAACAACGAACACAATCCTTGTGTATTTTTAAAGTTGAAAGACAAGTTCCTTTTTTTCTAACATCCCAAACTTTTACTGTTGTGTCGGAGGACGCAGAAATTACTAAAAATGAAAATCTAGGCTTTAATTTAAAAATAAAAACCAGCGTCTACTTCCACCACTACAAAGAACAATATCATTAACCGAGTAAACTGACGTTTAAACAACGAAGAAATGGATCATTTAAATCTTGCTTTGCCAAAATATCCCATTGTCGAATTACAGAATCTGAACCAGCAGAACGTCCAACATTATGGAGAAGTTCATATTGAAGAGTCTAAAAAGAAAATTGAATTAATATGGCTATTAAATGATTTTTGAAAAATAAACTTTGGTTCAGGCTTAACAGTTGTTGCATTTTCCTAAGGTATTCCAGCTTCTAAAAAAAGAATTTCTATAAAATTACGATGTGGAAAAGCTTAGGATGTAGGGAAAATAAGCAAATATCAAAAGTAAATTACAGATACTTCACAAACCCCCCAATGATGAGACTCTAATAGACCGATTCACCCTAGCCCTGTAAGTGAGAGACAATGTTAAATTCAAATTTACACTGTTTTGTGCCAAAATGTTGTAATGTTTTTTTGTTTACAAAATGTCTCTACTCGACAATCCACACACTCTCTAACTAGTGTGTCTCAGTTTTGTTTGATTAAGATTTTTAAAGTAGATTCTAGAAGAGTTGAAAGAAAATCCGCTTTATGTTTTACGAATTTTGAATTTTTTTATCACTCATTAAATCTCCATGGAGATTAAAATTAGGATAATATTTTGAAAAATTTTTTTAACTTATTTTTTTAGTGCTGACTGCAATTTGTCTACAAAAACAAAAAAACTTTTGGGATATCTTGTTTTGGATTTTTTATCAATCAAAATAATCTAAAAATGAGTGCTGAAGAATTGCAATCTTTAACAACTGAGGCCAATTTAATTATTGATAATTTTGCTTTGGTTCATGGGAATGTTTTTCAATTTGATGTCATATTATCAAGTAATTTTTAAAAAATCGCTCATGAACTGAAGGAATAAATTTTCTTATGTAATAAGATGTAGTCCAAAAATTACTATAATCATTTGGACATATTCCATTTCCAATGTTTAATGCTTTATATGATTCCTGTATCTGTAAAATTACTAGGCGAAAGAGGTCAGGGGTTCGACCCCGCTCAGGGAAATTATTTTTTAAAGTTTAATGAGAAGTCAAAAGTAACCATTTTTGGCACCTATATAGTGATTTTGGACTATTAAATTTAATTATATTAGAAAACTATTCAGTTTTATGAGCGTTACTCTTACCAAAAGTTTTTTTTAGAAAAACTTGATTTTGAAAATATAAAATTTGCTCTTTGTGTTCAACCGAAAGCGAACCAGATGGTAGAGGTATGGCTCCACAGGACTGCCTTTACAAATTTATGCATGTTGATTATGAAATTGTTGCCGTTAAAGGCTACGACGTCAATGCTGAACGAGTTTTAATTTCAAAGTATGGTTTTTTAAAAAATTCGAAAATGGTTAAATTTACGTTTAAGATCGAATTATTCTTTTGAAGATGAGGAAAAGTTGGGGCTCAGAGCGTGTGAATTTGGAGCTTTATTGGCTAGTGATGGATGTAAGCATTTAATTTTTGTGTTTTTATGACCCGATAACGAAAGCTTCGAACTTTTATATTAGCTTGAAGGGATGTGTTTTAACAAGATGTGTTTTGCCCACCTATATCGCATCTCTTCCATCAAGACGTCGGCCCAATTCGGTTCTGAATGTGACTTTTTAGAGTCGACCATATAGCTCCAATAGGTGTTCAAATTCTGCTTAAATTAAATTTTAATTGTTAATTTTCGCCAAAATCGTAAAAATATTAACGTATATAGGTAATTAGAATCCTTTATACACTATTGTAATGCGACAAGGTCAAATGAGTATACTCGCAAAATCTTACCAGATTCTAAAAAACTGATACCAAAATGTCCTTACATAAAACAGCTTTCCCAATTTCTATAATTTTGAAAATTTTTAAAATATTTCTGTTTTTCAGCTTTGCATTTACAATGTTTTGTAAAAATTGAAGCTTTTAATTTAAACGCTGACATACAGAAAAAATACAAGGAGTTGTTTGAACAAGCAAATTGGACTGATTACCAGATACAAGTTTATTTATATTGTAGTTTTATATAAAATATTTTCAAAGGTAATTAGTGAGGAGAATGAAGTTGAAGTAATTAACGTGCACAAATCTATCTTGTCAAACTATGGAATATTTCAAGCAAAGTTTAGGAGTAATCCAACACAAGTATTTTTAATTTAAATTTTCATAGGTGGGGGGGGGGGGGGTCAAAATACTTCTGGGTTAAAAAAATTTTCTAGAATCAAATGCGTATCACTGATTCCTCAGCAATAGCTGTGAAATGTTTTCTCTTGTATTTATATTGTGGTGAAATTCAAACTGGTTTCAAAAAATTTCTTAATTAATATTTAAATTTTTTTTAGAACTCTGGGATGAATATTGCTTTGAAATATTAATATTAGCCGATAAATTTGTAATCGAAAGTTTACGCCACAATGCAGAATGTTACGTGGCAAGTAAAATCTGTAAGAAAATTCTGTTTTAAAAATTTTTTAAATTATTTTTATAGCTGATTTGGATGATATTTACCGACTTTGTGAAGCTTTGGAAAAAATTGAAGTTGGAATTATTTTAGAGGTATTTTTATAAATTCGAATTTTTGTAATGTCTTTAATATCAGGCATGTAGACGTTTCATTCAAGAAAACCAGGAGGGAGTGGACAACGAATTCTGGAATAAAATTCGAGACAAATGGCCGAGGGCTCTGGAACTTCTCAGAGGACGTTAATTTATACTTTATTTAAAATATTTGTTTGTTGATGAAAAATTATTAAAATATTTAAAATATAAAATATTTAAAAGAAAAATCTTCAACATAGAATTTGGTAACTTCAGGGTGGCCATAATTTAGAGTAGGCCGTTTCATAATATCTGTTTCAGAGTACGTTAAAATCGGGACGATTTAGTCTTCTTACATTTTATGTTTTAACGAAAAGGAAAGTCTAAATATTTTCTACTAACACGATGGATAAACGTTCGACTTTTGCAGATGCAAACTGTGGCGTTTGCAAATCTTCATCCAAATTTATGAAAAATTCTTATAATCGAGTCAGTTTTAGTTTAAAAATAACTAGAATTATATAAATTATTGATTATTTAAATTTATTGATTGTAAAGAAATATATTCAATATTAACTTCTAAAATTTAATTAAAATAATTAAAATAAACTCTAAATAGTTTGGTTTATGTCCAACATTTTTCACAAAAATATAGCCCTCTTTTTACAAAAATATTGGTTTCCACAAAATTTTTAACAAAAAATCAAATTCTTTTTCGATTGATAGGAAAAAAATATAGATTATCTATTAGAAAGAAAAAGGGTTGGATATAAACTTAACTTACCGATAAAGATTATAACATGCAACTTTCAATGGAAAGTAGTCAAACTTGAAGAAATTTACGAAGCTGTTCAACCTGGTATAAAAACACAATTAATAAGTATTATATTTAATTCAACTTTTAAAATAAAAAAAAGTTTTTCCAGGTCGTCAATTTTCGGTTCCAAGTTTTACTGAAGTGGCATGGGAATTAGTTCTTGAAATTTACAAATTAAGGCTTGATATTAGAACTGTTAATATATGGCTTCGACAAGTAGGCCCTTGTACTATAAATGATGTTGCAAATACAAAATATAAAATTTATGTTATCAAAGATGACAACAACCGTGTTCTTATTTCAAGGTTTTTAAAATTTTTCAAAAATTTTTCTGACATTAAAGCACGCCCTGTCAGCGATATAGATAAGATCCACCAAGGGCGTGCCCAGGCTGGATTTCAGGCATTGTAGTTGCGTCAAACCTTTAGCGTTCCGAACAGAAATACTACTTTTTTACCTAATCTCGGCGGGTAAGTATTACAGATTTTGTTGACATAATAAAAAATTTTAAAAAATATGTTATTTATAAAATGTTTTTAGATCAACAAATGAATTGGAAGATCAACAAAGAATGGGGTGTACTACAGTTTCGTTGGAAGACGTAATTTCTAAAGCAAAAGGGTCGTCTAATGATATAGTACTTGAAGGTTTTTTAAAAGATAAATTTTAAATAAATTTATGTGTTTGAGATTCTCAATTTTTATTTTTAAACCTTTATAATTTTCTTTTATTCTAAAATTTTAGGATTACAACTTTATTGCGAAATTAAACTTTTTTATGTGAATTCATTCCAACTTCTACAAGACAAATATAGAAAAATGTTAAAAGATGAAACATTTACTGATTGTATTTTTAAGGTTTGTTTGGTACTATTCTCTCTGAATTTTTTTCTTTCTACTAAAAATTACAAATGGTCAATGGAGCGTAGATTTTTTTGATGGCTTCAGATGATTTAAATTTGACTATTTGCAATTTTTATTAGAAAAGAAGAAAAAAGAACGAAAGGAAAATGCAAAAATTTTATTAAAATTAATTTTTTATTAAAGGTTGGTGATGTAATTATGAAAGCGCATCGGTGCGTTTTGGTTCAAGGCAGTGTAGTATTTAAAATAATGTTTGGAGATGTTGGCATGATTGAAGCAAAAACTGTAAATTTTTTTAAATTATGTTTTATGGGCTTTTTAGAAGAAAATCTTAAAAATTTTCCAAAAAATTTACTTAAAACACCTAGAAAAGATTTAAATTAAAAGGAGATATGTATCAGGGCTGGATTTTCTTCCGCTTTTTAGATTTTTTCAGCCAAAAGTATACTCCCTAATTTTGGTAAAACCTGTGGTTTTTCTAGAATTAGCCAATTCTAGACGTGATCACTTTCAGATTTCGTACAATGAAATATAATGTTTGTATTCCTTAAAATTTTTTTATTGAGAATATTTCAATAAAAATACTTCCGTCTACTTTTGTCTTTTTGAGTTTTCCACTTTCGTCTTCCGCTTTTTAAAATTCAAAATTAGCCAGCCCTGATGCGTATATTATTTTTAATTTTTTTAAAATAAATTTAGGGTGAAGTCACAATCTCTGATACTACTCCAGAATGTTTTCGAGCATTGTTAGAATATATTTATACTGGAAAAATTGGAAAAGGTTTATTTTTAAAACTTCATTTTTAAATTAAATACTTTTATTTTAAGATGTATTGAAAAATAATGTTGAAGGTATTTTTGCTATTGCACATAAATATCAGGTGGAGATGTTACAATATGAATGTGAACGTTATATGGCATCTTTGCTAAGTTTGTTTTAATTTTTTAAAAATTTTTTTGAAAATGGCTGGGGTTCAGGACTCATAAAGTTTTAAAAATTTCAAATAAATTTGCATTTTTTATTTTAGATGCTGAAACATTTTTTAAATATTGTGGAGTTATTTCTTTATATGGTGCTACTACTTTGGAGATTGTAAAAAATATTTATATATTTTAAAAATTTTACTTATTTTATAGGCATGTAAAGAATATTGTTTAAAAAACAATGAAATTTTTTTTGCTTCTAAAGAATGGAAAGATGTTAAAGAAACTTATCCAGAATTGGCTACTAAATTTATGGATTTTTATCTTTGTGATGGAATTTATGGAGGTTATTATGAAGTATCTTATTGATAAAATTACTGAATTATTATAAAAAGATGATTTATGAAGAAAAGAACAAAAATAAAACCTCTCATGAATTCAATTTTAAAAAGTTTTTCCTTTTATTTTTTTAATCACTTAATTTTAACTAATTATCACTTAATTTTTATTTAATTCTTCTAATATTTGTTAATTTATTTAAATAAAAAGGTTGTAAATTTTTATTTTTTAGAAAAATTTTTTATTCATAAAACTTGTAGGCCTTAAAAGCTAAAATAACTTTTTTTAATTATTTGCTTTAGATAGGATTCGAACCATCCACAAATTATTCCAATCTCCTTCTTGAACCTAACACAACTCCACTTATCCACACTTTACCGTTCAAATGTCCACTGAAGCGGTCTTTGGCCTTTTATCGTTTTTACCCTTTTTGACTTGTTGTCTACTGGCAAAATGTCAATCGTATAATGTCTTTGTGACATTTTGTCCATTTTTACCCTTGGTGGCAGATTGAAATATTTATGACGAGATAGTGCAATGAGAAAAGAGAGGTTAGACAAAATATTTTCGGTTAGACACGATTCAGCGCCCACGATTCAGCGCACACGATTCAGCGCCAGCACGATTCAGCGCCAGCACGTTTCAGCGCCAGTTCTTAAAAATTAGTGCCCGGCGCCGGACCGGATCCGGTCGGATTTTCCAGGATTAATCCGGTCCGGGAAAAAACCGGAAACCGGAAAACTTGGATTTGGGACCCGAACTCCGGAAATATCCGTTCCGGCGCCGGACACTAATTTTTAATAACTGGCGCTGAAACGTGCTGGCGCTGAATCGTGGGCGCTGAATCGTGCTGGCGCTGAATCGTGTGCGCTGAATCGTGTGCGCTGAATCGTGTGCGCTGAATCGTGGGCGCTGAATCATACCCCACCGAAATATTTTGAGTTTTCTTCAGAAAAATTACTTAATTTTTTAAGTTTTTTTCATTTTTCTTTTCTAAGCTTCATTGTTTTTAGAAGATATTTTTCAATTTCAATAAATAAATGTCTGCACCAGTTCCTGTTTCTTTTATGGGAAGGCCAGGTGTTTCTTCAGCACCTTCATACGATGCAAAATCACAAATTTTGTCACAACAAGAAGAGAGGGCATTAACAGACAAATCAAAGAAATGGAAACAATTACAATCAAAACGTTTTGCAGAAAAACGCAAATTTGGATTTGTCGACTCACAAAAAGAGGAAATGCCTCCAGGTTTGTTTACTTTATTATTTTTGTTGTCTCCGGAATTTGGGCTATTCTTTTATGGCTTATAATATTGTTAGAGGAATGAGCATCCAACTTTGAGAAGGAATAGATTCAACTACATCCTTAAAGGGGGAAAGATCCATGAACTGATTTGCTTGATCTGTAAGAAACAAAAAACGTTTATTAGGGATGGGTCTGATCTTAAAATCAGTCGGTAACTTAGTCGTTAGAGCAAAAGCGTCCTAACAATAACTGCTAGGAGATTGCAGGATCGATGCCTGCCTGAGCTTAACATTTACCTCTTTTACTCTCTGAGCTTTTCTTAAAGCATTTTCAATATCTTTTTTAGAACACGTTCGCAAAATTGTTCGAGATCATGGCGACATGACTTCCCGCAAATACCGCCATGACAAACGTGTTTATCTTGGAGCGTTGAAATACATGCCTCATGCTGTTATAAAACTCATCGAAAATATGCCAATGCCATGGGAGCAAATACGTGACATCAAGGTTTTGTATCATATTACTGGAGCAATAACTTTTGTCAATGAAATTCCTCGTGTTATTGAACCTGTGTTTATTGCACAATGGGGAACTATGTGGATTATGATGCGAAGAGAAAAACGTGATCGAAGACATTTTAAGGTTTCTTTAGTTTTTAATGTCGTAATTTGCCTTTTTTGTTAAGCGAATGCGTTTCCCACCATTTGACGATGAAGAACCGCCGCTTGATTATGCGGATAACATTTTGGATGTTGAACCTTTGGAACCAATTCAAATGGAGTTGACTGAGGAAGAAGAAGGATTGGTGAAAGATTGGCTTTATGATCATAAACCTTTGGCTAAAACAAGGTTAATTTTCTAAACTTTGGTTTAGTTTTGTATGTTGTAAGCAGGGGCCGACTTACTGACATGAGAGGGTGTTGCAGGGAATTCGTATTCAGGACGGGCCTCCGCAAGCTTTCTACCGGAAGGGAAATTCCCTTTCACATTGACGATAGAATCCTACTTAAAATTATAAAAAAATTCTTTTAAAGATTTGTCAACGGAGAATCTTATCGAAAATGGACTTTTACAATTCCAATGATGTCTACACTTTATCGTCTTGCAAATCAACTTTTGACTGATCTTTTGGATGAAAATTATTTTTATTTGTTTGACCTAAAATCGTTTTTCACTGCGAAGGCTTTGAATGTTGCAATTCCTGGAGGACCTAAATTTGAGCCTTTAATAAGAGATATGACTTTTAAGTATGTTTTTTTAGATTTTATTTATTTGATTATTTTGCTTCTTTTCCAGTGATGAAGACTGGAACGAATTCAATGACATCAACAAAGTTATTATTCGTTCTCCAATTCGGACAGAATATAGAATTGCGTTTCCCTTCATGTACAACAATTTGATTAGTGCTTTGCCTGTAACTGTTTGTTGGTATCACACTCCATCAGTAGTTTATATTAAAACTGAAGATTATGACCTTCCAGCTTTCTATTTTGATCCTCTTATCAATCCAATTGCGCAGAGACATACTGAACGGGTAAAAAATTTTTCAAGTATTTTTAGAGTCAAAGACAAGGCGATGCCATTAACTAACAAAAAATTTTAAACGATATAAATTTTTTGTTCTTTGGAATCGCAAAAATAAAAGAAAATATAGGCGGGCCATTAATCTTTTTATATGTTGATTTTTGGTCAGATTCTATTTATTTTCTACATTTGAACTCTGAAATCTATAACAAGAGTGTCACGTGTTTTCGAAAATTTATGGGGCCAAAAAGTCTGTGTTTCGGGTATCGGTTTTCGGATAATCCATGACACTCTTGTCGTATATCAGTATTCTATTTATCATGCAAAACTTTCCTGATCTTTAATAAATTTTCTAAAAAAATTTTTAGATGCCAGAACCTTTACCTGAAGATGACGAAGAAGAATTTCAATTACCCTACTCAATGCAAGCAATGTTTAGCGAATTTCCTCTTTACACCGAAAATACAGCAAATGGAATGGCATTGATTTGGGCACCGAGACCATTCAATACACGCTCTGGTGGTACTCGACGAATAATTGATGTACCTTTAGTTAAAACTTGGTATAAAGAACATTGTCCTGCTGGAATGCCTGTCAAAGTTCGAGTTTCTTACCAAAAGTTGTTGAAAGTTTTTGTGTTAAATGCATTGAAACATCGACCTCCAAAGCCACAGAAAAAACGGTTTTTTGAATTGAAAAAATTTTTTAAAAGTAATTTTTCTTTATTTTTAGTTATCTTTTCCGTTCTTTCAAAGCTACAAAATTTTTCCAATCTACAACACTTGACTGGGTTGAAGTTGGATTACAAGTTCTTCGTCAAGGCTATAATATGTTAAACCTTTTGATTCATCGAAAAAATTTGAATTATCTTCACTTGGATTATAACTTCAATTTAAAGGTTATTTTAATTAATTTTTGGGATCAAATGTCTCTTTTAAAAAGTCTGTCGCTTTTTTTTCTATTTTTTTATTTTTTTAGCCTGTAAAAACGTTGACAACTAAAGAACGTAAAAAGTCTCGTTTCGGAAATGCTTTTCACTTGTGTCGTGAAGTTTTACGTTTGGCAAAACTTGTTGTAGATGCACACGTACAATACAGATTAAATAATGTGGATGCTTATCAACTTTCTGATGGACTTCAATATATTTTTGCTCATGTTGGTCAACTAACTGGAATGTATCGTTATAAATATAAATTGATGAGACAAGTTCGTATGTGCAAAGATTTGAAACATTTGATTTATTATCGATTTAATACTGGGCCTGTTGGTTAGTTTACTTTTTTTTAACTTTAAAAATAAAATTACAAAAATTCAGGCAAAGGACCAGGCTGTGGATTTTGGGCACCAGGCTGGAGAGTTTGGCTTTTCTTCTTGAGAGGAATCACTCCACTTTTAGAACGTTGGTTAGGCAACTTGCTTTCACGTCAATTTGAAGGGAGACATTCCAAAGGTGTTGCAAAGACTGTTACAAAACAACGTGTAGAGTCACACTTTGATCTTGAATTGAGGTTCTTTTATAATTGCTAGTGGAAAATATTTTTTATTTTTTAGAGCTGCTGTTATGCACGATATTTTGGACATGATGCCCGAAGGAATCAAACAGAATAAAGCTAGAGTAATATTGCAACATTTGAGTGAAGCTTGGCGTTGTTGGAAAGCAAATATTCCTTGGAAAGTCCCAGGCCTGCCTACTCCTGTTGAAAACATGATTTTGCGTTATGTAAAAGCAAAAGCAGATTGGTGGACAAATTCAGCACACTACAATCGTGAAAGAGTTCGTCGCGGAGCAACTGTGGATAAGACTGTTTGTAAAAAGAATTTGGGACGATTAACTCGTCTTTATTTGAAGGTTTTTATTTTTTAACATTTATAATTTGCTAAATATTTTTTTAAAGTCTGAACAAGAACGTCAACACAACTATTTGAAAGACGGTCCATATGTTAGTGCCGAAGAAGCAGTCGCAATTTATACAACAACAGTTCACTGGCTTGAATCTCGTCGTTTTTCACCAATTCCATTTCCACCACTCTCATACAAACACGACACAAAACTTCTTATTTTGGCATTAGAACGTTTAAAAGAAGCATATTCAGTCAAGAATCGTTTAAATCAAAGTCAGAGAGAAGAGTTGGCATTAATTGAACAAGCTTATGATAATCCACACGAAGCTCTTTCAAGAATTAAACGTCATATGTTAACGATGCGTTCATTCAAGGAAGTCGGAATTGAATTTATGGATCTCTACAGTCATTTAATTCCTGTCTACGATATTGAACCTCTTGAAAAAGTTACTGATGCTTATTTGGATCAATATGTTTGGTATGAAGCCGATAAGCGACGTCTATTTCCATCATGGGTTAAACCTGCCGATACTGAACCTGCTCCGTTATTAGTCTACAAATGGTGTCAAGGAATTAATAATCTTCAAGATGTTTGGGATACTGATGAAGGAGAATGCAATGTTTTATTAGAAGCTAGACTTGAAAAAATGTATGAAAAGATGGACTTGACTTTATTGAACAGATTGCTTCGTTTAATTGTTGATCACAACATTGCAGATTATATGACAGCTAAAAACAACGTTACAGTGAATTATAAGGACATGAACCATACAAACTCTTTTGGTAATTTTATTAAATATGCCTTATTTTTATTAAATTATTTTTTAGGAATCATTCGAGGATTACAATTTGCATCATTTATCGTTCAATATTATGGACTTGTTTTGGATTTGCTTATTCTTGGACTTCGTCGAGCCAGTGAAATTGCTGGACCGCCACAAGTATTTTTTCCTTTTTACAGAATTAAAATTTTTTAATTTTCCTAGTGTCCAAACGAATTTTTGTCATTCGAAGATGTCATTGTTCAGTCATGTCACCCAATTCGTCTTTATTGCCGTTATATTGACAAAGCTTGGATCTTCTTCCGATTTAATGCTGACGAGACAAAAGATTTAATTCAACGCTACCTTTCTGAACATCCAGATCCAAACAATGAAAATATTGTTGGATATAACAACAAAAAGTGCTGGCCTAGAGATGCTCGTATGCGTTTAATGAAACATGATGTTAACCTTGGACGTGCTGTCTTTTGGGATATCAAGGTTTTTTCCATTTCATTTTGTAAATATTTTTTAGAATCGGCTTCCTCGTTCTCTTACAACAATAGAGTGGGAAAATTCATTTGTTTCTGTCTACAGCAAGGATAATCCAAACTTGTTATTCGATATGTCTGGTTTTGAGGCTCGAATTCTTCCAAAATGTCGAACTGCCTCTGATGATGTGACAGCAAATAGAGACGGAATTTGGAACTTACAAAATGAGGTTTTTCTTGCATTAAAATGTTTTATTTATCCTTTTTTTAAAGATCACAAAGGAACGAACTGCCCAAGCCTTCTTAAAAGTTGATTCAGAATCGATGGAAAAGTTTCATAATCGTGTTAGGCAAATTCTTATGTCTTCTGGTTCAACTACTTTTACTAAAATTGTTAACAAATGGAATACTGCGCTTATTGGTTTGATGACTTACTACCGCGAAGCTGTTGTAAATACACAAGAATTGTTGGATCTTTTGGTAAAATGTGAAAACAAAATTCAGACTCGGTCAAATTTTATTTATGCTGTTTAAGAATATTTTTTCTACTTTTAGAATTAAAATCGGTCTAAACTCAAAAATGCCTGCACGTTTCCCTCCTGTCGTCTTTTACACTCCTAAAGAAATCGGTGGTCTTGGAATGCTTTCTATGGGGCATGTGTTAATTCCTCAATCAGATTTGCGTTGGATGCGTCAAACTGATGCTGGAGGTGTTACACATTTTAGAAGTGGAATGACTCATGATGAAGATCAAATTATTCCAAACTTGTATCGCTACATCCAGGTCTTATTTTAATTTAATTTTTAAAGGAAAAATATTTTTTAAAGCCTTGGGAAGCAGAATTTGTCGACTCACAACGTGTTTGGGCAGAATACGCACTCAAGCGACAAGAAGCAAATGCACAGAATCGCCGTCTTACTTTGGAAGATTTGGATGATAGTTGGGATAGAGGAATTCCTCGAATCAATACACTCTTCCAAAAAGATCGAAATACACTTGCTTATGACAAGGGATGGAGAGTTCGAACAGAATTTAAGGCTTATCAAATTTTGAAACAAAATCCTTTCTGGTGGACACATCAAAGACATGATGGAAAACTTTGGAACTTGAACAATTACAGAACTGATATGATACAAGCTTTGGGAGGTGTTGAAGGAATTCTTGAACATACACTATTTCGAGTTTGATTTTTAAATTATTTTTGTTTATAATTTAATTTTTATTAGGGCACTTATTTCCCTACATGGGAAGGACTTTTTTGGGAACGTGCATCTGGTTTCGAGGAGTCGATGAAATTCAAAAAATTAACAAATGCCCAACGTTCTGGATTAAATCAAATTCCAAATCGTCGTTTTACACTTTGGTGGTCTCCTACAATTAATAGAGCAAACGTTTGTTTTTATAGTTGATTTGTTTTATAATATGTTTTAAAATTAGGTTTATGTTGGATTCCAAGTGCAACTGGACTTGACGGGAATTTTTATGCATGGAAAATTGCCAACTCTTAAAATTTCCCTTATTCAGGCAAATTTTTTGAACATTTTTATCATGTTACTAATTTTTTATAGATCTTCCGTGCTCACTTATGGCAGAAAATTCACGAGTCTGTTGTTATGGATTTATGTCAAGTTTTTGATCTCGAGCTTGATCCTTTAGAAATTCAAACTGTTCAAAAAGAGACTATTCACCCTCGTAAATCATACAAAATGAATAGTTCTTGCGCTGATATTTTACTTTTTGCCCAATATAAATGGCACATTTCTCGTCCATCCCTTTTGGCTGATACTAAAGATGTAATGGATAATACAACAACACAAAAGTTTTGGTTAGATGTTCAACTTCGTTGGGGTGATTATGATTCTCACGATATTGAACGTTATTCTCGTGCTAAATTCCTTGATTATACAACTGACAATATGTCTATATATCCATCGGTAAAAATTTATCTTACATATGCTACCTTCGCATAAGAATAGCGTGCGTCTTGCGACGGACGGCAGATGACAAGATTCCGGCGTTGTTCATTAAGAACCTTCTTCCGCCTCGCTTGCGTCTTGTCACCTAACATCTGTCGTAGAACGCGCGCGATTGATTGTAGCATTAAAGGTAATGAGTCACTTATTTTTAATATTTTTAAAGCCTAATGGAATCTTAATTGCAATCGATTTGGCATATAACTTGTACAGCGCTTATGGAAATTGGTTCCCAGGAATGAAAGAATTAATTCGTCAAGCTATGGCAAAAATAATTAAAGCAAATCCTGCACTTTATGTACTTCGTGAACGTATTCGAAAAGGTCTTCAATTATACTCTTCTGAACCTACAGAGCCATATCTTACATCGCAAAATTATGGAGAACTTTTTAGCAATCAAATGTTTGTTTGCTTTTTTGATTTTAAAAAAATTTTTTTTTTAATTTTTTAGTATTTGGTTTGTTGACGATACTAATGTATATCGTGTAACTATTCACAAGGTTTATAATTACATAAATTTATTTAAAGTATTTTTTGTTGTATTCAGACCTTCGAAGGAAATTTAACCACCAAACCGATGAATGGAGCCATTTTCATTTTTAATCCTCGAACAGGACAGCTTTTCTTAAAAATTATTCATACAAGTGTTTGGGCTGGTCAGAAACGTTTGAGCCAGGTTTCTTTTAATTTTTGCCTTTTTATCATTATTTTGAAGTTGGCAAAATGGAAAACTGCTGAAGAAGTAGCTGCATTAATTCGTTCATTACCTGTTGAAGAACAACCCAGACAAATTATTGTAACACGTAAAGCTATGCTTGATCCTTTGGAAGTTCACTTGCTTGATTTTCCAAATATTGTTATTAAAGGGTCAGAATTAATGCTCCCATTCCAAGCTATTATGAGAGTAAGAGGACAATTCTTAATAATTTTTGAAAAAATTTTTTTAGATTGAAAAGTTTGGTGATCTTATTCTAAAAGCAAATGAACCTCAAATGGTCTTATTTAATCTTTATGATGATTGGCTTAAGGTTTTTAATTTTTTAATTTAATTAGATATTCCCGGGATCCGGGGACACGATCGAGTTTCAAAAGAGCGAACAGGAAACATTCTGCGAGATCAATCCCAGTAATTCCGTTTGTTGCTTAAAACCCAGGATTCCGGGACGGGATCTTGTAAAATCCCATGCGGAATTACTCCCATGCCGATCTCTAATTTTAACATTAATTTATTTTTCCAGACAATTTCAAGCTACACAGCATTTTCTCGAGTTATTTTAATAATGCGTGGAATGCATATAAATCCAGACAAAACAAAAGTTATATTAAAACCTGATAGAACAACAGTAACAGAATCTCACCATATTTGGCCAACATTATCAGATGATGAATGGATTAAAGTTGAATTAGCATTAAAAGATATGATATTAAATGATTATGGAAAGAAAAATAATGTTAATGTTGGTTCATTAACACAATCAGAAGTTCGAGATATTATTCTTGGAATGGAAATTAGTGCACCGTCACAACAAAGACAACAAATTGCTGAAATTGAAAAACAAACAAAAGAACAAAGTCAATTAACTGCTACAACAACCAAATCTGTTAATAAACATGGTGATGAAATTATTTCGGCAACTACAAGTAATTATGAAACACAAACATTTTCTTCAAGAACTGAATGGCGTGTTAGAGCTATAAGGTTTGTTTATATATTTTAGTTCGCATTTGGATCTACACCAGGGAAGCTGCTGACATAAAAAAATAAATTTTTGAATCCTCGGGGTTAGGAGATCATATACCTATAGAAAAGATTTCTCAATAGCTTAAGCAGAACAAAAAACATTTTTCAAATTATTTCTCATTTTTTCAACTTGTTTTTTTTAAAGCTCTACAAATTTACATTTACGAACTCAACATATTTACGTCAATTCTGATGATGTTAAAGATACTGGCTACACATATATTTTGCCCAAAAATATTCTCAAAAAATTCATAACAATTTCTGATTTACGAACGCAAATTGCTGGTTATATTTATGGAATTTCTCCTCCTGATAATCCTCATGTAAAAGAAATTCGTTGTATTATATTACCACCACAATGGGGAACACATCAAGTTGTACATTTACCAAATCAACTTCCACAACATGAATTTCTGAAAGATTTGGAACCTCTTGGATGGTAAGATTGTTTAAAGAAATCTCTGAAATTTTCGAAAAATTTTTTGAAACTGTCCGAAATTTTTTTTTGAAAATTTTCTGATATTTTTCTTTAAAGGATGCATACTCAACCAAACGAATTACCACAATTATCACCACAAGATGTTACAATGCATTCAAAAATTATTCATCAAAATCAATGGGATGGTGAAAGAAGTGTTATTGTTACTTGTAGTTTTACACCAGGATCAGTATCTTTAACTGCTTATCGTTTAACTCCAAGTGGTTATGAATGGGGACGTAATAATACTGATAAAGGAAATAATCCAAAAGGTTATTTGCCTTCACATTATGAAAAAGTACAAATGCTTTTGTCTGACCGTTTTCTTGGCTATTTTATGGTTCCGTCGTCTGCTGTTTGGAATTATAATTTTATGGGTTTGTTTACTTTTTTTAAAGATTATTTTTGATGATATACTCTTAAAAATCAAATTTTTTAACCTAAAAATCTTTAGGAATTTTTTTCTAAAAAATATATTAAGGTGTTCGACACGATTCAAATATGCAATATGATGTTTGTTTAGCAGCTCCAAAAGAATTTTATCATGAAGATCATCGACCTTTACATTTTCACAATTTCAATGTTTTTGAAGACCCATTGGGAGTTACAACTGCTGACAGAGAAGATGTTTTTATGGCGACATAAAAAAATGATATTTTGCAAACAAAAATATTTGTAGTATTTTTTAAAATTTGTTTTCGTTTTCAGACAGTAAACACACTTTTTCGTTAAAACTTAATTCATTTATTTTTGAATAATTTCCGTTTAATGACGGTGAATATTTTTTAAGAATTTTGCTAATTTAATTATTTCTATTTCAAATAATTTACAGGTTTTCTTTAGTGTTCTTTATCGACATGCGTCTTTCTGTTCAGGTTTTGGGGTTGTCTCTTTGGGGTTTCTTTGGGTAGTTGTCCTTTGGGGGTTTTTTGGGTGAGATATCTCGTCGGTCAGTGCCTGTGAGTTTCTTGTAGGTCAGTGCCAGTGAGGTATCTTGTCGGTCAGTGCCTGTGAGTTTCTTGTAGGTCAGTGCCAGTGAGGTATCTTGTCGGTCAGTGCCTGTGAGTTTTCTCGTAGGTCAGTGCCAGTGAGTTATCTTGTCGGTCAGTGCCTGTGAGTTTCTCGTAGGTCAGTGCCAGTGAGTTATCTCGTCGGTCAGTGCCTGTGAGTTTCTTGTAGGTCAGTGCCAGTAAGTTATCTCGTCGGTCAGTGCCTGTGAGTTTTCTCGTAGGTCAGTGCCAGTGAGTTATCTTGTCGGTCAGTGCCTGTGAGTTTCTCGTAGGTCAGTGCCGTGGAGTTATGTTTCCTTCGGGGATTTCCCGTTAATTTTATCATTAGACCATCACCAACAATAACAACACACCAGCAGAGGGGCCTCCACTTGCTCGCCTTTTAGATTTTATTTGTGATCAAATGTAATGGTTTTTGTTTGTAAATTGAAGAAAATTTTTTTTTGAATTTTTAGAGATGCCAACAATTTCGAATTAGACTCTTGCCATCCTCTATTACCTCCTCAACGCCTAAATTTTTGATTGAAATCGAAGGATGCAGTAGAAATAGGAAGAGCAGAAGAGAAATTGGAAAGGTTTTAATTTTATTTTTTTTTGCGGTTCTAAACTTTTGGGATTTAATGTGTAATTTTTAAGTTGTTCCTTTTTTTAAATCGACCTTTACATTTTCACAATTTTAATGTTTTTAAGGACCCATTAGGAGTTGCAACTGCTGACAGAGAGATGTTTTTATGGCGACAAAAAATTATTATTTTGCAAACAAATATTTGTAGTATTTTTTAAAATTTGTTTTCGTTTTCAGGCAGTAAACACACTTTTTCTTTAAAACTTAAATAATTTTTAAAAGATTTATTTAAGTCTAGATTTCCTTTTTTGATTTTTCAACATCTTATAAATTACCTTGATTATTGAAAAAAAGTTTTTAGCAAAGGAAAATTAATATTTTACTAAAAAATAATGCAACAGCAGCAGCAACAACAACCCCCTCCTCCTATAAAAAAGAAAACGCAGGTTTTCTTTAAATAAAAAATTTGTTAAATAATTTTTTTATTTTTAGATTTCTTTTCTAATAAGAAATTCTCCAATCGAAACAAAGCATCGAGGATTTATAAATTCACTTCAATATGATTGTAGTTCAATGCATTTATTTTCTGCTGGTTCAGATTCTGTAATTCGACAATGGGATATTTTGGCAAAACAAGGTTTAAATGATCCATTTCTTCGTTGTTTAGAACATCATTGTGATTGGGTCAATGATATTGTTCTTTGTAGTGGTGGAAGTAGACGTTGGTTTTTTATTTTTAAATTAAGGCCTAGATTTCTTTTTTTAGTAATTTCTGCGTCCTCCGACACAACAGTAAAAGTTTGGGATGTCAGAAAAAAAGGAACTTGTCTTTCAACTTTAAAAACGCACAAAGATTGTGTCCGTTGTTTGGCCTATTCTCGTGAACCTTCAGAAACTGTTGCTAGTGCTGGTTTGGATAAGTGTATATATTTATGGGATGTTAATACACTTACTAAAGTGACAGCAACGAATAATACAGTTACAAGTATATATTTTTTAATTTTTATTTATACTTTTTGGGAGGGATTAGGACTGTTGTGGAAGAAGAAACTAATTCATTTTTGTTTCTTTGACCATCCTAAAATTCTAACAACCTCTTTTAGAGCAGATGCTTTCTTGAAAATTGTCTTTAAAAATTTTATCGACAATAGCATTTTAAGGCTTTTTCCACGGGTTTAAGGTTTAGAGGTAAACCCGAACATTTTTTAGATCCGTAACATTTCTATCCTTTTATTTTAAGCTTATAAATAATTTTTAAAAATTTATAGCTTCTTCCTTGCGTGGAACCAAAAACAGCATTTATTCGCTTGCCATGAATGAATTAGGAACAGTCATTATTGCTGGTTCAACAGAAAATATTCTTCGAGTTTGGGACCCTAGAACATGTCAAAAAATTGTTAAATTACGTGGACATACAGAAAATATTAGAGCAATTGCTGTTAATAGAGAAGGAACTATGGTTTTGAATTTCTAAATTATTTAAAAAATTTTTTTGAGATTTTTAGTGTTTGTCAGGTAGCAGTGATGGAACTATTCGCCTTTGGAGTATTGGACAACAACGTTGCATTGGTGCGGTTAGATGTCATTCAGATAGCGTTTGGGCTCTTCAGGTTAATTAAAAGTTGTCTTAAAAACTATCTCAAAAATAGTAGATTTAGTGAATTTTTTTAGTAGATATAAATTTAGCTACATATAAAGAGTCATGTCAGTCTGTAGTGTAGTGGTTTACGAGTCATCTTTAGTAGCTAATATTATTTTAGTTTTTCGGGGTTCGATCCCTGATAGGGAATTATTTTTTTTAGCATCGTTTTTCTATTTTATAGTTAGGTTTTCTCAATTCTAATTATTTTTTAAACAAGTTTTTAATGGTTTTTATGTTTCTAATTATAGGAAGAATTAAGAAAAAATTTTTTAATTTTGTAAAAATCAATTTAAATCTTTAGACAGATTCAAATTTCTCTACAATTTATTCGGGTGGTCGAGATCGTCGAGTTTTTCGAACACCTATGCGTAATTTGGGAACTTCTGACCTTCTTTTTATTGAACAAAAACCTATACAAAAATTAATTTTGGTTAATGATGGCGAACAGCAACAGCAAAAACATTTGTGGGCTGCTACTTGGGATTCTTCTATTAATCGTTGGCCTATACCTCTTGATTTTCATGGATTTGATAATACATCACCAAAAGTTAGACAACCTGACATGACGATTGGAGGTTTTTTTTAATTTTATGCTTTTTATTAGTAGCTAACTAGTAATATTAAACGCCACCTTGTTATCTTAGAATTACAAGCAAGGCTAGACCCGATTGCCTCCCTCCACTCGGGATGTGCCACAAACTTTAGTGTTATACAGGGAGTAAACTTACCAACTGCCACTAGTCCTCAAACCTGACCACTGGTAGATTCTTTTATATTTTTTTCTCTTATTTTTTAGGCGCTCCAAGCATCAGAAAATATGCCGTCTTAAATGATCGTCGCCAGATTGTGAGTAAAGATAGCAATGGAAATTTGGAGCTTTGGGATGCTTTACAAGCTAAAAAATTGAAAAATTTGCCGCAAGGCACAAGCATAGAAGATGTTATTAGAGAAAATGTTAGAAAGTCTTGGATACCTAGTTGGTTTTCTGTTGAAACTAAATGTGGAGTAAGTTGTTTTTTTAAACTTGAAAAATTTTGGTTTCAAGGTTCTTGAGATTACATTAGATGAAAGTGATGTTTTTTCTGCTTGGGTATCTGCTAGAGATGCTGGTTTTACTGATAAACCAAGTGACGCTAAAGGTTTTTTTGTGAAAATTTTTCTAAAAAATATTTTTTTTTAATTTTTAAGTCAATTTTGGTGGTCTGTTGTTGAGAAGTCTTTTTGAAAGATGGCCATATTCCTATCAAGGCGATGATGGTGATTCTCCCTTACAAGGATTTTATTCTCTTCCTTTGCATACTCCAATTATTATTCGGTTAGTGTTTCAGATTTTTTTTGCAAATTTTTCTTGGAGAAAAAAAAGAAAAGATACTTTCCGTTTAAGACATTTCAAAATTTAACGACTAAAATTATGGACACTTCTCCCCAATATTTTTTCTTCTGTATCATTTCTACTCCTAAAACTTTCCTATTTCTAGTGAACTTATTTTTTTATTTTAGTCAAAGTACTGATGATCTTGTAAGACCTTTATTTCGAACAAGTGTTCGTGATGCTGCTTCACAATCTGATTCTGCAATGTTAAAAGATGTATTGCCTGTTTGGGTTTTACAGGTTTGTTTTTTTCCTTTTTTTTAATTTTTTAAATTTCCAGGTCGTTGAATCCAACCATTTTCCAAAATTTAACAAAATTCCATTTTATCTACAACCTCATGGCTCTTTTATACCCAAATTTCAAATAAAAAAGTTTGTCTTTTTTTTAAACTTCTTATTAAGAATTTTTTTGAATTTTTCAGAGATCGTTTAAGCGCAACAGAAATGCTTCAATGCCGTAAAGTAATGGAACATGTTTGGGAAAAAATTTTATATCCGGCAGATAATTCATCAAATGAAAATGGAGGGGGTGGAACAACAACTTCAAGTTTACCTGCAATGCCTGAAAATATTGAAGAAAAAATTGAGCTTTTTTGTAATGATCAAAAATTGGATCCAGAAATGGATTTGAGGACTGTTAAACATTTGATATGGAAACAGGTTTTTTTTTTAATTTTTGGGGAATTAACAATCGAAGTACTTGAAAAAGTAGTGAGTCTTGTTAGTGGGACTATAGTCAAGCGATTGGGGTTTTTTAGGGGGTCCAAGGTTCAGGCAATTTTTTCAAATTTCCTCAATTCCATAACTTGGACAAGCATACCTGGATTTTTACCAAGTATCTCGATCCTTTTTTCAAGTACTCGATTATTTTAATTAATTTACTTTTTCTTATTTTTTCAGGGTGGCGATCTTCTTATTTTATTCAGACCAGTCAGATAGCGATTTCTGATTTTTCTATTTTTATGTATATGTATGTGATATCTAATTTTCTAATATAAATGATGCTTTCGTATAAATTTGATGACATTTAGTCCACAAAATTTGAAAACATGCGTATTTTGGCATAATGAAATGTATTTAAAATAAATGACTTTTTATCCCCATAATTAGAGAAATTGAAATTAAGAAATAGTGCAGGTAGAGATAAAAAGTAAATACAAAAACTGTGGTCGGTTGAGCGCGACTTTTTGAGAGCTGAGTGGCTAATTTCAAAAATCGATATCAATCGATACTAATCGATAATTTATTTTTTAAAAATTATAAATTTTCAAAAAATCGATACTAATCGATAAAATCGATACTAATCGATAATTTATTTTTTAAAAATTATAAATTTTCAAAAAATCGATACTAATCGATAAAATCAATACTAATCGATAATTTATTTTTTAAAAATTTTAAATTTTCAGAAAATCAATATCAATCGATAAAATCAATACTAATCGATAATTTATTTTTTAAAAATTTTAAATTTTCAGAAAATCAATATCAATCGATAATTTATTTTTCAAAATTTTATTTTTCAAAAAATCGATACTAATCGATATATCGATTTTTCAAACCTATAGTATATACTTCAAAACCCATTAAAACTTTAACAGCTAAAAATATAAACAAATTCAATATATTAATTAACAAGAGTATTCTTTATAACAAAAATCTTTATTCTTTTACATCAAGTCGACATATCGGATTGTTGTAGACCATTTGAAGATCAATTTTGTGTCCAAAAAGCTCACGAATATTTGAAATTCCATAGCGAATCATTGTTGGCCTAGAAATTTTAAACTTAAATTTAAAAAAATTAATTTAACAAAAAAACCTTTCAAGAGACAATCCAAAACCAGCAACACAAACATTATCAGGCAAACCCATTGGTAAAAGCATTTCTGGTCTAAACATTCCAGAATTTCCAATTTCCACCCATTTCTTTAATCCTTGATGATAAGCAAATATTTCCATTGAAGGTTCTGTATATGGATTGTATGTTGGTTTAAAACGAAGATTTTCAATTCCTTTAAATAAGGAAAAATTTAGGAATTTTAATTTTTAAATCTAATGTCCTGGACTAGATTCAGAAATTTAAAAAAATTCCTCAAGTCCCTGAAAAACTTAATAAGCTAAAAAATGCCTGTCCACCTAGCCTTGACTATATTCCCATTTTTAAAACTCAAAAAGAAAAATAAAGAAAAAACAAACCACATTTCCTAAAAAATTCAGTAAAAAGTCCAATAACATGTGCCAAAGAAAGATTTTTTTCTGCAACGACTCCCTCAACTTGATGAAATTCAGCTAAATGGGTAGCATCCAAAGTTTCGTTTCTAAAAACTCTATCAATACTAAACATTTTTGTTGGCACAAAACCCTAAGAGGAAAAATTAAAAAAAATTTAACAGAAGGAAACCTTTTTAGCAAGTGAATATAATTGTCTTGCAGATACAGCTGTTGTATGTGTTCGTAATAAATTTTTTTGAGCTTCTTTGATGTTCCAATCATACTTGTATCTTTAAAAATAAATATTTAAAAAAAATTAAAAAATGATTTTAAAAAGGAATCGAACCCTCAAAATTATAACCACAAAACCTATACACAACCAACTACACTACAGAGGATCGCTAATTGTTTCGTTAATTAATAACTTTTATGTGGATTGTTTTAGCTTTTAAATTAAAAAGAAAACAATCAAATGCTCAGGAGTTAAAAATTCAAAAAAAAAATCAAAAAATACCCTAGAGATCCATATCCACCTTCAGAATGCACTTTTTTAACACGCTCAACATAGTCTTTAGGAAATTCAGTGGAAATTGCTGGTTCTAAAAATTAAAAAAAATTTTGAAGCAATAAGAGCTTGTTACTAACGATGTAAATCTAACTAGAAATACGAGAGCTTATTCGAAACCCGATAAACTAGAGACGAAACATGGTTTTTTATCAATTCAACCCATCCCTGATACATATAATATACCCAAAAAACATGAATTATTTTCAAAAAAACCTGTCAAAAAGAAAGTATCGTGTGAATCTCTAGATGGGTGTTGTTGTGGTTGAAATAAAGCATCAAAATTCCAAAAGGAGGATTCCACAAATTTATTTGTTGGCATCTCAGAAAATCCCATTTGAAAGAAAATATCTCTAAATTCAGCTCTAACTTTGAGTAAAGGATGTAAATGACCAGATTGTGGTATTATTCCCATTGCTTCAAAATTGTATTTTTTGAAGTTTTTGTTCCTCCATGAACCTCTAAAAAATAAAATTAATTTTAGATAAGCAAAAACTTATTTCATCCGGTAGGAATCGAACCACGGGGTCGTTATTACATAAGGAAGTTTTTCAGAAAAGAGGCACCCAAAATAAACTATTGACTAAATACAACATCCCGCTATAGTGTCAGAGACTGCCAATTAAGGACCAAAAGTTAAAAGTAAAATATAGGTAAGCAAACGTTTATCGTTAGCCATCTCTCACTTCTTATGTTAGCAGTTATTGGCAGGAAAATTTTTTAGTTAACTAGGACTCCCCCGTTTTTAAAATTGATTTTGATTAAACCTAAAGTTAGGAAAACACAAACAGAAAAAATAATAAAAACTTAAAAAAAACTAACGTTGAAATCATTTCAGTTGTCAAATCCAATTCTGGTTTAGACAAATTCTCGTTGAAATTTGGACCTTTAGAGACAATCAATGCCTTGACAGATCTGTAAAAAATTAAAAACCTTTTAACCAAATTATTTAAAAAAATATACATTTCACTTATCCATTTTCTCTTTTTCAAATTTCCAATAGTTTTTGTATCCAAATTATGCGTTCCTTCTTTAATTTGTTTAAGCTCATGCCTAGCTTTGTCTTCAACAAGTTTCGCTTTTCTAACGACCAAACTAACTCCGTTTTTGACTTCTGTAGTTATCCAACCAGCAGATATTGCCTTTCCAAAACCAATGGGTCCAAAAGATTCTTTCTAAAAAAATTTTTTTAATTAGAGGGAAGCGCAGGGCCTGTAATTATCGGTTCTTGAGAATTTTCGGATATACAGAGTCGAAGCGAACGAAGAATTTAGGTTTTTTAGGTTGGATCGGCCCCGAACTAGCCCAAATCTATATGAGCATAAACAAAAAGGATCGAAGCCTTATAATTTTTCAAGGCCGAAAAAAGTGACTAATTCCACTAAAAATAAAAGGAAGGTCTTAATCAAAAGATATAGTTTAAAAAATTAAAACCTCACATCAATAATCGCTTTAGGAACACCCTGTTCCCCAACCAAATCAAAAACTCTATATTCATGAGATCCCTCAGCCAAAACTTGTTCTCCTTCTGGTGTCAATTGAAGTTTTGATATTTTAATTTCTTTTACATCTACCAACTAAAAAATTTTTTTCAAAAATTATTTAAAAATCTCTTCCACAAACAAACCTCCTCATGACTCTGCAAACTTTTTATTGCTCCAACAATTTTTTGATGATCAATATTTAATTGTTCAGCAAGCTCATTACTTTGAAAAGTTTCTCGTTGTTGAAGTATTGTTAACAATTGACTAGGCTCAAAAATATTTTCAGAAGACATTTTTAAAACTGGAGATATTAATAAACTAAATTTAAGAAATTTTAGAAAAATTTAAAAGCCTTTAAAAAATGCATGTTATTTCAAAATAAAAAATGTCAATAAATTTATTTTATTCAAATAATGGATAGAAAATAATGTACAAAAGATATTTCATCGAATAAACCAAAACCTGAAACTGCTATTTTTAATTTGTAGTCGAACCCACAGACATTCTGGATGGAAGCCGGGCGAGTTGATCGTCCAAAAAATAGCATTTTGGGTTAATTCCAAGTTCTAAAAATGTTTAAAAAAACACTTCCCTCCTCCAGATACAAACCAGGGATTTAAGTGGGCTTATTTGCGGACAAAACTTGCGGATGTTTAATATATATAACAAACAAACTTGCCTTGACCACGAAGAGCAAAGCCAACCACCATGAAGAGCACTACCAATGGCGCTCCCAAAGGCGGATACCAATGGGAGCCCCAAAGGCGCCAACCACCACCAGAAGAGCACTACCAATGGCGCTCCCAAAGGCGGATACCAATGGGAGCCCCAAAGGCGCCAACCACCACCATGAAGAGCACTACCAATGGCGCTCCCAAAGGCGGATACCAATGGGAGCCCCAAAGGCGCCAACCACCACCAGAAGAGCACTACCAATGGCGCTCCCAAAGGCGGATACCAATGGGAGCCCCAGAGGCCAGCCACCACCAGAAGAGCACTACCAATGGCGCTCCCAAAGGCGGATACCAATGGGGGCCCCAAAGGCGCCAACCACCACCAGAAGAGCACTACCAATGGCGCTCCCAAAGGCGGATACCAATGGGGGCCCCAAAGGCGCCAACCACCACCAGAAGAGCACTACCAATGGCGCTCCCAAAGGCGGATACCAATGGGAGCCCCAGAGGCCAGCCACCAGAAGAGCAAAAGCCAACCACCATGAAGAGCAGCCTTAAAAATATTATCAAAAATTAAAAAATGTCGAAAACCGACAAGTCTTGTCCGCAAGCCCCCCCCCCTTCAAGGACTAAACCCTTTTCCTTTTTTCTTGTAGGTGTGGAGATGTTGCTGTGTGAATTTTGTTGCAGGAGTGCCAACCAATGTTGCCCTGTCTTCGTTGTTGCCAAATTGAGTTTTGTGCAGTTTCTTTAAAAGGGAAAAATTCATTTAAAAAAATTTTTTATTGACAGAAAAAACGCTCCTGGGATACCCCGTTCACTGATAAGCCGGAACTCCATTTGTTATGTCAGCAAATGGAAAAGATTGGTGGACAGAGGGAACACGGACTCCTAATAACCTGATACCCCATCAAGAGACAGGATCGAGACAAAGGATTATGCCTGACAGAGGATAAGCTCTTTTACAAGCTTTCAAAAAGACCCCATCCCCATCAAAAGGACCACAAAAATAATCAAAAAAAAAAACAAAACCTGAAATCATCAGCAACAGATTCCCAATATTTTTACAAATAACAGATTGTTTCATCTTTCGAGCTGGTGAAGGTGTTTTTAAGCAATTTTTGTTGACATTTGAAGAAGACAAAAATCCTTTCCATTGTTGTTTCAATGGAGAAATGAATGATTCATCAATTGGAGGGCGTTGGAATAAAAATTTGTTTGTTGATGAAGAAATTGTTGTTGTTGAAACATTTTGATGAAATAATTCTTCATCAATTTTTAAATTTGTTCACTAAAAAAATTTTTATAGAATAAAATGATACATATTCGTCTTTGGACTCTGTCCACAAAATGTTTCTCAAAACGTGAAAACAAAAGGTTATTGATAAACAAGAGACACAAACAAATCAATAACCTTTCTCACTAATTAAAAGCAAACAAACGTCTCTCATGTTTTTCCATTATCCCTCTTCTATTATTGATTTTTTTCTCAGACCATTAATTAGACAACAAAATCGAGTACTGGTCAGAGAAGTCAAAATTTATTTTTTCCCGCGGAAAATAAGGAAAACAGTCAGAGAAGTCAATTTTTTCCCCACAGAAAGTGAGGAAAACCAAAATTTGGCTTCTCTGACCACTTCATGATTTTCCTTGTCTAAGCAACGGTCAGAGACAAAAATCAATAATTGAAGAGAGAGAATGCAAAAACAAGAGAAGATGGACAGTTAGTGCATTATTCTCATTTCCTTAAAGGATAGTGGACAGTTGACCGTCTTGCCTAAGTTCAGATCGAAGTCGAAACTGTTGCTTCAAACTCCTCTTCAAAATTGGAAGTATTAATAAACTAAATTTAAGAAATTTTAGAAAAATTTAAAAGCCTTTAAAAAATGCTTGTTATTTCAAAATAAAAAATGTCAATAAATTTATTTTTATAGAAAAATAGAACATAAAAGAAATTTAAATAAGAGGTAGGTGACACCTCAGAGTCCGACCATTTCACTCTCGAGGCTCTAAATTTGAGATTACTTTTTTAATTCTTATACCAATCGAAAGCTCTGAATTACGCGCTTTTATTCCTTTCAGAACTGAACTGATATGTTTAAAATTAAACAAAAAAAAGTTGTGGTAAAAATAAGGCCTCTTGAGTGAAATGGCAAGATCCTGTACAGTGTAGGAAAATTTAAAAAAATATTAGTAAGAGGATAGGAAGTTGAATTGGAATTACAATTAAGTCTAAAATATTAGAAAAAAATCCAAAAAAGAATAATTCAACTTCCAATCAAGTAAAAAAACAAATAAAATAATTAAAATTAATTTAAATATACCTATTTACATAAACTGAAAATTTTTTTAAAAAATTTTCCTCCTTCTTTAAACAGCAATTTCTTGTACAATTATTCTTCTTCTTTCATTTTCCATCTCTTTATTATTTTTAATTTCATTCAAATTTAAATTTTCTTCTTCTCTTCCTCCTTCTTCTTCTTGTTGTTCACACAAAAGTTGTTGACTTCTTTTAATTTGTTTTTGTTCATTTTCTAATTTTATTTCACACTTTTTTCTTAAATATTGTCTTCTCCAATGACTCCAAAAACATGCTAATATAGCCAAAATTAAAGAACCAATTAATACAATTAAAAGAAACGACAAAAATCTGGCAAATGGAGCTGTTGAATTAAATAAATTATTTAAATTTTTGTTTGTTGTTGAGTGACTGGTAGAAGGAATATTGATGTTATTAGAAGATGAATAAAGCTAAAAAAATTAAAAAAAAATTTTTAATTTAAAAAATTAAAAAAATTAACGTCAAAATATTAAAGAAAAAAATATTTGACCCCAAGAGGATTCGAACCTACAACAAAAAGTAGTGCAGTCGAGCACACTACCGCTATGACATGAAACTAGCATTAGTCCTAATCTAAATTGAAACTATATAGCAGTGAATAAAAACTTTTAAAGACTCCAACAAATTGTCAGCAACGAATTACAAAATTCCATTCTAAAATTTTTTCTAAAAATTAAAAAAAACCTTTAATTCCTCTTCATCATCATAGTCAATAATTTTTCCTTTCCATTCTCCACACAATGTTTCAATTAAATTTAAATATTTTTTTGATATTTTTTCTTCTGTAATTTTTGGAGAAAAACATTTACAAGAAGTATTAGATGTTTGTTCAAATATTGGGCTCATTTGATGACATTCTAATTGGTTACAAAAAGCGTCTGGTTGCTAAAAACATAAAAAATTAGATTATTATTGAGGTGTCCCCGTAATGCCCCAGTAATACCCAACCGCCAAACGTACTCTTTTAAATTATAACGACAAAGTCCGAAATTCTTAAGCAATTTGAAAAAATCATAACAAAATGAATAAATCCCGTTCATAAGAAAAAATACCTATAGTAATAATTATGGATAAAACTTAACCGGTATAATTTTAAAAAAATGTAATAGAAATTTTCTGCTCTGATTTTTCCCTTAAAATTCAATTCCTAGTTTCTTAAACTAAAATTATTTTAAAAAAATTATATTTACATTAAAACAACAACTGCATTTTTCATTTATCACCAGTGGACGATGTTGTTGTTTAATATTAATTTGTCCAGTACTAGCAGCAACACTTTGTCTAAAACACCTCGACAAAAATTGAACACACTTCAGTATTCCAATCATTTTTCTTTTTAAAAAATTAAAAAAAATTTTTAATTTCAAACAACCTGCAAACACAAATTGTTGGCGCCTTTTCCTTTGTCATTTTTAAATATTTTTCTGATCTACTACAAAAAGCATGAGTCCAATCGTCTTCACAGGCACATTGAGGTATTTTAAAAATATTTGTAGACAAATTAGAAGAAGGAAAATTGTCTTTTGTTAAATAAAAAGTGTCACTGTTGCCTTCTAAAATTAAAAAATTTAAATTTTTTAAAGAGACATTTGATCCCATATTAAATTTTTTAATTAAAAAACCTTTAAATGTGCATTTTGATGCATTTATCCAAACAATAAAATTAAATAAAAGAAAATATTTGTAAAGTTGAGAAAATGACGATGTTTTGCTTAATTTAAAAAGTTAAATTATTTTGAAGGAGACATTTGATCCCATTTAATAAAAATCAAAATTTAATTTAAAAATATTGGAATAAAAATAATTTTCAAATTATTCATTCCCATTTCGATTAAAAAATATAAAAAATTTTACCTTCCTCTCCTCCACCTGTTCCAATAATAAAAATATTTATTTTGTTGTTTATTTTTAACATTTCTCATCATTATTAAATATTTGTAATAATTTGTAGTTGTTAATGTTGATTGTCATTTTTTGGAAGCAAAAAATATATCCTAAAAAAGAAAAAAAAATTATTTAAATTAAATAAAAAATGTTTGTTGAATTTTTTAAAAATCTCTAGGGAAAAGTTCCTCCAAAAAAAATTATTTCTAAAATTTTTTTTTCTTGGAAAATGCAATTTTGGGAGAATATTCTAAGTTTCTTTTATTTACAAAAATTTTTTTTCTATTTATAAAATCACCAAAAAAATTTTAAAAATAAAAATAATCCTATAAAATAAAATTTTTTTATTATTTTTCTTTTGTTCGCCGCGTGTGATCTTTCTTTAAAATGATTCAATTCTTTTATTAAATTTATTTAAATAGGTAAATCTAGCGCAACGAATTATTCTTTTAAATTCATAAAAGAATTAAAAATTGGAAATTTTTTGAATTAAATAAAAAAATTTTAAAATTTTTTTTGGAATTTTTTAAAGAATATTTATTTCTCTAAAATATATATATTCGTCGCTTATTTTTCGAAAAGTTGCTAAAATCGAGAGGGATTGGTTTAATTGCGGTTTTGACTGTAAAATAAAATTTAAAAAAAGAAAAAGAAAATTAATTATAAGAAAAATTAAATTATTCAAAGCAAGAAAAACTAGCAATTAACTTAGAAGAAAAATATATTCGTAGATAAATTTACATTAATTTTTTCTTAAAAGTTTTATAACATTTTTAAATAAATACTTGGCGCGTTAAATGCTAATTTCTCTCTCTCAACTTTTTAAATATTCAAAAAGAATTAAATGGAGAACATAAATAAATAGAATAAATAATTAAAAATAGAGGAGGAAAAGCCTTTTAAAAATAAATAAATGAGACAAGCATTAACAGGAACGAGACGGAAAAATAATTTATATAAAAAAAGGAAAAAAGTTGGAGAGGCAAAAAGAACAATTAAAAAAAAAAAAGAAAATAAAAAATGAATAAAAAAAAGTTTTAGAAAATTTTTTTTAAAATTGTCTGAATATTTTGGAAAAATCTTCTAAAAATTTTTTAATTTAGAAAAGCCCCCGATTCTTTAAATTTAATTTTTATTCCCAAATTATTAAACGGGGGAAATAACCAAAAAATCCCATTTTAGTTTTATAAAAATACTTTTATTTTTCTTTTCTTTTTTTTTTGGTTCTCAAAAATGCCTGCTGTGGGTTTTAAAAAATATTATTATATAATAATAGACTTTTTTTGATAGAAAATGTTTTGACACCAAAAATTTAAAAGTGTTTAAAAAGTCTTTTGTTCGTTAAAAATAAAAAAAATAATTTTTTTTTGTAATTAATAAGAGTGCAAAAAATCTTCTGAACATAAATATTTTTATAAAAATTTTTACATTTTAAAACGCTCGCAAAATTATCGAAAATTTTTTTAAAATGTTTTAATCTTAATTTTACATAAATAAAAAAAAACAAACCTTCTATATTGTCAGTTATTGTCAGGCACCTCGCTCAACAAAATCAAACCTCCACCAACACCCACCTTACCTTTGAAAAAATATTTTTTTAATTAAAAAAAATTACTAAATTAAAAAATACTTTGATAACCAAACATCTTCAGATTCACTTCAAAATTAATCCAGAATCAAAAAAGAATAGTAGTTAACTCATCAAGCCGCAGACTTCATTTCCTCTTCAGCAACACCATGCAATTTCTACAAATTTTCCAACCATTTAAAAAAAAGCAAATAATTATTTTTGAAATACTTAATTAAAAAAAAAATTTTTTTTTGGTAAATATAACCAAAATAATATTTTTAAAAAATTTCTTAAACAAAAAAATTTTTATTTAACATAATTAAAATATTGAGACACAAAAAACTAATTTAAAAAAAAGCTCAAAAAAGTGATATTTTAAAATTATTTATTTTTCCTTCTAAAAAATCCTCTTCTTTTAAACAATTTTTAATTTATGGCACTTCAATTTCAACTCCATCAATATCAACCGAATTAAATTGAAATATTCTTGGACGTTGTCTATGCCTTAAAAATACTTCTCTCAATTCTTTACCCACACAATCTGGTTGAGCTGTTAAAAGGCCTAAATGAATATTTGGTTGTTTTCCAGTTACTACAACATCCACTAAAGGTCCTTGACAACGAAAAGGCTTTCCATCCTTAAAAAAATTTTTAGAAAATTTTTTAATTTTTTTTTGAAATTTTATACCTTAAAATTTAAAATTTTAAGAACCTCACTATTTTTGACCTAAATTTTTTTCCATTTCTTGCCTAACAGTCAAAAAGCGTGTTCTTTTATTTTTGACTAATTGAATATTTTTAAAGTATTAAAAAAATTAATTTTAGATAACCAGAATATAATCAAAAAAAATTTTCCTTTCCAATTCTGGTACGAAAAACAAAATTTAATTTTTTCTCCAATATGTTTTTCGCCCCCAAAATTAAATTAAACTTTATTCGATAGCTAGATTGCTTACTTACTTTTTACCAAAAAATTGGAAAAGGTTTTATTTTGAAAAAATAACGGACTTGAGAACTACAAAATCTTGGGGGAGCACAAAGAGGATAATAACAAAATCGAGTCAACCGGGGTCTTTAATTTTTTTCCAAGGGCCAATTCATAAAAAAATAAAGAATTAAAAAAAAACAAACTCGTTGAGAAATAAATTGTTCAACAACATTTACATCCCCAATTTGACACAATTCGATCGAAAATTCCCCAGGTTGTCGTCGACCACTTGAAGAAGATAATAAAAAAATATTTGAAGGCCAAGGCATCCAACGTCTACTTCTATAGACTAGTTTTCCTTCGTAAACGTATAAAACACCTGGGGGAAGTCTCTAAAAATTTTTAAAAATTAAAAAAAATTTTAAAATTTTTTTACTTTAAAAAAAATTTTTTTTGCTTTATCTGTGTGGTCCCCCCACTTTAATTTTTATTGAAGATGACTGTAAAAAAATTTATTTGTTTTTTATATTTGCAAAAAAAAAATAGAAGCAATTTAAAAATAATTTAGAATAAAAGGAAAATTGGGAGAAAATTGGTTATCCACCTAAAACACAAAAAATTTTTTCCCAAAACAAAATTATTTTTAAGATTGGAAAGTTCTATTTTCAAAAAGTTTTTTTCATTCAAAAAATTTAACCTGAACAGTTAATTTAGGTATTAATCCTCCTTCACCATTTTCTTCTTCATTTTTTGTTGTTCCGCCACCTCCCCCACCACTACTACATCCACTTTCCTGCACACAAAGATTATCAGGTTTTGATTGTTTTAGTTGTTGCTGCTGTTGACTATTGGTAGTTTCATTATTACTACTACACGGAAGAGCATCAAGTAAAAGGCCTCTAATATGCCAAAAATGACAAACAGAATCATCTGGTGGTCCAGGATCTAAACATTTAAAAAGGCAGCCCATTCAAAAACCAAAAAATAATTTTTTGAAGAAAGACCTGTGTAGTTAATTAAAGGAATAAATTGATAAAAATCAAATCCTGAAAAAAATCTAAAAATTATCTTTAAAAATTATTAAAAAACGTACTTATTAGATTGCAAAAGTGCGTCAAGATAGCAAAAATCCGGGCTCGAGGTTTTAGCCCGGAAAATCCGGCTCGGGTCAGTTTGAGAAACTCAGACACCCGTCCTAACAGGTTGAAAATTCGAGCTTTAGTATTTACTGATCAATCTTAAAAAACAAAAAGAACCCCGGAAATGGAGAAAAAGATAATAGCTAATCTAAAAGCAATTCCAAAGTTTCCGGAATAAATAAAAGAAAAAAGTTAAAGGAAGAAGAAAAAGATAGGCCAATATATACAAATAAAAAAATGGAAATGAGAGGGGGAATGAAGGGATTTGGACAAAAAATGAGAGGTGGAAAAGGGTAGTAGAAATTTAGAAGTAAAAACGAGAAAAAAATGAAACGAAAACGGCGATGAAGTAAATAAACGAGTCCGATGGGAGAAGGATTTTTTGGAAGAAAAAATGGAGGGGAAAAAGAGAAGAAAATTAGGGGAGAAATTGAAATTTTAAAATTAAAATTTAGAAAAAATTCTAGTGTCAAAAATAAAATAAGAGCTCAAAAATAGAGAATAAATATCATAATTAAAGCTCGGACTGAGTCGAGATCTCAAACAAAAATCTTTGTTATAAAGAATTTTTCGACTGTCCCAATACGGGCTCTAGTCACTCTAGTCATAATAAGTATTTAAAAAAATTGCCACTTATTTAAAAAAATAAAAAAATATTTCAATATTTCCGATATCCCTCAAATAAAGTCCAAAAAAAATTCATTTTACTTAAAGTAAATAAAATATAGGAAATCGCTTGTGCTAACAATAAATATAATTTATTTTGCGGTAAAAAAAAAATAAATAAAATAGGAAGGGCAAAGCAATTGTGCCTAGAGGGGCTAAGAAGGGTAAAACTCTTCGGGACATGTGGGAAAAGTGTTCATCCCATTTTTATATTTTTTTTTATTTACACTCTGCGTCAAAAATGGTTGGCCACCTAGTTTTTCCGAAATATTTTTTTTCAACTCTAAGACAGGGCGTTTGTTCTGGGAGATAAAATGTTTATATTTATCGAATTTATCTATTTACCAAAAATCTTATTATTTGATAATAGACGGGTTCGTCAAAACGGGAATAACTTAAAAACTGGTGCGTCAAAATAAGTTGGCCACTTTTAAAAAGCCTAGTTAGGGGGCAGCTAAAATTCCCCAAAAATTTCTGTGAACTTATCTATCAATATGTAATAAAATAGAAAAAGAACAAAGCCGAAAACTATCTAGATCACTGAGATCTCAAGCCTCCGTTTTCAACGGGAAATGGAGGTACAGTACTTCAAAAAATATTTTCGACCCCTTAGGGCATGTGTAAAATTTTCCTTTTATACTCGACAAATAGCCAATAAAATTTGCTATGAGATACAGAAGGACCCATCCTTATAAAAAATTTGTACGGATCAGCGTTCAGGCTAGAAAAAATGATAGCCAAAGATAGTGCATTTTTACGCTATTTCTGGGCAGCAGTTATTCTAGCCTGAACGCTGATCCGGACAAATTTTTTAAAAGGATGGGTCCTTCTGTATCTTATAGCAAATTTTATTGGCTATTTGTCGAGTATAAAAGAAAAATTTTACACATACCCTAAGGGGTCGAAAATATTTTTTTAAGACGTCTACCCCAGTTTTCCGTTGATTTTCGAGTTTTCAGATCTCAATGAAGGACTTATATCGGAACTTCATTTCTTTTGTATTTTCTATACATATCAATGGATATGTTTACAGGAATTTTTGTAGATTTTTCGGACCACTCCTATAGGTCAAAAATACAAGTGGCCAACTTATTTTGACGCACCCGTTTTTAAGTTATTCCCGTTTTGACGCATCCATCTATTATCAAATAATAAGAAGTTTGGTAAATAGATAAATTTGATAGGTATAAACATTTTATCTCCCAGAACAAACGCCCTGTCTTAGAGTTGAAAAAAAAATTTCGGAAAAACTAGGTGGCCAACCATTTTTGACGCAGAGTGTAGTTCCCGCTTTTCTCAGTGACGCTTCTTTTCTTTAAAAACTTTCTATTTTTTTTTCTTTTCTTAAAAAAAACATTTTCATTTTTTTCTTTCCAATTTACACACGTAAATTGCCTTAGAATATATTTACTATATTACTATTGTCAAAGTTTATATTTGTTTTTCATAATTGAAGGAAGAAGGAAAAAAATGTTTTAGAAAAGAGACTTCAACCACTTTAAAACAAATAAAATAAAAGGATATACATTCTAAGAAACGATAAAAATTAATAAAACACCCAGAAGACCAAAGCTTGGAAAGATTATTTAGAGATTAAACTGAGATATCGAACAACAATCAAAGTTATCGAGAATCAAGATGTTTCTAGGTATCTCGAACGATTCTTGTTGCCAAAATTCAGTTTTTCGAGAACTAAGATTTTTTTAATATCGATTTCGATTCTCGCATACGGCCTCCCCAGTCAGGTTCCAAAATTGACAGTGTTTTTGGGTGAAGGAAGGATTAACTTTAGTGATTATGAGTCCTTTTAATGTCGTCTGGTCCCTAAAATCAACAAGTGTTTGTCTTAGTTAAGAGAATTAACCCTCTTAATTTAGGATTGCTTAGGATCGCGCAATGCTTACTTAGAATTTTTAATTCCTATCCTCTCGATTGCTCTTAATATTCTGGTCTTTTTAAAAAAGAATTAGTTGATATAAATATGAGAGTTAACTAATACGATTAAATTTCTTATAGAGAAAGAAGAAAAATAGCAAAAATGATATCATTTTTTAATTTTTTTTCTGCATCATTTCTCAAGAAAAATGCAGAAAAAATAATTTACTGTTATAAAAAATGTTAAAAATTCTGTTAAAAACAAAGGAAAAAATTCTTCGCTTCACTAATCTCTTACCCCTTAAAAAATTTTTTTACTTCTCTTTTAACTCAAGTTTTAGAGCAACAATTTTTAAAAGAAAAAAAACGTGTGGCAAAAAATAAAGGAAATCTTTGACAAAAATGTGTTGTTGTTATTTAGTCACTCAAAAATTCTGCATGTGTGTATATTTTATTTGTATTGCTTTTCTCTCAATAATAATATAGCTCTCGATTGACTATATACTTCTTATTTTCTAGCTTAGAAAAAAACTGTTCTCGGGACTTACCTTTATTTTTATTTTTACATATTTTCTTATTCAACCTCTCTCTTCAATAACGTCTTTCTCCCAAATTTTTTCCCCTTTCACCTATATATTGTTGTGGCCACACTTTCTCAAAAAATTAATTCAAAATACCAACTTAACAAAACGACATTCAATAAAATTTTATGCCATTTTGTAAAAATTTCTTCCTAGTGGCATTTGGTCCGTAAAACATTATGTCAAGCTAACCTAAACAACTCCCAACTATTTTTCTTTCTCTCTTTCACCTTTCTTTCTACCTCTCTCTACCTTTTCTCGACTGTCAATAAGTAAAAGCTTTTCAATCGACCTATGCAAAAGCCCAAAAAGAAATAAAAAGGAAGTGAACTGAAGCTGTGGATATAGAAAAACTACAAATAACGGAAAAAGGCGCCCAAGGGGACACTCAATAAATTTATATTTTTTTAAATATTCCTTCTACTTTTTGGTTTCTTCTTTAATAATTTTTAAAAAGAAGTAGAGAAAGGCAATTGAAATATTCTATATTTTTTTAAAAAATAAAGTTCAAGTACCAGTTTAAAAAATTTTTAAAGGATTTTTAAAAATTATTATTTTTTAGAATATTTTTCCGTGAAGAAAAAAAATACCCCATCCCTTTTGTAAATGTAACTTTATATTTATAGAATTTTTTAAAATTCATTTTCCCATTTTTATATACCCACGTCCTTCTAGAATATTTTTTTTGTAAACTAATCCCCCCTCCTCCTATAATTGTAAAAGAATAATAATTGCCAGGAAATAAGTTAAAAAATATAAAGTAATTTTGGTTATTGTTTATGTTGAAATTATTATATTTTTAATAAAAAAAGTGAAAATTGTTAAAAGTTATCAGGGGTTTTTTTTGAATTTTTTAAACCCCTTTTAGGGGATACAGTCTGACCTCATTACAAAATATCTCCTTTTGTGATTTATACATATTTGGATATTGTTTAAGGAGAGGGTGTACATTAAATAGAAGCTATGGGGAAAAATACAAGTAGGAGGATATTCAGCTTGCCCTCCACCTTATTAAGCTTCCCCCTCCACCTAATAAAAATCCAAATTTTTTAAAAACAATTTCTTAACATGAAGAGTATCCACCTTTGAGAGTATCCAAAAAAACGAGGTCTGACTGTACTAAATAAAAAAATAATTTAAAATAAACCCACAAAATATCCAATTATTCCCCATTTTTCAAATAAGCATAATTTGTTCATCATCAATAAAAATAATATTTTCTCCAGATAATTGGTCATAAGCTGCTTTAAATTCATCTTTTGTAAATGGTTGATTTTCTGCCAATTTTTGAATATATTTTTCAATTTCTTCCAAATTTGCCAATTCATTTGCTGAAATATTTAAATCATCAAAAGCTCTTCTTAAAAATCCTTTCAATTTTTTATAACGATCAACAGAAATAACAGCTGGGATTTTTGGACGTTTTGCTGGTTGCTGTTGTTGCTGCTCTGTTGAAGTTTTTCCACCTTCATTATTTTCTTCTTCTTCTACCTCCTCCTCTTCCTCTTCAAAAACTGTCAATTTTCTTAAAAAGAAAATTTTTATTTTTTTTGAAAATCAAAAAAAAACCTTTTGGCATAACGGCTTGATCGAGTACTTGTCTCTTTTGTAGTTGTTGATTCCTGCTGGAAAAATAAATAAAAAAATTTCCCAAAATTTTTAACAATTACCTCATCATTCCCTTCAATTTCTTCTTCAATTTCAACTTCATTTGGACTTTTTGAATTATTTCGAATATTTGACTGTTGTCTCTTTTGTTTATGTTCTTCATATTCTAAACGCTCTTTTGATTTTTCCTAAAAAATTTTTTTCTTATTTAAAAATCATCTTCCCCTAAACAAACTTTGAAACATGCAAAATATAACAATTCATAAGCCTTTTTAGCATCTTTTAATTCAATTATTTTTGCCAAACGTGATTTTGCTATAGCTGTCGAAAGTCGAATTAATGTTTCTAATTGACGAGCAGTTACTGGCATTGTCTTAAAAATATTTCTAATTTTTAAAAATTCCAAAAAAAATTTTCTTTTACTCTTTCCATGTCAGTCCTTCCCATATCTGCAGAACGCAATTCTGTATAACGCTCAGAAATAAATGTTGATGCTTCTTCACTCAATACTGGTTTTAATTCTTTTGCCATATAAATATATTTACGAATAAAATGAGTGCTGAGAATTTTTTCTCTGAAAGAAAAAAATTTTTAGGTCTTAAATCCAATAATTTCCCCCAAACCTTTCCTCCATTGCAGTCCATTCACGATTTTTTTCATAAATTTCTTTTGAATTTTCAGAGGATCCATCAGTATTGAATGTTGTACGATTTTCTAAAGTTGTTCCCATTGGTTGTACAGCACCATCTGACTCTCCTTGTGCTCGATAACGATGTAGCTTTAATACGCTTTCAGCAAGCATTCGGTCACGCTCAACTTCATGCTTAAAAATAAATTGTAAAATAATAAAGGGCCAAGTTAGAGATTTCCTGGCCCTGTACTCGAATATAGGGTTTAATGACTAGTCTTGGAGTTTATGAAAAAATCCTTACTTCATCCAACATAACAAAGATCAAATCAAATCTAGAAAGAAGAGAATCTTGCATTCCAATATTTTCCATAGGATTTTTATAAAGATTATAACGTCCAAAAACTGGATTAGCTGCTGCCAAAACTGAACATCTAGCATTTAATTTTGCTTGAATTCCAGCCTTAGAAATTGAAATTCTTCCTTGTTCCATAACTTCGTGAATTGTTGTTCTGTCAATATCAGTCATCTACAAAATGGAATAAAATGTCATCCTTACACAAAATTTTCAGAAAAAACCTTATCAAATTCATCAATACAGACAATTCCTCTATCAGCTAACACCATTGCACCAGCTTCCAATTTTCTCTCACCAGTGTCAGGATCGTGAAGTACAGCAGCTGTTAAACCAACACCTGACGAACCTCTTCCAGTTGTTGCAACAACTCTTGGAGCGGCATGAATTACATATCTTTTACATAAAATCATTATGAATAAATTTCACTTAAAAAACCTCAAAATTTGACTTTTAGCAACAGAAGGATCACCAATAAGTAAAATATTTATATCCCCTCGAAGTCTTGTTCCATTCTCAAGAATTTTTTCACATCCACCAAGTAAAAGACATAAAACGGCTTTTTTAACTTCGTCATGTCCATAAATTGAAGGAGCTAATGAACGTGCCAATAATTCAAAAATATCTTTATGTCGACTCATTTTACGAATTTGTTTAATATCTTCAGGTTCAAAATTAAGTAATAAATCTTTGCTCATAAGTTGGACATTGTTGGCAATTAATACAGATCTTCAAAAAGATTTTTTAATTAAAAAATTTAATTCAAAGAATGTGCAAAGAAAAAATAATTTGAAGGGTCAACAGTAGAATAAAAAATCGAGGAATTTTTAAACTAGGCCTTTAACCTTGACAAGTTTTGACACAGGAAAAATTAAAATTCTGTACTCCGTCTATCTTTACGTCCAGATTCCTTTCCGATTTACCACGGAACCCCCGAAATTTCTAACAATATTCAAAATTAAAAAAGAACCTAAAATTTCCAGTAGACATCCCCGCCTGTTTATTTGGCAAAACACGGAATAGGCCAATAACTTGAATACGATCACCAGGCTTGCAACGATCTGCCAAGTCCTCATCGGCTTTAAAAAATAAATATAAATTAGTAAAAACACTTTAAAAAACCAATAATATCAATATTTCTTGGAAGACTTCCAGGAGGAGCAGATTCTGGTAATTCCTTTAAAAATCAACACAATTTAAATTTTTAATTTAAAACTAAAAATACCTGCATAGAAAATATTTGATGGTCTTTATAAACACATTTTCCAAATTCTGTTTCCAACGGGTTTTTATTTTCATCCTAAAAATTTTTATTTTTAAAAAAACTAAATTAAAAATCGTACTTCTTTAGGGTAAGCATTACTAGTTGGAATAGCTTCATATGAAGTAAAATCTGTATATTTTTTCTCCATAATTTTCTTTGTTGCAGGGCAAAAATGAGAACTTTTGACAATTTTTGGACGAACCAAAGAACCTTTAAAAAATAAATTCGACTTTATAAATATTCAAAAAATATACATCTGGTCACTATTCCTTCACAACAAACCAAATTTCCCAAGAAACTTGATTTCAAAGTTCGAGGATTTAAATGACGATCAGCAAAAGACCCTTCAAAACCAATACGAAAATCTTTTTCTTTTGCATAATCTGGATCGAGTTTTGAAACAATTTCTTTAAGTGCATGTTCAAAAGCTATTATTTCGTCTACAAATGAACTCAAAAGTCTGAAAAATTAAAAAAATATTTTAAAAAATAATTTAAATTTACGAATTAGCTCTTTCCTTCATTTTAAGTCTGACATCGTTTATATCAACAATTAAACGCGCTGTCTCATCTCTTATCATGTCCTCAATTCTGTTAATATAAACTCTTTCTTCACCCTAAAAATATATTTAAAAATTAGGGTTAGATCTCCAACCCCATCAGACTTATCATTCAGAACCCTAAGGGACTCCAAAATTTTCGAAAACACAGACTCCGAACTTTCGACACTGAATGGTCAGGGTCCAGACATAATAAAAATTAATTAAATAATTTAAAAACCAACGCTGTCATCCAAAAAATTTAAATATTCTTGTATTATTTCACGCATCCTATTCTCGTCAGCTTTGTCAACCATTCCAAAAGCATTCATTTTAGTAGTTATTGCTGCAGCCATTGTTTTTTAATTTAAAAACTTTTTTGAATCTAAAAAAACAAATTTTAAAAGAAAACCAAACACGAATTTAGGTGAAGATCGTGAAAAGCGTCAAAAAATTTTTTTTAAAGAAATTAAAAAGAAAATTGCCCGCCTAATTATTTATTTAAGTTTCGAAGCGATTTGGAAAAATTACTGTACGAAAAAGACTTTTATATAGAAGGGAGGAGAAAAGAAATATAACTAGTTAGAGATTTTTAGTGGTTAGAGTAAAATTTTAGTTTTTATTAGAGGTCGGCGCGGGACGGGATCCCGACGGGATTTTCCGGGATCCCGCTCCCGAAATCCCGGATTTTTTTGATTTTCGGGATCATTCGGGATCCGGGATTTTTTCGGGATTTATCCCTCGGGATCCCGTCCCGGCATCGGTTAAAAAATAAAATCCCGACTCGGGATCCCGGACATTATTTTATAATTTTCGGGATTTTTAAATTAGCATATCCCAAGCATGTCTTACTCTAGTGATTCTCAAAATTTTCGTCTGCGGCGCAAAAAAATGAAGAAATTTGGCTTAAGGACCTCCAAAATTCTCAAAATTTTTGCCTGCGGCGCTGAAAATTTAAGAAATCTGGCTTCATCTGGTCCAAAATTATCAAAATGTTCGCCTGCGGCGCTGCAAACGGAGAAATTTGGAGGTATTATCGGAGGTAAAATGGATGGATTAGTATATAGTGGGATTTTATTAAGGGACCTAGTGATTAATCCACCGATATCCCTCTAAATCTATTAGATTTTTACAAATTTAATATTATTTGCATATAAAGTGCAGTATTCTGATGCATTTTATTTATAAAAATTTTAAATTTTTTATTTTTTAAAAAATCCCGACTCCCGGGCGGGATCCCGGATAATTATTTTCGGGATTTTTGAAATTCGGGATTTTTTCGGGATTTATCCCTCGGGATCCCGTCCCGGCCTCTGTTAAGAAAAAAATCCCGACTCGGGATCCCGAAAGTGCGATTTTGCCGACCTCTAGTTTTTATCATTTTTGTTTGCTGCGCGTTTTCTTTAGGGTTTTTATCATTTGTTAACATTTTTCTTTATCAATTTTTAATTTTTATCTTTGTAGTTCTGTCAAGTAAGTTTTAAATAATCTAAAAATATGGGTATTTCTCAAGACAATTGGCATAAACGACGCAAAACTGGAGGAAAGCGTAATCCAATTCATAAGAAGCGTAAACACGAATTGGGACGTCCTAGTGCTAATACAAAGGTTTTATTTTGGTGAATAATACTTTTATTTAATTTAAAAAAACAGATTGGACCTAAACGTATTCATCTTGTTCGCTGCCGTGGAGGTAACATAAAACATCGTGCTTTGCGTCTTGATACGGGAAACTTTGCTTGGGCATCTGAAGGTTAATAAATTTATTTTTTCTTGTTATTGAACGTTTTACGTTAAAAAAAATCGATGGGGTGTTTCGTATTGTTCCCCTGTTCCATTTAATATAATCTCAACTGACGTTCCCATCTCTTCGAGTAAACTAGAGGAAATTGGGTCTGTTCCCCACTTTCGCTTCACAAATTACTCGAAAATAATTGGAGAAATTATGCAAATGATTTTGTTAATTAATTTTAAAACACTTCATTTCACCTCTTTTCTCAACAACTCCTTTTTTCCCTTATTTTTAAACTCTAATCGTCTATCGACCTTCTAAATTTATTTTCTCTTTTAAGGTTGCACTAGAAAGACTCGTATAATCGACACTGTCTACAACGCTTCAAATAACGAATTGGTTCGAACCAAAACTTTGGTTAAGGGTTCAATTATTACCATTGATGCTGTGCCTTTTCGTCAATGGTATGAGGCTCATTATGCTTTGCCTCTGGCACGCAAAAAGGGTCAAAAATTGACGGAGGAGGAAGAACAAAGAATTTCTGGGCATAAAAGATCGAAGAAGACTTTGAAGAAATATTCGGATCGTCAGAAGACTGCTGCTGTTGAACCTCATGTTTTGGAACAATTTCAAGCTGGGCGTCTTTTGGGTCTTATTTTAATTTGACTGTCCAATAAATTTTGAATTTAGCTCGTATAAGTTCTCGCCCTGGACAAAGTGGACGTTGTGATGGTTATATTTTGGAAGGAAAAGAATTGGAGTTTTATATGAAGAAGGTATATTTTTTAAAATATTTTGTATATAAATTCTAAAAAATTTTCAGATCCGTGCAAAGAAAACCAAATAAATTTAAAAATGGAAAAAAGGTTTTGTTGTCTTTGTTATTATTTTGATTGTTTAATGTGTTGAAAATGAAAGTAAAAAGTTAAAAAAATTTGTTTTTGGAATTTTTTAGGAAATAATTTTGGTTGTCCTTGTTCCACGTTTAAAAAAATATTATTCTAACTTCCGTTGCCGTTAAAGTCCTTTTAACGTCTGAAAATGACATATAGACACTTTAAAAGTGTAATAAGTTTTTTTTATAATTTGGCACTTCTATTCCGATTTTTTTTGTCTTTATTATTCTTCATCCGTTTCCTTCTACTTCCAATATAATTTCCTATTTTATTCTTCTTATAATCTTTCAATTTATTCAATCTTCAATCCCCTTCTAATTCTCTTCCATTCTATTCTTCTCAGAATTTTCCAATTCCTTCTTCAACTTCCTTTTCTCTTCCATCCCCTCCTTTTCCATTTCCACCCTCTTTTATTTCATTTACCTTCTCAGAATTCCCCTTTCCTTCTTCAACTACCTTTTCGCATCTTCCAATCTCTTTTCATTCTTAACCCCCCCCCCCCTCCCCAAAATACCTTTCCTCTCGTCATTCATATATTTTTATAAGTTTCCCCAAACTTTTTCTTCATGAACCTACTTTTTTCTTGTTTAACCAACTTTAAGAATAGAAGTAGTAATTTTATAATTATTTAATATATAAATAATTTATTCAAAAAAGGAGCATATGGCAAAAAAGGGGAGAAAAGACACTTGAATTTATGTAAAATAATAGAAAAAGTGGCATTATTTTTAATTGAGTATTTGAATAAAAAAAGACAAACAAAACCGGTGTTACCACATAAGAAAGCTTTTATTTTAATTTTTAATTTTATTCAATTTCTTTTTTATTCTTAAAGGTATAACCAATTTAACGGAAACTTTATAAAATAATTGCAATTATTTTCCTTACAAAAAAATTTTTTTTCTAAGAAAATCCTTATAAACTTTGGTCAATCCATTCAATCCCCTTCTCTCTTTTTTTCCCTTTAATTTAATTTAGAAAAAAATGTGAAAATAAAATTAATATTAAATTTGACGCTTTTTTGACATTTTTAGTATATAAATTCTATTTTAGTAGAAATTGAGCTAAATTAGATTATATTTATATTTTTTTGTCACGTGCTTTTTTAAATGAAAGAAATTTTAAAAGTGAATTTAAAAAATTTTATATAAAAAATGCGCGAAAAAAGTCCTTGGTATACCCTAAAATTTTTATCGAAAATTTTCGTTGAAAAAATTTTTTTTCGCTCTTCAAGCTTTTGACCTACCCAAAAATTCTTTTCAATTTAAAAAAATAGATTTTTCATTAAAAATGACATCAATTCTGTCAACAGTTATTCGAATGTCTTTAATTATGGCTTTCGCCATTTTTGGGAATCTTTTCTTAATTTTTGTGATTCATAAGGGGAACAAAATTTCGAGGTCCAAAATTTCACCCGTTCAGGTAAATAAATTTTTAATCAAAGAAATTAAATTTTTACTCAATTTTCAGCTTCTAATTCTTCACACTTGCTTTGCCGATCTTTTATTTGCTCTGGTAAAAAACTAAAAAAAATTTAATAAAAAATTAAAAAAAAATTTTTAAATTTTTTAAGCTTTCACTTGGCTCAGAAATTGGCATTCTTTTGACTTTTCCTCATTTTTATGCTTCTGATTTGGTTTGCCGTCTAGTTCGATATCTTCAAGTGCTTCCACTTTATGCTAGCCCTTTTTTAATGGTTGCTATTAGTATTGACAGATATCAGGTATGTTTTTTAATTCCTAAGGAATTTTTTGTTCAAAAAAATTTTTTACTTTCAGAAAATTTTTAAAATTAGATTTTTTTAAATGACTCCCCCCCCCCCCCCTTCCAAAATTAAATTTTTTTTAAATTCCAAAAAAAATCCAAGGCAATTTGTCGTCCATTAGTTCATTATACCAGCGATCGTTTTCGACGCCCCAATTACTTTGGGTTGACAGCTTGGCTTTTTGCTTCGATTTGCTCTGTTCCCCAACTTTTTATTTGGCAAAAAATGTCAATTGGAAAAATAGGTAACAACACTACAACGAGTATTGTTGAATGGAATTTTGCTGAAAATGATAGGTATAATAAAAAAAAATTTTTAATCTTAGAGGGGGTCTTTTTTTAAATAAAAAATTTTTTATAGAAAAGAACAATGCCGGTCAATTTATGGTATTTAAATTTTTTTCGAATTATTTAATTAAAAAAATTTTTTATGAATGGACCCGGATATTTGGAAGCAAGCATATGTTGTTTGGTTCAGGTAAAATAATTATATTTTAAAATCAAAATATTTCAATTTTCAAGTGTCATTGCTTGGTTACTCCCTTCTTTAATTTCTGCATTTTTTTATTTTAAAATATGCACAACTGTTTGGAAATTACCTTTTTGGCAAATTCAACAAGACGATAACGAAACTAATTTAAAACCACAAAAAGTTTCAAATTCAATTGAAGCCAGGTTTTTTTGAAATAAGGAAAAATTAAAATTAATTTTCTTTTAAAGTTGTCGATTGACGCGAGAATATGTTGAAGTGCTCAGAAAAAGTTCTACAACTTTTCAAAATCAAGTGACTGAATTTGACAAGAAGAGGATTAAAACGGTTATTTTTTTAATTTTTTTTTTGAATTTTAAAAAAATTTTCAAAAAAATTTTTTTCAGGTTAGACTAACCCTAATTATCGTCATGTGCAACTTTTTTCTTTGGTAAACTTTTTAAAACGATTTAAAATTAAAAGAAATAATTTTAGGCTCCCTTTTTGTCTTATTAATGTACTTCAAGCATTTGCTCATAAATGGGCTTGGGGAAGTTTGTTTAATTTTAATTCTTAAATTAAATAATTTTTTTAAAGGTGGACAAACAATAATTACACAAATTGCAATTTTGGGGAATTTAAATGCTTGTGTAAATCCTTGGATTTATATTTTGTTTAATAGGAAAATTACAAAGAGAGCATTGGGGACGATTTTCTGCAGAAATGGTTTGATTAAATAAATTAATTTTTAATTAAAAAAATTTTTTTTAATTACAGAATCTGTGGAAGTATCATCACAAAAGGCTCCTTCACGTCACAGTTATGGCCCTACAAGTTTTTTGATTAAACAGAAGGTTGAGTCTGAGAGCCAGACTTGAAGATGATTGTGAGAATCGACAACCCTACTTGTGAGATGATATTTTTGCGACGATCTTCATTTTTATTAAATTTAGTTTTTATTTTTAAATTAATTCTACTTGTATTTATATAATTTAATTGCCATAAATTGAATTTTAATCTGAAAAATAAATTTTATTGATTTTTTAAATTGGTTATAATTTTAGTATTTCAAAAAGTCGATATATCGATTAGTATTGCTTTTATCGATTAGTATCGATTTTTTGAAAATTAAAAATATTTGAAAAATAAATTATCGATTAGTATTGATTTTATCGATTAGTATCGATTTTTTGAAAATTAAAAATTTTTGAAAAATAAATTATCGATTAGTATTGATTTTATCGATTAGTATCGATTTTTTGAAAATTAAAAATTTTTGAAAAATAAATTATCGATTAGTATTGATTTTATCGATTAGTATCGATTTTTTGAAAATTAAAAATTTTTGAAAAATAAATTATCGATTAGTATTGATTTTATCGATTAGTATCGATTTTTTGAAAATTAAAAATATTTGAAAAATAAATTATCGATTAGTATTGATTTTATCGATTAGTATCGATTTTTTGAAAATTAAAAATTTTTGAAAAATAAATTATCGATTAGTATTGATTTTATCGATTAGTATCGATTTTTTGAAAATTAAAAATTTTTGAAAAATAAATTATCGATTAGTATTGATTTTATCGATTAGTATCGATTTTTTGAAAATTAAAAATTTTTGAAAAATAAATTATCGATTAGTATTGATTTTATCGATTAGTATCGATTTTTTGAAAATTAAAAATATTTGAAAAATAAATTATCGATTAGTATTGATTTTATCGATTAGTATCGATTTTTTGAAAATTAAAAATTTTTGAAAAATAAATTATCGATTAGTATTGATTTTATCGATTAGTATCGATTTTTTGAAAATTTAAATTCTTAACTTCTCTGTTTTGCCTTTTTCCCTAACTACACTATTTCTTTTTTAATTTCTCTAACCTTTCGATCGATTTTCTGCCATTTTATTTTCTATAAATATATCAAGTTTAAATATTTAAATATTTCTTCTTGCACAAATAAATTTACAAACTTTATCTAATTAAGTGTGTATAATGATTAATTTACAACGTGCAAAAACGCCAAAACTACAAACGCCAGACAACGCCAAAAATTTGCGTTTTTACACGTTATAAAATGGGTTTTGCGCACATTTAAGTTTTCTCATAAATGTGCGCAATGTACTTTATAAAGGCTAAAACGCAATAATTGGCGTTTGTTGTGTTTGCGTTTTCTTGCGTTATTTTTTATTTTTTTTGAAAATTTTTTAAAGATTCATAATTTAATATAAGGCTCAATAATAATAAAAATAATGTAATTTTAATGGGAATATATTTAGAAATTGAAGCGGGTGTGGAACAAAATAAAAAATATGCTAATACTCTTCAGAATTCCTTCCTTAAAAAATTTTGTTTCTGGAATCAAAAAATTCTCAAGCTAATTCTGAAGAGAATTACACAATTAAAAAATAATGAAAAATTGTCTCTCTATATATAACAATTTTAGAAAATATATAATTTTAAAGTCAACATTAAAAGGCAGTCTAAAAATTATTTTTTTAAACCTTTATTTTCTTTTTAATTTTACAACAAAACCCAGTTAAAAAATATAGTAAAATAAAGGTTTCTAATTATACTTATATATCACATCTTTAATTATTTTTAAGAATTTTTTGGTGATCAACTATTAGAAATCAATTTTGACATAAATATCTAAAAAATGAGTTGTTGATCACCAAAGAAACATTTTTTTGTAAGAAAAAATATAATCGAATCATATATAAAAAATAAAATTAATTAACCTTTGTATAATAATATAAAAGTCAACAAGTTGGAGGAGAAGGTGGTTGGGATATTATTAATAATTGATCTTTTTGTTGTTGTAAGTCATTAATATTATTACTTGGAGTAAAACTACCACCGTCGCTTAAACTTAATCCAGAATCTGATGTTGAATTTAATTGTTGTTGTTCTGATTCTTTATTATTTTCTTCTTTTTTATCCCTCTTTTCCTTGAAATCTTCACTTTTATTTCCTTCTTCTTCTTCATTTTCTTCAAAATCTTCATCATTCTTTTTATTTGATTTTATTCCAGCTATAAATGCTGCCATTTCTTCAGAAGAAAGTGATTGAATTCCATCAAGACTTGTTATTGAACGAGTTGAGGAAAGTGGCTAAAAATTAGGTAATAATAAATAAAACAAAAGAAAACCGAATCGACATCCTGATCAAAAACAGAACTTCCTCGAATTTGTAATCTAGCTTCATTTTCTGCCTTCTAAAAATATTTTTTTTTTAATTTATAAAAAATTCAGAAAAAACCTTTGATTCAATTTGTGCCAATTGTGATCTAAGTTCAGCAACTGTTTGTAAAGCTTCTGTATATTTTAATCTTTGCATAATATTTTTTTCTTTCAATTCGCTTTGTAATTCAAGCAATTTACGTTCACAGTCACGTAATTCTTGACGTAATTCTGCTTCTGTCTGAAAAATTTTAGAATTTTTTTTAGAAATTTTTTTAAAAACCTGAACACAATTCTCCTTTTCTTCACGTAATCGCTTAATTTCATCGTCTTGTCGTTTCAGTTGATTAGTGCAAACATGATTTTGTGTCTCCATTTCCATCAACTAATAAAAAAAATTAATTAAAAATTTTTAGTTAAATTTTTTTTTGGTTTTTTCCAGATTATGAGTCCCATTAAAAATCGTAGATCCAAAAACCCAAAAATAAAAACCTTTTGTCTCATTTCTTTCAATTCAGCCAAAGTATCAGCTTCTTTTATACGTAAACCAATAAAATTATCTTCCAATTCTCGTTGATTCCAACCTTCCAAAGTTTCCCCATTATTTACTTCATTTAAATTATTTCCTCCTCCAACAACAGCAGCCCCAATTATTGTTGCTATTTTTGCTAATCTTGTTTTTGTATTTTTTCTTTGTTGATTATTTTGTTGTTGTTGCTGTTGTTCTGTTGGAGGAGTATTTGTTGAATGGCAAGGCTCTTGCGGTGGTGGAGGGATAACCTCTAATTCTTCATCCACGGAATGGGATGAAAGAGGTGGAGAATGTGCTGATTCTCTAAAAAATTCGAAAAAATTTCAAAAATTTCAAAAAAAATTAAAGAAAAACCTTGTTTGATTAAAATGTTGAATACCACGTAAATTCATATATGCCTGCCATTGTTGTTCAAATTCTGCAAGTTTTTGACGCATTTCTTTCAAAGAAAGTGATGATTCTGCTTCTCTCATTTTTACACGGATTAATTCCTTTAAATAATTTTTGAAAAATTTTAAAAATTAAAAAACCTCTTGTATTGCAGCAACTCCTCCTTCTGGTGGGCATTCTTTAAAACGTTTATTTGCTGATTCTAATTCCTTTAAAAATTCAAAAAAAATTTTAAGAAATAAATTAAAATAAACCCTTACATTTATTCGTTGTTTTTGCTCTCGGACTGTGCTTTCTAAATCTGCCTAAAAAATTAAAAAAAAATATATTTAAAAAAATAAATTATTTAAAGAAACCTTTTTAGAATGGGTCTCAATTAATTCTTGTTGTAATTGATGTATATGTTCAATCATTGAAATATCATCTACTTGAACTTCTTGATCTCTCTTTTAATTTTATTTTAATTAAATAATTATACAAATATAGGTCTGAGGGTGTTTGTTGACCTTGATCGGATTCTATATTAATATTCCAAAAACTAAAGGCCGAGGAAAATTCCCAAGAAGATCAAAAATATATCTGAATCGAACAGTAACGAGGGATCAGATCGGTTCACGTAAGATCCTCCAGTTCAGTCTTTAGTCTGAAATAGGCGTACAAAATACCCAAGATCTCAGCCTAAACCCGGTCACTCTTTGGCACAAAAAAGTATTATTTTATTCAGTTAAAAATTACCAAGTTAAGTCGTTTTTGCATATGCAATTCTCGTATCTAAAATTAAAATTTTTTTTAATTTTTAAAAAATTCTTTCCTTACCGATTGATGTGCATCTTCCAACCGTCTATGAGCATCATAATTTATATCCCTCAAAATATTTAATTCATGAGAAATATTTAAACAAGTGTCTGCTTGTTGTGCCAAATCAACTTGTCCACGTACTAAACGATCTGCTAAAGCTGAACTTTCACTTTCCAAATAATCTATTCGTTGACGAAGTAATCTGTTTTCTGTTCGTAGACGCTAAAAAAGAAAGAAATTTTATTAAGAAAAATTTCGAAAATTTTTTGAAAATTTTTCTTGACCTTTTTAGACCAATAAAAACGACGTCTCAAATTTCTATAACGATGTACCATTTTTTAGAGAAAAATAAAATATAAAAATAATTTTTTAAAGATAGAAAAAATAGATTAAAAGATTTTTTTGAAGAATAAAAATAACAAAAAAATAAAATAAATTTGTATGTTTTTTAAAAAAGATTTTTATCTCTAAAATAAGAAAAATATTGTATTAAAAACAAATAAATAGAGAAATTTGTTTCCGATAGAAAAATGACAGTTGTATACCACGAAAATTATCTGCTCCTTAAAAAGTAGCTAAGTCCGACCGGTCAATCTAACACTACTTGTCAAATTATACTAATTTTAAATATGATTTTTTATTCGGTTGGCTCCACTAGAGGGGAGGGGGGTTGTTAATTTTAAGGAAGTCTAACATAAGCAATACCCCCAAAACTTAATACCCTTAATTTTATATAACCCCCTTATTAAAATAAAAATTTTTCAGCACCCAGAAGCTTATGTAAATTTAAGGCTCAAAAAACTAATTTTTTGTTTAAATTTAAAATAAAAACGAATCAATAAGAAAAAAAAAGAAAATGCATTAAAAAATAATCACGGAAATAATAATTATTATTATTGTAGAGGAGTCCTTTTACGGGAAAATAACAATAATGTTTTTACAAGCATTTATTTACAGCCGTAAAAGAGAGTGAAAGCTTTTAAAAACAGAAAATAAAAGTCACTCCGCGTACATGTCCGATAAAAATAAAATATTGGAAAAGGGTATTATTAAAAATACCCGAAATTTTATTATAATTTAATTGAAAATTGAGAAGATTTTTTCTAATTTTGGAGGTAAAAAAATTTATTTTTCAATTAAAAAAAGGTTCTGCGCAATTTATTAGTTATAAATTAATTTTTTAATTGAATTAGTTGGAGTAGAAGAAGAAAAAAAGAAAAAAATTAAAAAAGGTTTGTTTTGTGTTGTGAGTTTTAGAGGGTTTTGAAGAAGAAAAAAATTGTTAAGATTGGAATGACGTGAAAAAATATAAATATAAATTAGAAAAAATTGATTTTGGACAGAAAAATAAATTAGAGAAAGAAAAAATTATTTTAATTAATTTAAAAATAAAATTTACCCTAAGTTCAATTGCTTCCTCTTGATCTTTTGTTCGTTTAGACAAATATTCCTAATAAAACAATTCAATTTTAAATTTTATTTTAAAATTTCCCACACAAACCTTTTCCAATTTTTTCATTTTTTTCGCATTTAGATGAATTCTTGAAGCTATAGTAAAAAGTAATTCATGATCATTTTCATAACGGGAACGAACTTCTCTTTGAAAATATTTTAGCATTCCCTAAGAAAAAAAAATTTTTTTTTATTATTTTTTAACCTTTAAAATAAAGCTGGACCTTACTTAAGGTCCAAATTTATTTAAAAATTTACCTCCATATCCAATTGTAACAAATCAATTCTAGATTGTTGTAAAATTGAAAGAGCAATTCTAAATATTGTATCTATTCCATCAACCAAAAACCAATCCATTATTCGATTTGCCAAGTCTAATGGAAGTGTTGTAATAAAAACAGTCAAAAACCAGGAAGAAGCATACATTGAAGTATCAAATCCCATATTATTACTAAAAAAATAAAAAAATTTTCTAAAAAAATATTTATTTAAACATACAAATGCATGTAAAGATCCGGAATTTGTTCTTGAACCATCATTTCCAACTGAAACATACACAAACCTAATTCTGTCATTGTTGGTTTATACAATTCTCGAAGCTTAAAAATTTTAAAAAATTAAAAAATAATTTTTATTTTATTAAAATACTCTATAATTTTCCATTAATCGAACAAAAACAGCAAAAGCTTCTTCTTCCGGCATTTGTAATAACAGTTGTCCAACAATAAAGGAAGAACCTTGACAATAACCAACCTAAAAATAAATAAATAGAAATTAGTAGAAATAAAAGAAATAATTGCAGTAAAAATTTTAAAAAAATAAAAGAGAAGTTAAATATAATGTATGATAATATGAAAATCCTCCTGACAAGGAAAAGTGGTCAGTGTCCCAAATAAATTTATTTTATATTTTTTTGTATTTTTTTCACAATTTTTATATTAATTTTCCATCATTTCAACATTATTTTTAATCAAAAAATCAAACCCCTCTCTAATAAAAATAGAATATCAAACCTCTCTATCATGCAATGAATAAGCCTTCATAACATTAAATAAAGATTGTTGTCCTTTTCCCTCATCTTTAAAAAAATCCAATTTTGGGAATGTTCTAGGTATATCTCTTGAAATTGCTTTTTCATATGGTGAAGATAAACGTAAATATTCTGAATAATTTTCATGTAATAATTTAACATTTGCACCAGACAATAATTGCCAAGCTATAGTTCTAAAATGCTGAGGTATTCCACGACGAGCTAATTCTTTAACACAACTTGGACGCCTCTTCCATTCTAATTCCCAACTTTTTACAAGATTTCCCCAAATCTGGAAAATGAAAAAATTATAGACGAAAATAAAATATAAATATGTTATCCGCAAAATTTTTTTCCCAATATTTGAAATTTTTTGGAGCGTTGTATTCCCAAAAATAATAAAATTTAAATCAAAAATTACCGTCCAAAGGTCAAAATCCTCATCATCTTCAACTGTTGGTTGAAGAGAATTACTTCGCGGAGGTAACAATTCTTCATAGCGATTATTTCCATTGGGTAAAGGAGAGGAAGAACGTCCAGCTTGAGAACTTGAAGAAATTTTGGATGTTACACTACGAATATCTGCTTCGTTTGTTCTACAAAAAAATTAATTTTTGAAAAAATAATTTAGATAAAAATCCCCCAACCTATTCAATTCTTCCATTTTATTAAGTACAGATTTAATTTCTGGGTCATCTGGTGTATCCAAACTTGTCGATTCATCATCTAATACATTATCAGAAGAAAATTGAGACTCTGAAGAAAATAAACTATTTGAAGTTGCACTATTTTTAATTGTTGTTGTTGTTGGTAATCCTCCTGAAAATTAAAAAAATATTTTTTTAAAGAAAATTTTCTTATTTTTAATCCTAAAATTTCTTAAAATAATTTTTTTCTATTTAAAGAATTTTCCGATCAATTTTTGTTTGTTATAAACACAAATAAATACGTATGCGTGAGTGAGTGTTTAGTGTGTTTTTGTTTGCGTGGAACCTTTCACCGCCCAAAAACCTTTATACAAAAATTAATCTCTTACCTAAAATAATTGAAACATTATTTCTTACCCTATCACTTTTGGAGGTGAATTAAAGAATTCCTTAAAGCCTATAAACATGCTGTTTTATTTTTAATACACTTTTAGAGGTATACACTTTTTTGTCCAATTATTTTTAAGTACTTTTTTTTTATTTTTATATTTTGTCAGCAGGAAACTAAAAAAATATTTTTTTTATTTCCCTCATTTTTTATATATTAATCCTCCCCTCAAGCATTTTAGTTGGAAACAAAAACAAACACAGAAAAAGACAAATCTAATAATCATTATTTAGGTATTAAAAAAATTTTTTAAAGATAATCCAAAAAGATTAATTTAATCAAAAAAATTTTTTTGATCAAATAAAGGTGTGGGGAGAAACAATTTTTAGAACCTTTTTTGCTTGCATTTGATTAACAAAAAAATTTATCATAAAAAACCAACCATTAATTTGTGAATTTCTACTACCCTTAAGTTCAATAACCATTTTGATGCATTAAATTAATTAATAAAATTAAAATAAATAAAAAATACTAATAATAATTAATTTACTAACAAAAAAAAAATAAAAATCTGAATTTAAAAATTTTTTTAGAGATATCTGGGTTGGAAAGGACAAAAAAATCAAGGAAAAATTGTTTTAAAAAATAAATAATTTCTAAATAAAGGTGCAAAATATAATTTATTAATGCCCGTGTGTGGGCTTGAAGAAGGTGAAAAAAGAAACACAAATACACTTTTATTGTTTGAAAAATGGTTACAACAAGGTTAAAAATATTAAGAAAAAGCTGAAAATAAAGAGAAAAGAAAGAGCGGAAGAAGGAACGAGCACGTACCGATTTTTATTATTTTTATAGGTCATCTTTCACCTATAATATTATGTAATTAATCAAAAAAATATTTTCTATTGGATTTTATATTTGAAAAAAAATTTTTTTTAAAAATAAACAAGAAAAATTAATTTTTAAATAATAAAATCCAAAATTTAAATATAAAACGATGATTCACTTACCTATTTATTGCAGTTAAGAGAAAAAAAAATAAAAAAATCATAATATTTGTTTAAACACGCTTTAAATAATTTTAAGCCATTGATTTAACGAACAATAATCAAACACGCATCTTTCATGTTTAACGCCTGCTTATTTTCACAATTCAATAAAATATTTTATTGCTTATTTTGTAATTAATGCTTGTTATTTTATAATCACGTCTGTTGCTTCTTCATGTTTTTTTCGATTTTTTAACGCCTGTTTTTTGCAAATTTTTTTAGCATTTTTCTCTAGGTTTTTGCAGTTTTCTTTAGACAAAGAAAGATAAAATAAACAAGTTTTTGTCAGTTAAATAATTGTAATAATCCAAAGAAAATCAAAAGAAAAGAAAGAAGCTTTAAAAACAATCATTATGTAAAAAAAGAAGAAAGATGATTATTTTAAATGTGAAAATAAATCTAAAATAAAAATTATTCGCATAATTGATTTTAAACAAGGACGCAACTTTTAATTAATTAATTAAACCAATTAAAATAAATATTCTCGCAAGTTTGTTCGACTAATAAAATAATAAAAAATTATTTTAGAGAGATTTTACAAATTAGAGACATAAAATGATCAGGGGCCTATTTCAATTGTCCACAGATTCTGCATTCTGTGCACAGAACACAGATTCTGTGGAAATTCTGTTTCAATTAAATTCTGTGTGCACAGAATCTGTGGTGCCCGCAGATTCTGCGGAAACATCCAATGATTCTGTGGAAACATTCCGCAGATTCTGTGGATGAAAATTTCTGTGGAAAATATAAAAATCTGTGGATTTTTTCCACTGATCCACAGAATTTGTATTTCAATTATTTTTCTGTGGTTCTGTGTATTTTTTCTTCTAAATTCAAATTTTTTATTTCCGCGTTTTTGAAAATAACAGTTTTATTGAAACGAAAAATGGTTTGGACAGTTCGGTACTACCGCAGTATTAATGGTACCTGATTTTTTGAAGTAAAACTTTAAAAATTCTTAAATTAAACTGAAAAATATTGTAAAGATTTAAAAATTTTCCCTCCAAATCACATAACATCCCTTTAAATCTCTTTGATATCACTTTAAAACCGCTGATATACCGCTTAATTTTCTTGTTCATCCAATATCCTTAAATCTCCAATTAAATTAATGTCCTAAAGCAGGGTTCGGATCGGAAAAATCAGGAGATGTCGATCCGACATGTGGCTTTTTCAAACTACGATAGAAGTTGTTGCAAGGGAGGGAAATGTTACAAAACTGGGGATTGTTTAGTCAGAAATTGAGGTTCCTGGAAATCGAAAATGCCTGGAATCCAAAATTATAGTCAAATCGGAACTTTAAAATCGTAGAGGAGTGATTAAGTGGGATATCCATTGATTTTGAGGTTTAATATATTGGAGTGATTAAGGAGGAAATCTATCATTAAATAGGAGGAGAGATTATGACGGATATCAATGAGAGATCATGGGAGATATCCCAGTATACGCTATACAGATATCTTCTATAGATCCTGGTAAACATCCCCTCATTAGAGATATCCATGATGATTAGAACATCATAGCTCTAAATTTCAGAATCTCTCACGTTTTTTATTTTTTTATTGCTTGAATATAACAAAAACTGCGTAAAAAAGATGTACCTTTTTCAAAATTAATTTTAAGCAATAATTTTAGGTAATAAAATTATAATTTTTATATCAAAAAATAGAGAATGATTCAAACTTTAATAATCTTTAAAAATTTTGAAATTTGGTTAAGCCTAGGCCTAGAAAAAAATTGTTAAAGTTTTTCCACAGAAAGTTCGCAGAAAAAATTTTAGGGTGGATTTTTTAAAGAATTCTGTGTATTTTCCGCAGACCACAGAAATAATTGAAACAGAAATGCACAGAATCGACTAAAAAAGCCACAGATCTGTGGATTTTTTTCTGTGCACAGAAAAATAATTGAAATAGAATTCTGTGGTTTTTGCATGTTTTTGGATGTTTTGCAGAATCTGTGGATGTTTCCACAGATTCTGTGCATGTTTCCACAGAATCTGCGGACTTCTTTTTCCGCAGAATCTGTGGAATAATTGAAACAGAATTTCTGTGGTTCTGTGGTCTGTGCACAGAACGCAGACCGCAGAATCTGTGGACAATTGAAATAGGGCCCAGAAAGATTTAAATAAAAATAGCAGCGTGTTTATTCAAGAATGGTCAATGAATAAACCAAAAATATTTAAAAAAAAATTAAAAAACTCTTTGTTTAAATTTTTAAAATAAAATAAAGATTTAATAGTTATGTACAGAAAATGAATTTAATTTTGCAACTAATACTTAATTTAATTAAAAAAATTAACTAAAGAATAAAATTAATTTTTAATTTTACTAAACATAAATTGAGTTTAAATATGTGCAAAAATAAAAATTTTTTTGAAGGAAACAGAAGAAAGAATGAAAATTGAAAGAAGAATGAGAGAAACAATTTTTCAAAAGTGCAGGTAAAATGAAAATACGAAGACGAGAAAACTGCCACTTGATATATAAAAATATAGTTGAGGTGAACCGTTTTACAAAGGTATTTAGAGAAGAGACGAAAATAAAAAAAATTAAACGAAGAAATTAACCATAACCCTCCTCCCACCCCAAAAAATAAATTTACGAAAATTGCAAAAATAAAACGAAGAAAAATTCGGCAAGAAGAAAATGACGAAAAAACTATTATTCATTTAATGAATTCTGTTATTTGGTAGTCCACCGTTTGTAAAAGGCGGGAAAGAAAAGGTTACAAACATGTTTTAAGTATTAAAGAATGTGTATATTTGCGTTTTTAAACGTAAAAAATACAAAAAAAGAGTATTGCTTTTAAGGTTGGATTATAGTAACTAAAGTCAGAATAAAAATACGAAAGATCAGAAAAACAAAAAATTAAAACAGGCACCAAAAATACAAGGAAGAAAAATTAAAAAACAAGAAATTAAAGAGCGAGAAACCACAAAAATATAATCAGAATTAAAAACATAAAAATCAAGAAACTAGAAAATTAAAAATACTAGAAAATTAGAATACAAAGCTTAAGAAACACAAAAATTAAAGTCCAAAATAATCGAAAAAGGTTAATCCATATTTTAAAAATTATTCAAAGAAAAAAATCTTATTTTTTTCGGTTGTCATGGAAATATTTTTAAAAATACGTGGATTACATTAAAGGAAAAATAAACAAATATATTTATTTATATTTAAAATAGCTAACCAGAAATATAATCTTTTTTCCCTTAATTTTTATTTTTCCCTTCTCCTTCCCTTCGTTCACCCACCTCTCTACAAAAAGCATCCAACCACCACCAAAAATATGTATCACTTGAAATTGACACCAGAAATATTATATTAGTCAGAAGAGAAAATTTTCGGTTGTTTGTTGTTGCTTGTTTTTAGTAGAAAAAAACCGGTATTTTTTATTTTTGCTTCTTTTTAATATAAGCTTTTTAATTTTTTTCCTTCTTATTTATTTTTTCTTCTTCTTCTTGATGTTCAAAATAAAAATTTATTTTTTGAAAGCACAAAAAACTTGAAGGCACTTGAATAAATTATAATAAAAATTAAAAACCTGTTAAATTAAATAATTAAAAAATATGTGTGGCTAATAATTAAATTAATTTTTAATAAAAAAGTATTATTCAATAAATAAAAAATATATAATTGATCAAAAAATTAATTAATCATCTTTTTTCACTTTTTTGTCTAATAGTTTTACGAGAGAAAAAAATTAAATAATATATAAATAAAATTTATAATAAATGTAGTGACCGGAAAAGCCTAAATTTATATTTCTATTTATGTTCAAATAATAGAAAAAAATTTTTGAAAATTTTTAAAAATAAAATCTAGGCTTATTTACTAAATATCTTGTATATTTTGGGCATATTTTTTAATTTTTTTACAAAATTAAAATAAAAAATTTCCCATTAAAAAAATTTAAAAAATGTTGGTCTAATACAGGGCTCCGATTCCTACTTTTTTAAAAGTATTCTACTTTTAAATCGACCTCCATACTTACGAAATTGAATTTATACTTTTTTGAAAGTATATACTTTTTTTTGATTGAAAATGAAATTGGGAAAGGGATTGGGCAAAAAAGTGATTTTTTTGGCCTACGGCCTTTGAAATTCTCAAAATTTTCGCCTGTGGCGCTGAAAAAGGGAAGAAATCTGGCTTAAGGACCTCCAAAATTCTCAAAATTTTCGCCTGTGGCGCTGAAAAAGGGAAGAAATCTGGCTTAAGGACCTCCAAAATTCTCAAAATTTTCGCCTGTGGCGCAAAAAATAGTTTTTTTGGCGCCTTCGGCGCCACAAAAGGTGCATTAAAATTGACAAAATGCTCAGTTGAAACAAGATATTATTAGAAAAGATTCATTTAGGAGAGAAATATAAAAGATTTGAGGACGAATAAATATTTTCTAATTTAATTTTGAGACTACTTTTTATTTACAAATTTTCTCCCTATATACTTTTTAATCAAGATTTTGATACTTTTGAGTGGCATTTTGTCGATCGGAGCCCTGGAGTCTAATATATAATTTAAATTTTGTTGTCTGGTTATTAATTATTTATTGCATAATTTATTAAGTAAAGTCTTCAAAAATTCAACTGCTGAATTAAACTGTGTCCACCAATAAGCTTCACTTCCTTGCATTCTACTAGCATAAAAACTGTCAATAAATTGAAGATTGGAAAGGAGAGCATGAGGATTTGCCTAAAATTGAAGAGATTGAAAGTTTCGATAAAATTTAAATTAAAACCTTTATAATAACAAAAACAAGAATAGGCAAAATATCGTCAGCAGATGAAGTTACACGTCCAGCAGAGAGAACAATCAAATTTTCTATAGTCTCACAACAACGAGAAATACAATTCTTTAAAGAATAATAAAATAAATATTCAAATAAAATTTAAAAAAACCATTTTGTCACGCGGTGATTTATATGCATTTATAATATTTAATTCAGCCTGTGCAGAAGACCAAGGACATTCGGCATGAAGACACTTTAAAAATTAATTGAAAAATATTTTTAAATTTTCAAAAAAACCTTGGGTATAGCAAGATCTGGATGATCAACAGAAAGTAAAGAAGAAAGCTGACGAATTGATTTTGAGAGGACTCTTCAAAAAATTAAAAAAATTTAAAAATTATTGGCTCTGTTCTAATTTGAGTTCAATGAACCTTTATGAATTAACTTTTTTTGTCCCTAAAAATCACAAACATCCAAAGACTTCGAAATTTTGTTTGGACACATAAAGCTTCATTGGACTTATAATCTAGACCAGAGTTAATTTATTAAAAAAAATCGTGTCACATACTCATCACGATAATAATCAGCATCAGAATTTGGAAATAAAGCATAAACATAAATTTGTGCCATTAAAGAACGTTCCATACATTTTCTTGCATAATCTAAATTTTCTACTGTTGCAAAATGCCAAATCGGATCGGTTAAAAGTTGATCACAAAGAATTCGAAGAGTTGAAGAAACTAGTTCTACTTTCTCATCCTAAATTAATATTAGTTGTTTTAATTTGAAAAATTAACAAAAAAATTAATATTAGCTAAAAGAACGTAAAGGTAGAGAATAGCGGAATAAAGGCATAAAAACACCTAATAAATTCTGTGGTGTAGTGGAGTTTATATGATAAACAACAGAGATCGAACAGCAAGGTTCGAACCCAGCCAGAGATTTTTAAAATATTTTTAAGAAAAAAGCATTATTAAAATTTCCGAACAAAAATAAAAATTAAAATTTTTAAAAGTAAAATTTAAAAAATACCTGAACATGTAAATTTTGAAAATTTTGGACAAATTGTCTCAAATCTTCCTTTTGTAAATGGAATCTAACTAACATTTCAACTAAACATTCTGATGTTAATTCTAAATTTCTAACAAAACGATTATTCATTTTTTCTAAACAATATTTAAATTGTAATAATGTAGATTGTGATTGTTGTAAATATAATGTATAACATAATCTTTGACGTTGTTCTCTTTTTAATTTTTTTAATAATAAAAATATTCCTTTATTATCAAATATTGATAAACACCGCAAAACTTCACGTATTTGTGCTGCTTGTTTACGATCTCGACTATTGATAGAATCAGCTAAAAATAAATGAAGCATTTGTTGAAGTGCTAAAACTTCTGCATCTGCTATTTTTCTAAAATAATAAGAAAACTTTTTTGAAGTAAAAATGTGTTTTGCCGTAAAGGAATCTAAATATAAAGGTGGTGGAAAAATAGTGAAGAAAAAAGTAGAGATCGGCAAGGGATTCATTTTATAGCACCCCGTTTAAACTTCTCATAGTCCTTACAAAAGCAACACACAATCCCAGAGAAGAGTTTCTTCCCTCACACTAGATATACAACCAAAGATGGGTAGGGTTACCGGAAACCCGGATTAAAAATAATTAGATTTACTTTGTAGAAGAATCTCCAACATCATTACCATTCATTGCTTCTTTTTGTTGATGTTGTTTATCATTATTATTGGATGCTTCTTTATAATTTATCAAATCTAAACTTTTTGGAAGTGTTGTAGTGTTACTTAAAACTAATCTCAATTTTCTTTTAGCATCCAAAAAAGCTCGACATGTTGTTATATTGTTTTGATCAAAATATGGAAGTTTATCTTCTTCCTCATCAATATTATTGATATTGTTTGGGATCTAAAAATATTTTTTTAATTTTTAAAAAATTATCGTGACCTCATTAGATGAAGAAGCACCAACATTATCTGCTGTTGAACTTAAAACTAAATTAGTCAGAGCATTAACTGGATTTAAAACAGCAATAGGTGCAGTAACAATATTAGAAGAAGATGCCAAATTTGAAGAAAAATTTGTCAAATTATTTAATTGTTTTGATGAATTTAAAGAAGAAATTTGTTGTTGTAATTTATTTATTGGTAAAACATTATTTTGTTGTTGCTGAACAGCAAAATTATTTTGCTGAAGAAATGAATTTTGTGGTTGTTGAATTGATGATATTGAAGATGAAGATGCATCTACAGCATTTCTTAATTCTATCATCGCTGCTTCATTATCAGAAGCAACCACATCTGTTGACCAATTGTCGCTTACCAAAGAAATTGTTTCATCACCTTTTGAAGAGAACAAAAATTTTCACAAAATTTTCAAAAAAAATTTCTTATAAAAATTCCCCCCATCCCCTCCCCTATTCATAACCAAAATATTTTCCAAATGTATCAGCTTACGATTTCTAGTGCTGTCAATTTGTGGAAGAACAAATTTTCCAAATTTTTCTTCTAAACCTTCAGAATTTTGTTTTCTTACAGTTACAGGTAAATATGGTAAAGTTCGTCTATTATTATTTGCTTCTTGTTGAGGTAAAGTATTTGAAAATGTTGGGATTGTTGAAGAAGAATTTTCAATTACTGAAGGATCTTTAACAAATTTTGTTTTATTAAAAAAACTTTAAAAACCATTATTCTGCTCCGCATGATTAGAAAAAGGAGTTTCTCTGCCAGAAAGTTTACTTCCACTTAAGCTAGGTGATCCACGTCGAGAAACGTTTGCACTAATTGGGACAACGTCAGAAAAATTGTCTGGCAAAACAGCAACATCTTCTTCTGCTTCCTAAAAAAGAAGGGAATTTTTTAGAAAAAAATTTTTAACACAGGAAAATGCTCTATTTTAATAAGAAGCCTAAGGCAGAAAAAAATTTTCAAAAAATTATAAAAAACCTCAGCATTTCCATTTGAAGAACTCGAAGAAGTATCATCAACTCCCTCCACTTCCCCCACCTCTTGGTCATCTTCTTCTTCCTCCTCTTCATCATCGTCACTTATAACATCTGTATTTGTTCTATCAGAAACTACAATTTTTTTAATTTCAAAAAATTTTCACAAAAAAACAAACCAACGCTATCCGTTGCAGCCAAAAATCTTGTTTTCTTTTGTCCATTACACTTTTTTGATTCTAATCGAAAATTTAATTTCAAAACTTCTTCTTCAGACGTTGTTCCTATTGGCTCATAACTATCAGGAATTTCAAAGAGTAATACATCCTAAAAATTTTTTTGTCAAAAATTTTTTAGAATAGAATGTTAGGTCGAAAAAAGTTCATTTAGAGTGAACAGCCTAAGAACCATAAATAAAAATTTCTATTTATTTTACCCGATTTAAATTTTCATTTGTCGTCGAATTAACACCATTTTGGTTCTGTTGTTTTTGTTGCTGATTATTATTTGTAATTAAATTACAATTATTATTATTCTCATTTTCATTAACCAACACATTAACAGACAAAGAATTTGTTAAATTTTGTTGATCGGAATTTCTAAAATTTGAAACTGATGTTGTTTGAATTAATTTTTGATGTCCTTTAGAAGCAACATTTTGAACTGAAAAAATTTTGAAATATTATCAAAAATTTTTAAAAAATCCAAAACCTTTATCAGCCAAATTTCTTAACCGTGTAGACGAGGAAATTGGTTGCTGCTGTTGTTGTGATTGCTCTTTTTCAGGCAATCCCATATAAAATTTAATTTTTTCATTAAATTGTTCAGGCAATCTTTTTAATAATAATTTTAAATTTTTTAATAATGCTGCATCATTAATTTCTTCCAAAGCAGGAGATTTTAAATAATATTGCTAAAAAAATAAAAATAAAGGAATTTAAAAAAGTCAAAAAATCAAAAAAATCCAAACCAAAATATTAATTTCATTAAGAGAAGCAACAAATGTTGTACGTCTAAAAACTTCATTTCCTTTAGAATCTGCAATTTGTGTAGGAAAAATTGTTTCAATTGAAGCTGATCCTGTTTGTAAAACTGTGTCCATAACTTTGGTCATTGAATTCTTTAAAAGAATTTTTCTAAAATATTAAAAAAAAACAAACTTTGTCTAAATGAGAAAGAATTTCATTAAAATAAGAAGGGAAACGTTGTTCATAAGGAAGTATTGCCAATGATTGCAAAAGTTGTCCAACTTGCATTAAATTAAAACGAGCAATATAACTGAAAAGAGTAGGAATTTTAGAGGGAAAGCCATGAAGAGAAAATCGAAATCAATATGTCGTTCGACTCTGCTGGGCCACAAGAATGTCACTGGTTATCCGACACATAGACTTTTTCAAACCCGAAATCCGACCGAATCATAATCGCCCGATACCAAAATATAAAAATCCAAACCTTATCGGAGTGTCAGATATAATTCCAAGAGGTTCAGGATGTATAACAGCAGAACAAATAAAATAAGTAAAAATAAGGTCTGTACAAATTAAAGCTGCCTCATCATTGCTAACTAATTTTCTTTCAATCATTGCTGTATGCATTTGATCAACTAACCAAATTATACTCTTTGGGAATATTGGCATTGCATTTAATATTGCTGAAAATTAAAAAAATTTTTTAATAAACAAAATTTGAAAAAATTCGTATTTTTAAGAGTTGACCGAAACGAGTCAATTTTTGTCAAATCAACGTCAAAAAACAAACTAGATATTCTAAATAGAAATAAACAAAAACAAACCATTAATAAACGTTTCAACAACCAAAACCAATTTGTCAACAATAATTCGTCTGTGTTGGGCCAATTTGTCTTTATAAGATTTTGAATTTTCGTCTGGACCAAAACGTAAACGTCTTTCATGTGCAGGTATTCGAATTGGTGATTTTGATGGGTCAATGTCCAAAAATAGTTCTAAAACAAATCAAAATTTTGAAAAAATTTTCTAGAAAAAATACCGTCTTGACTCAAAAGAAACATTATTGGCTCATGAAGGGCAGCAGTAAGAAAAATCTTTAAAAAATTATCCCAATAAATTTCAACTTTAAAAAACCTTTGTGGATAAAAGAGATTCACTAAAATATTTGTACATTCTAGAAAATACAGAATTTCCTTTTCTGAGTATTTTTCGTGGATCTGGATTTTGTACAATTTGTAAATTAATTAAATGCCCAAGTAATTCTAACATATTCTTTTCATCTTCTGGGAAAAAACAAGAACCATAAATTACATTAAATACACAAGAACATAATTCATCCATTGTATACTGAATTGAAAAAGAAATATAAAAATATTTAAAATCAGAGAAAAGAAGCAAAGAAAATCAGTGCTGCCATGGGTTACACAAAATCCAATATCACAATCCCGGATTTTATCAACAGAAATAACAGGAAAGGTTGGTAATAACCTGTACCCTCTTATTGGGAAATATCAAATCAAGCATTAAAAGTACACAAAAAACTCACATTAGTTGCTGTAATCTTCTCTGTAGCATTCAAAAACATAGAAACAGCTCTAGGAGCATAAGCCAAAACTTTGTAAATTTGAACAATTTCAGCAGCATATTGATTCAAAATTTTGTAAGCTTCAACAAAATTTGATGAATATAAATTATTAAAAAGTTGACAACAATTTTCTGGAGAGACATTAATATCAGAATTAATTAATTGATTTAGAATTTCCTTTAAATTGGAAGAATTTTAAATTACTCCAAAAAATAAAATGTTCTAATAGAAGCCCTGGGGGATTATTTTTCAACAGATCTCGTTAAGTGGACTACTATTGGAGACGGGCTGCCATTAAAAACCCCAGATGTTTAATTTATGAAAGGGTCTCTTTGAGTGGACTTTTAACAAGGCACTGGCTACTATCAAAGATGGGCTTCTATTAAAACATTTACTATATTTTTAAAAAAAACCTGTTGATGTCTACAAATCCATATTTGTTTACAAATATTATTATATTCTTTAATTACCTTTAAAAAATTTTTTTTAGAAATTAAAAATAAAATTTTAAAAAATACTTTTCTATTTAAATCCTCCAATGTAGACTTTTCATGCTTAATAAGAAGAGATTCCAATCGAAGCTTTTCACATAAAAATGATAAACCAGCAAAATTAACTAATTCGGTAGAAGCCATAATACATTAAAATCTGAAAAATAAATTTAAAAAATTACGAAAATAAATAAAAGTACAAACAAAGAACAATGAAAAAAAACTTTAAAAATATGGTTGCACAGCGGGTTAACGCGGACATAGCCATATCTCTCGCTTTTCTCTGCTTCTCTAATTTTCTCCTAGAATAAAGCATTACTCTCATTTTTCATTTTACCCACAAAACTTTGAAATCAAATATCTCGGCTTATAGACGTTAGTTTTAAAATCGCTCCCGCTATTTTGTGCAAAACTATTTAACAAACAATTAGGCAAAAAATAAAAAAAATTTACCCATTTTTAAAAAAATTGAAAGGATTTTACTGCGACTTAGATCTGCGACTTAGATCATCTAACAAATGTTAGTTCATTCGAAAGAACTCCTCGAGATGAGTCAAATAAAACCAAAATTAACGTGATCCGACTTCATAGGGCCGAGTTACAGACCCACGAAAGTTGAAAATTTTTGGAGTTAGAGTTTCGGACATGCAAATTATAGCTCGATCGAAAGAGCTCGTCGAGCTGAGTCGAATGACACCAAAATCAGCTTGACTGAGTAATTCCTAACAAAGTTATGTCCTATAGATGAATGAGCCTTGCGTTTATATGGAGCAGTTTCGCGAATAAACAGGTGGTATTCGCGAATAAACGGGTCGTTTTTGCGAATAAATGGGTTTCTCTGGCTATGTCCTGTCTGTCAACAGAGTTAACCCGCTGTGTGGTTGTTGTGAGAGAGTAAGTAAATATAGGAGAGCGTTAGACAATAAAGATAAGTAACAAAAAAGACAGAATGCCAAAATCTTCGCGTAAAAATTATTTTCTATTTAATAGATGTTGAATTCTTGGTCTGGCGAGAGAAACGAATGTTTTAAAAATCTGAAAAAATTGTAAAAAATTTTTAAAAAATTTAAAAAATTTTTTCAACATTAAAAAATAAAAATTTAAAATATTTTTGAAATTAAAAATAAAAGCTACAAGAAAACTTCGAACCTACGACCTCTGTCCACGCCAACCTAAACCATTAACCACTGCATCACAACAATTCTTCACACTAATCTATTTTAATTTACTAGATACATGCTTGTTTTTATGTTTTTATTTATCCATCTGTTCGTTTTCTTCATCACCTGTTTTTGCTTTACTTTTGCTTAAAAAACATTACCAAATTTCTCTCACTCTCATTCATTCAAACCCAATTCCTTAAATTTCACGCCCCCTCACTTCATATGTTCCTATTAAAAATTTCCTGTCAATAAAATTTAAAACAAAAATATGGCCCAAGTTCGTCCAACTACCTTTGTAAGTCTTGATTTTTTATTGTTGGGGAAGGGGAGGTCACAATCTTTGAGGTCATTATACTTTTCATTCATTTAGCTCTCGTTGCAAGGCTTTCCCGAAGGTCAAGGCTACCTGGCTCGTACTAGGACCGTTCCAGATCTCACCGTTTACGTTCGTCAATCTGATCGCTACAAGCCGCAATGGTACAGAAACGATCAAGTCAGTCAGATCATTTTACAATAAATTGAAAATCCAAAAATTTATCTTAAAGTTCCCCCACCGTGGCAATGCTTATTTTTATTTTTCTCCACAATATTATTACAATTTACACCCTCACCGATATGCTACACCCTGTAGAGATTTGACTCCTTTCAAATACGACACACATTGGGCTGATTATAAAGGGGCTTGGTAAAGGAATATTTTCCGATAAAAAATTTTTTTCAAAATTTTTAGGTTTGATTATCTTGAATGGTTCCATTATAAGCGTTGGTGAGGAAAGAAAATATCTTTTAAAAACTCATATAATTATTTTTTAAAGGTATAATCCTTTTTATGATATGTCTGCTTACCATGCTAATTTGATAGACAATTATGGTTAAAAAATGAAGAGGAGAAAAATTGACAAAAAATGAATTCTCGAATATATTTAGACATTTGTTTTTAATTAAAAAGGATAAAAAATCTTAAAATTAATTTTTAAAATCAGTTGTTTATAAGGAAGGGGTCGGTTTGAGAAAAAAAATCGGGTCAGGGTTTCAAATATTTTTCGTGTCGGGTTTTGAGTCGAAAACAAATACGAGTTTTGAGTAATCCGACCCATCCCTTGTGTCTATTTCTAGGGATAATACTCTTTTTCTCCCCTGTTTTTTGGTTAGATTTTTTACGTAATATTTATTTACTAAAACATTTATTGAATCACCTGTTTTTTTCTTTCTCAAGGCTTTAGATCCTTCCCCCTCAAAATTCCCCATTCTCTTCAAGTTTAACTTAAATCACTTTTGTCTGCAAAAATCTCTCCATCTCCTCCTTATGCTTCTCTACGCTTATGAACCATGGAGAGATTTTACAACAGCTTTGTGCCGTACCAAAAGTTCTTCGAGTTTTTGGCCTACAACACAAAAAGTTTATTTAAAAAACTATCTTTTAAAATATTCTTTAAGGTTCCCCGTTCTGAATCGGTGCAAGATGTAACAGGCAATTATAGACCTTATGACCGTCATCGGCCTCTGTGGCTATCTGAAAAGTATGAACGACCACTTAGATACAGAAATCCAGCACCTTATAAATTTGAAAGGAACAAACAAATGGTACTATGACTTGATAAAAACACAAACAAAAATCCAAAAAAAAATTTTTTAAGGCAGAACATTATTGGCGCGATCAGTACTATTTTACTTCTCCATTGTATAATCGTACGAGTATACCACACCGTCCATTTCAAAGGTAACTAAAAATATTTTTTAACACCTCCCAATTTTTTAAAATTTTCTTAGTGAATATGGCTCCCATATCTATACATATTGGGCTCGTTATAATGGATATGGGTAATTAAATTTAGAAAAAATTTAAACAATTTTTAAATTATTTATAGATATGATAGGAATCACCCAGCCTTTTATCGACGCTATTTTAATCCAATTGATGATTATTTTGGCTAAATTATAAATACAAATACGCGATGCTTTCATTTAACATAATTCAATTTATTTAAAATACTCACAATTTTTGAGTATTTTTTAATTAAAAATATATACCCTCCCCCTCCCCCTCGCACATTTATTTAATCCCTAAAATCTCCCTAATCCTTTCCTATCCTCTTCGATTTCCGCTTTAAATTTTTTTGTTAAAAATTTTCAAGAGAATAGAACTGAGGAGAAATAAAAATAAATAAAAGTGCTAGCGTAAATAAAGTTTAAAAAACAGTTGTTTGTAAATTTAGGATGATGCAAAACATATGTTCAAATAAAAAAATATTGAGTAAATTGGATCAAGAAATATATTTAAAAAAAAAATTTCTAACGGATTTGTAAACAATAAAAGACTAAAAATTTATAAATAAAATAATTTGTCGATTATTTTTAAGAACTCCCCACAGCCTTTTATTTCCACTAATTTAAAATTATTTTTAAAAATGTGTGCCGCTTATGCAGTAATGCATGGTGGACCTGTACTTAGGCCGGACCAAATGGAGAAAAATATTCGACAACGATTACCTGAGGTCTTCACTCTCATAACTTTAATTAATCAATTTAATTAAACACATTAGTTGCCTCGCCGTATTGTCCCCGTCTCTTCAACAGACGATTTATCATTAAAATTGGTAAACGCAAAACCTGTCTGGTCTTTGTTAAATTCTGCAAATTGGCATTCTTACTGGCCCTATCGATATTTATCTGATCCTTATTCTGTTTGAATTTTTAATTAAAATTTTCAAAAAAATATTTTTAAATTAGCATGAAATGTATTGGCATGACCCTTACAGTCTACACTCTCCCCTACACAAACGGCAACTTTTTGGGAAGAATAAACCGAATGTGTAAATATTAATATTTAATTTAAAAAAAATTTTTTTTTTAATTTTTTAGTGATTATATAGCAAATAATCATTACTGGAAGTAATTTTTCTTAAACAATTTTTAAAATAAAAAATTAATATTTTAGCTATCCATATCCTTATTGGGCTCGTTATCGTGGTTATATGTAAGTATTTAAATTTAAAATCAAAATTCTCCCATTATTTTAAGTTATGACTACGCAAATCCTTCATTTTATTCGAAGGAGTACGACTTGAATTATTTTGAAATTTGAAAGAAAGAATTATTTAATTCAAAAAATTATTAAAAAACAATTAAATTTTAGTTGTAATTTTAACAAATAAATTTTTAAAAATATTTTTTTCTATACATCTTTGAGAAGCTTCCTTCGAGGAGCGCTCCAAATTTTATAGGAGTAATCGTCTCTATAAGGTTCATATATTCGTCTATAATTATCTGGCTGATCAGAAATATATCTAAATGAGTAATGAAATCAGAATAATAAATTTAAAGTTACAAACTTTAAATACTTAATGTAAAAATACTTAAAATACTTAATCTACGCGCCTTCGACTTTGTATCTAAGGGAAGGGTGGGACCTTCAAAAATTCGTGATTATTCTTGTTCCATTTTTAATTCTCTATCATATAAGCTTTATTAGATCCCATTATCATTTTTTTGAATAAAGTTATGGCATAAAATGTGTGCCCCATCACTTTCTTGTCACCCTGTACTTAATGTAATTTAATAAAAAATAAAAGAAAATACACACTATTTCACTAATCAAATTCAACAAGAAAATACAAAACTTACAAGCAATCACAGTAAGCCTTAGACCAATACGTATATGGAACTTTTTTGTAATCTCTAAAATATTTTATTTATTGAAAATAATTAAAATTTTCCTACAATCGTTCATAACGTTCATATAGAGGTAAGGGTCTGTATTTTCCAGAAAATTGAAAATAATTGTCAGAATAAGAAATATCATCCAATCGAGATTGTCTAAACGTTCTGTAGGGAAAACTACGAAGTTTGTAGTTTGCCGCTGTATTTTCAATTGGAGAAGTGAAGCCAACAGAAAATGAGTTGGATAAATCAGCCTAAATTTTGAATAATTTATTAATTTTATTTTAAATCACCAAGGTTCTTGGACGAAGCTGCACAGGCTTAACACGAATTATCGGAGCAGACGGGGAACTTCCCAAAGCATACGCGCTCATTTCTAGTTAATAAAGCTTAAGCTGGGGAGAGATTATTGCTTTCTTCCAAGCACTGGAAAAAGCTTCCAATCAACCGGATATATTTATTTTAGAAAGCATTTGTTTTACACTAAATTTATTTTTCTCTGTTATACAACCTTTTATTTTCTTATTTTTATTTTTATTAATTTTTAGTGTAATATTTTTTTATTTTTAGTAAATACAAACATTTTTTGAAGTAAAAATAAATTAATAAAAAATATTAAAAATCCAACAAAAAATGGCTTTTTCACCAACTCTAACCCGTTCATATTCTGTCACGAAAATGAGCGAACTTGAACGTCGACCAGCTCCCTCGGTCTTCTAAATTCTTAATAAATCATCAAAATAATTTTAAAATTTTTCAGTTAGCCCGCTCATCCTCCCTCTATGATGTCAACAAATATGAGCGTTCTCTTGAACGTTTTACCCCTGCTCGTTCATTCTTAGTTCACAATGATTCAACTCCTTTGTGGTCCCACACTTTCTATAGAGACATTGGAGAACAACCTCGTTATTATAGACCTTCCTATTTGATGGATAATCATTGGTGGGATAAATATTATTATTTCTCTCCTCTTTACAAAGGCACACAGCCATATAAACGACATTATGCTAGGTAGCTTAAATATTTTCTAAAAAATTTAAAAAAATTTTAAGCCATCACATAACGTTCCCATGCACTTGGAATACACCACACGTTTATTGGGGACGTTCTAAAGGCTATTGGTAAATATTCACCCTCAGAAAAATTCTTAAAAAATTTTCTTCTAGGTATGATTCAGACGATGATTACTCCCCTCTCTATCGTCGCTTATATGACCCTCATACTGGAGACTCTCCTTATCTTCAGCGCTTCTGGAAACGTTACAATTCACATTTGTTATACAACGATGTTTATTAGAAAGAGGATTAAATAAAATTTAAGAAAATTTTTATGTCAGTTTTTCAAAATAAAAAATTTTTTTCTTATTGGATTTTACTAGTTTTTTTCGTTTACAGCTTTTTTAAAGCTGCCAAATATTTTTAAAAATTATTTTTCATATTTTTAATATTTTTTTAAATTTTGTTGTTTAATAAGCATCCATTCTCTCACTCTCTCTAATTTTTTATAAGCTTTACAACAACCCACGCAATCTCTCCCTACCATCAGCTTTATCTCAAGTTTTATTTATTTTTCTGATTTTAAAAAAAAACTTTTTTCTTCTCTCCAACAAACAAATGGTGGTGAAACACAAAACTTTTTTCTTCTGTTCTTCCTCTATTATTTCATCTTTTTAGTTTTACTTTAAAAAACACAAACATTAATATAATAATTACCCTCCTTAACAGACTAAATTTAATTGTCCTTTCCCCAAAAATAATTTAGGTAATTTAGAAATTAAAATGAGCAACTTCCCTATAGTCCGCTCAAATTCTTATATTTTATATCCCCGCGCAAGGGACATGCATTCGGGGGAAGCTATGGTTCCTACATTGAGTAGGTTGGTGATTTTGTATTTTCTTAACCCTTATAAAAATTATCTTTTCTAAGAGTTTCATCTGTCCCAAATCTGCACAATATGCATGTTTCTGATGCATTCAGGCCGGGAACTCTTTACAAATACAGACGTGATTGGAACCCGGTAAGGGTGTATTTTTGGGATTTAATTTCACTCAAGAACAAGTGTTCAAATAAGCTAAAAACGGCTGTTTTTGACTACAAATTGATCCAGAAAAAAATAAAAAGCTTGAAAAACCTCCAACAAAACTTGTCTTCCTAACGATTTAATAGCTTTTTTAATTTTCAATATTTTTAGCTAAACAATTGTTGTATTTATTTATTTATTTATCTATTTTTTTATTTCTAAATAATAATAAAACAAAATCTCCTTAACTATTTTTAAGAGAAACGGGGATCTTCCAAAGGGTCTTACAAAAATTCCAAAAAATTCTCATTTTCAGTTAGAAGCAAGTATAACTGACACAAGTCACCATTCACCTCTTTTCTGGGTTGATAGACGCTTCTCAGGTATTCTTGATGTTTATTTTAAAAATTTTCAAAAAATATTCACAGCTCGTCGCTACATGAACACTGACCCAATTCCTGATTCCTTAGGCCTAGATTACCCCAATTTTTGGTCCCGCTACAAATTCTACTCTGACTATCTTGAACCAAAGGTAGGGATGTATATTGGTCCAAAAAAATCCAAAAAAAAATTTTCAGTATTGGCGCCGGCACCGCGACCCAAACTATGACCGTCCCTTATGGAACTCTTGGAAACCCTACATTTTGGACGGGAAAAACCAAAAACAGGCTATTGACATGTATCGACAAGGATTAGTTTCTTTTGCATATTTGGACAAAAATTGGATTACTCCATGGGCACTTGGACGAAAAGAAAAAGATTGGAATGAAGTTTACCCTCCAGCTGGTAAATATGGGGCTAGACGTTATATGTACTCTTGGGCCTAATTAGAAGAGAAAAGAGAGAGGAAATTGAGAATTTAGTAAAAGTGTTAAAAAAGTGCCGCGTAATTTTTTTATTTTACTTTTGTAAAATTTAATTTTCCTTTTTTATTTTCCCCATTTAAAAAACATTTTTCAAATTTTGAAAAAAATTAAAGTGGAAATGCTCATTTCAAATAAAAAAATTCCCCCAGATCCGTTCCTAGTTGCTTGTTGTATTTTCTTCTTTAATTGTGAGAATTGGAGAGATTACTAGGTGAATAACGAAGTGAAATTGTTGAAGGAATTCTTTAAAAGAATTGAATTTGTTTTTTAAAAGACTTATCTCTAACACCTTTGAGGTCTAAATTCTCGAGAATTTCTATTACTAATTAATTGTTGTTGTTGTGAATTGTCTGTTTGAAATTCTTCCCTTCCTCCTCTTCCCTCGGAACTTGTAGTTCCTCCACAAATCTGTCCAGTCCCAACAGTTCCAATTTCCATCATTTCCAATTTTTTCCTCAATCTTCCGCCGAGTGGAAGTGCTCGCAGAAAAGATTCTCGAAAAGCACTATTCATCCAGGCATATAAAAGAGGATTTGCTGCAGGTACAACCATTGAGAGTAAATGGGAAAGTAGAAAAAGGAAGGAGAAATAGGGCTTAAAACAGTTTCTGTTAAGTTTAAATATTAATTAATTTCCACCTTCAGCCAGGCATCCATTCTAAGATCCCTTAACAAATTGAGGATATTAAAAGGAAGCCAGCAACACCCAAAAACCAGAACCTTTGTAAAAAATTTTTCTAAACTCAAAATTAATTTAATTAACCATTCTAACAAGCATTCTAAGCAATCTCTGTTTTCTATTCATTTGTGCCTCACTTATAGGCCTTAGAAGTTGGGCACGTCTAGATTCAATAAACCTCCAAATAAGACGATAACTTCTTCCAATAATTGCAAATGGAAGGACAAACTTTTAAAATTTTTCTCAACTTTAACCTTAAAAATCTACTTGTAATATAGCAGTAATAACCCCATAAACACTCCTCAAATCCTCCAAATCAACCCAATCTTCAACACAAAGGGAGAAATGGCAAGGCCATTGAACTTTAAAAATGAATTTTAATATACTAAGTAAGGTGGATGGATGCACACCTTGAGCAATTCTCATGTGAACAGCATAAGGCAAGGCGAGGAGAATAGAAACACACCAAATGAGAACAATTACAGCTATACAAACCTATAAATTTTAAATAAGAGGGTAATTTTGAATAAGAGATAAGTTCAACTCCAAAATTTATAGCCTTCGCTTAAAACTAAAGGCTACAACCAGCTATATTTTAGAGAAATTAGCTACACAAAACTGAAAGCGAACTACAAATTTAAATGTAAGCTATAAAGTAGTAGTTGTAGCTTGGTTTTGAGCGTATAGGCTATAATACCCTTTTTACAAACAAAAAAATTCCAACTTGTTTGGAAGTATGCATTTGTGTAGCACTCCTATTTGGTGGTGCCAAACAGATAACCCAATATCTATCTAATGCAATAGCTGTCAACGAAAGTGAAGAGATAAAAATTGATGCCCCTTGGAACAAAGGCAAAGAATAACAAAGCCAACCACCCCAAATCCAGTGTCCAATGTAGGTATATGAAGGGGTTAACCATATTGAGCTGAAGCAAACCAAAAGATCAGAGACTGCCAAGTTTGCAATGAATACTGTAAATTAAAAAATTCATCTAATAGAATGCCCTCTCATTTAATGCCCCCTCTCCAATAGAAAGCCTTTTTGGAAGGTGATTGATGAATAGAATGCTCGGGTAGTATTAGTGACAGGCAAAATCGTATTTGCGGGATCCCGAATGCGGGAGTAACTTTTAAAATTGTCTGCGGGAGTAACTCCCGCGGGAATAATCTCGCAAAATCTCGCATTCCCGCAAAATCCCGCATTTTTAATTTGCGGGATCACGCGCGGGATCCCGTCCCGCGCCGGTCACTAGGTAGTATATCGTTGAGACTCAACTGTCCCAGACTCTACTGTCCGTTTCCGGTTTTTAAAAATTTTAAAAAGTTAGGTGAGACTCAATTGTCCCAGACTCTTTTGTCCATTTCCGGTTTTTAATTAACAGATTAATATTAAGTAAACTTTTTTCTAACCGTTTGTGACAGTCTGCATCTTCTAAAATTATTTTTAAACTTTTTAGATTAAATTAAATTAATTTATTCTCTACCTTACAATTAACAACAACCCAAACAACAAGCAAATTTCCAACAGTTCCAACAACAAAAATGCTTGGGTAAGCAATCATAAATAAAACTTTTGTCAATAAAAGATCTGTCAAAACCTTTCAAAAAATTTTTTTTAATTTTTAGAGTGGACTGTCACCAACACCTTTTTGCCTGTGCAACTAACAACAGCGCCTGGAATTTGTGGTGAAAGGTGTAGAAGATGGGCATTGCTAATGTTGGGGAGCATGTAGGTGGGTTAATTAAATTACTATAATTTATTAAAAAATCAGGCATGCTCACAGGTTATAGATTTTCGATATCCGCATCCGATATTAGCTATATCCGTTTATATCCTGTCACTTTTCGACTATATCCGCTCGTGGATAATCTTATTTTTCTCAAAATGGTCAGATACTCAAAAAATTTTCAAAATAGTCAGTTTTTCAGTGTCAGTTTTTCAGAGCCGCGGGTATCCGGATATCCGCGGATATATCCGTACCCGTGAGCATGCCTGATAAAAATCGAAAAAAAGGTTCGAGAAAGGGTTAATTTGAGTTAATTTTATTAAAAATATTCGAGAGAAAAACATAAAAGGTTTGACTGCGCTTCCCAGCCTCTTTTTTTATTTTCATAGCTATTTTTTGTTATTTCCGCCGAGTATTTGCGTGTGAATAGTTTAGTAGGTGGTAGATGAGAAAAATGAGAAAAGGGAAAATTTTTTACGTTTATGGCCGCTAATCAAATATTTTTTTTGCTTTTCCTCATTCCTCACATTTTTCTTCATCTCGTTTTTCCCAGTCAAAGGAAATGCCAAAAAAGAAAAAAAATAGGGAAAAGTATGAACGGATATGTATATATGTGTTTTTAATGAATTTTTTTAAAGGAGCTAAAATAAGATTTATTTAGTAGTATATTTACTTGGTAGGAGGAAAGGGGGGAGGATGATTGTAGTACAAAAGTAAAATATTTGTGACATGTGTAGTGTGAGCAGGTCGTCAAACGAATTAATGTGAATACGTTAATTAAAGCTCTGGGCTTTAATTAGAGAATGTGCGTTTATTTTTCGATGGTTTTTATGTGTCTAATAGAGCCGAGATTTAATTAAAGCATTTGCAGTAACATAAATTTAAACGTCATTGAAAATTATTTGTTTAAAGCTATTTCTATATTTAAATGGATAGGGAATTTTTTATTTTATGTTGAAAATTTTTTTCATTTTTAACTCATTTTTTGCCAATTCATTCGTAATTTTAATAAATTCATTTTTGGAATTCTTATTAAAAAAAATAAATTCTCTATCCAATTTTAAATCTTTATTGGCTCATTCTTTGAGGCTATTAGTTAAGAAAGAAATGTCGTCATAATCCAAAACTCATTAAAAATGTAAAAAGCTTTAAATAGGGAAAAAACAATATAATTTATGCTAACGTTTTTTGTTTGTATTTATTTTTGCATATTTTTTTATTTTATGTATTTTTGGCACCCTAAATGCTATTTTAAAGAGGGGGAGTTTTTTTCAAATGTGATATTTTTGACTTAAATTTTTTTTCTGTTTTTTTTTCTTTATTTTACTACGAAAATAATGTTAATTAGATTGATGATTTTCTAGTAGTACAAAAAATAATTTTTCTGTATTTTTTCTGAATTTTCTGGACTTTTGTACATCCTTCTTCTGTTTTCTTGTTCAAAAATAATAGGAAGATCCATACCAACTGTAAAACATTTTCTAAAATAATTTTCTTTTTAAATTTACCGTCTGTAATAGTATGGCCAATCATAATCATAGCTAAAAATATCAAAAAAATAATTTTTAAAAATTCTAAATTAACAGATAGCTTTTGTAACGGCTCCAATAATTGTAGGGATAATACCAGTAATAAGGATTTGAGATGTAGTCACTAAAAAAAGATTATTTTGTAATTTTGTATAATTGTTCGCAAGGGATGTGCCGATTTTCTTTCGTCGAATTTTTGCCATTTTCGGTTTTCATCTTTCGGTTTTTAAATTGAATTTCGCCTTTCGTCCTTCAACGAATTTCGCATTTTTTAGTGTCTCGCCTTTTAGTCTTTCATTTTTTAAAATCTTTTTCGGCACACCTCCTGTTATCCTGTATTCTCACCTGTAGTAATAACGTCTATACGGAAATAGGCTTCGATAGTAGAGTGGAGTATAAGTTGAATAATATGAATAACGATCATACCAATAATAATCAGACTGTTGATTAAATTTATTTAAAAAAATTTTTTAAGTTTACAAACCTGCCAATAGTCACGGTAACGATAAGGGTACTTTAATTTAAATTTTGGAGGAATTTTTTAAATTTTGAGAGGAATTTATTAAACGACATACCCAATAACGCCAACTATAGTAAGGATAATAATATGAAACTGGGGTGTAACTAGAAAAATTTTTTTGATATTATTAATAATAGGCATGTAGGAGTGATTGTACCTTGTAAGTGATGGCACAGAATAAGTTCGAGTTAAACTATAAGGACCAACACTGGGCAAGTCTAGTGCTGAATATGTACGGACAAGTGCCATTTTTTGTGTTAATAATTAATTTTTTATTGACTTTGAAAATGAGAATTTAAGGAATTTTTTTTGACTATTAAACTGAGAAAGCCGTTCGAAAAATAAAATTAAATATTTGACTTGTTTACTGAACCATATGACGGGAAATGTTTTATAGATTTTATTTAAGAGAGTCAAAACTTTTGGAACCAATTGTTTTTGTTTTTTGTTGATGTTTGTTAATAGCATATGGAGGCTTTTCTCTTTCTCTTTTTGATATCCTCATACAAATTCCATTAAGCAAGAGTTCAAAATTTAAAAAATTAAAGTAAACAAAACGAATAATTTTTTATTATTCTGGCACAGGTTTATGAAGGAAAAATGGAATATTTTTACTTTGGGTATATAAAAGTTTATAGGAACAAAATCAACAACAGAAAAACAATTCAGAATCAGAAAAATACAAAATTAATTTTTATATATACCCAAAGTAATTTTTAGTTAAGGGTAAGGGACAAGGCAGTGTGATTTTTTATCTAACAAAAATTATCATTTTAATTCTTCTATTTTTTTCTGTTTCTACGTGGGATTAAACGCCGGTACCCATTCAGCTTTGTAATCCCTTATTTCTGGTTTATGTGAATCAGGGTTAGAAAGATTCTTGTCCCAAAGGTAGAGAAGGCGCCAGTCTTTGTGCCGTTGGAACCAGCTAGTTGATGAAATCCAATTACGATTTAATTGTGTAAAGGAGATGGTCTAGAATTAAAAGGAAAAATTAATTTTTTGTAAATTTTTGACTAGGAAAAAACTAACCCCATTGCGGTATAGGGCCAACCCTTTGTGCAGTCCATCCTCCATACCTGTGCCAAACGGGGGAAGACTTTTAAAGGCCCTTCAATAATAGATACTGTCGAGAAGCCAGCTCCGATAGCGATAACTGCCCAAGTATGAATCATAGTAAGGATCGTACCATCTAGAAATTTTTTTTGGAATTTTTATTTATTTTTAAAAGGTCTAAAAACCTTCTCGAGTAATAGGGCAAACTGTAATCTCTGAAAATTTATTTCAGTTTTAATTCTAGAATTATTAAACAGGCTTACAAGTAGCTTCTATAGCGGCTATAATAGCTATAAGGATAGTATCCATAATAGCTAAAATTTAATAAATTAATCGAAGTATTTCAAAATGTAAAAATACCCATAAGGGTAGTAGTAACGACTATAAGGGTATGAATAATAGCTTCGATAGGTGTAGGGCCAAGAATAGTTGTAGTAAGAATCAGTCTTAAATTGAATAATTTTTGTGTTAATTAAATGAAATTAAAATTTCTCATGTAAAGCTAACTTACCAGATAGCGATAAGGATACTAAAATTTAATTGTAAAGGTTTTAAAAAATTTTTAACAAAAAATTTACCCAATATCTCGAACTGTAGTAGGGATAGTAGTAATAAGATGAGTATGAAGGCCTGTACCTAAATTGACAAGAAAAGATTAGGGAAATTTTTAAAAGAAACATACAAATCAGGCACTGAATACGTGCGGGTTAAACCTATAGGAGCGCAACTCGAAAGGGCTAAAGCTGAACGAGTTCGGACAAGTGCGTAGTCTGACATTTTTTGTCTAAAACTTTGTTTTTAAATTGAAATTTCTGATTTAATTTTAGTCTTCCAGAAATTTTTTAAAAAAATTTGACAAAAGTATTTTTAATAAAAATGTTCAAAGGTCAGAATAAAATTTTTTAAACAATGAAAGAAAAATCATTCATTTAATTTTGTGATGATTAGGCACACAAATTTAACGCCATCTGACTTTAATTTTTTTAAAATGCTTTTGATTCTATTTTACTTTTTGTCTTTGCTTATCTCATATTTCACATTCTCATTTAACATTTCCATGTGTTCTGTAAAAAAAGGGAGGGAGAGAAAAGAGTGAATGAATGAATTGAATTTGTGGGGGCGGAAATTACCAGTTGCGATTTTCATTTTAGTTCTCTGAAAAGAAATAAAATTTGTGTTTAAAAGCTAGGGAGGATTTTATGTAAGGATAAACATAGTAAATAAAATGTTTGTTTAATTAGAGATATGTGTGTATGAGTGAATAAGGAGATGTTCTTCTTGTCTAGTCTCCTTTTAAAAGTTCAGATATTTTTAGTTAACTTAGAGGAGAATGCATGATAACAGTTGCTTCTTTTAAATAGAGGAAGAAGGGTTTTTATTAACTTTATTATTAAACTAAAGATTTTTTTATATAAATGATAGTACATTGAATAGATTAAATGAAAATTGTGATTGTGATTTTATTCTTTTAAGCTGAAAATTTTAAAAATTTTATTCACAGAAATTCCGGATTAATTAAATATTTTGTTTTTGTTTCCTCTCTTCATATAGTAGTACTTTTTTCTCCCACACATTTGTATTCAAAGATACCAACGCTCCGGGTCAAGTACCCATTGATACGGTTGATAGAGACCGTCGGATGGACATTTAGCATGAAGGCGTTGATCAACTAGTACTAAACATTTTGGGCATTTTTGCTAAAAGATTTTGGAAATTTTTGCTTATTATCTCTAGCTTTTACCAAATTCTTAGTTAAATTCGGCGCCACTTTAGCCTGTACATAAGCTGATGAACGTGCCAACCGGAGTTGATAATCCCCATGTCGACAAATTTGTGCTGAAAAATTTGAGCAACGAGATTCCATTTAACAATTAATTAGTGTTGAAAATTAAATTTTAAATTTTTTTTCGTCAGTTTTAAGGGAGAGTTGAAGAGAGAATTTTAAAAAGCAAGAAAAATTACTTGGGATAAATGGGAGAAATTTATAGGGAAGAGAAACGAGATATAAACAAAAGCAAGGGAAACAACAACAATAACAACTGCTGATCACTCTCTTTTTCACATTTCATTTAAAATTTTAAGGTTTATAATGAAAAGAATAAGTATTATTAGATCAGAAATAAGATGTAGATCAGTTTAAATATGTATAGAGGGATGTGCCGAAACCGCTTTTAGAAAGCGGAAGTCAACGTCGAAGAGGCGAAAAATACCTCTGATGTATGGGCTGCTAAAGTTGCTATTTTGTGTGAGAGAATTAGTTTTTTTTTTCAAGGGGTTTACTATTGTAATGTTTTATTTTTAGAGGAAAATATTGAAAAAATGTAAAACTAGATTGTGTAAAAATGAGGAAAAAACAAATATTTTTTAAAAAATAATTTTATAAAAAATACAATTTGAGTGAGTGACCATTGTTAGGCAAAAATTAAAAAAAATCTCAATTAAAAAAATCAAAAGAAATGTGCTCTTTGCATTTTATCATTTAATCTTTCTTCATCTTCACCATTACTTGAATTACTATAGTTATCATTATCTTGTGCTGGAGGTGTGGGTAATAATCGGCGATGTGTACGGGGAGATCCAGAATATTGGGCGGTCACTAGAAAAATTTAAAAGTAGAGGAAGATTGTTGAGGTTTACCAGATTTTCTAGGCCTTGTCTGTATTCCAGCCAAAATTTCTTTGCTTGTTTTTAAGCTGCTACTTCTTCGAGCATTTACTCCCGACGTCGAGGAATCACGTAGTCGATGAGCTGCTGGGGAAATTAATATTTGTCGGTCATTTTCACTGAAAGGATTATCAGGATCGCGAGGGGAAATTCCTTTAGACTTGAAAAATTTGGGAAATATAAAAAGTATTTTTTTTTATCAAAAACCTTCATGTATCCAATTAATTGTCCAGGAACTTCAAATAGCACTTCCTTGGCTAGTTTAGCCTTAGCTTGTGCTAATTCTAATTCAGTCATAGTCCGGTGAGGTGGCAAAAATTTGCGGATTTGAACGAACTGAAGGGGAAATAAATTTTTGAAAATTCTAGAAGAATTTTGAGATTTTTTAGAAATTCTTTGAAAATTTTTTTGAAATATTTTTTTGGATTTTTTAAATTTATTCACTTGAACAATGTCCCTTTTTGCATATTTTTTGTGTGAACATAAAAGTCTATTGTCAGAGTCTAAAACTTTCATTTCATCAAAAGTATCATAACCAACACCAACTACAATTATTGATAAAGGCAATGAGGAGGCCTAAGAAAATTTTAAAAAATTTCTATTTTTAAAAATTACTTTAATAATTTCCTCTTTAGTTTGTTCAAAATCAGTAATAGCTCCATCTGTAATTATTAATAGCACACAATATTTGCAGCCATTTTCAGGCAGAGAAGCTGCCCTTCTTGCTGCTAAGCGAATTGTTGGGGTAAAATCGGTTGGGCCACTTTAATTTTTAGAAAAATTAAAAATTATTTTGAGGATGTAAAACCTTAATTCAACTTTGGACTGGGCAATACTGTAGGCTTCGAGAACGCCATCCACGCTTTAAATAGAATTTTAATTTTTTTACAAACTTTTTAACACTTTTACCCTTTGCAACGAGGGTCATTCGTATCCAAATTCTTAAAAAATTTTTAAAAATAATTTTTTGGTAGAATTTACCAAGGGAAAATTGTAGTGGACTTTATCATCCACTGAAGGTATTCTAGCGCCAAACCCGTATGCATTAAATAACTAGAAAATTAAAATTGCTTCTACTGCTAAAATTGTTTTTATTACTTTGCTTCTACTATAATGCTGACAAATTTCTAAAATTGCGCCAATTGCCAATTCGTATTGATTCATACGATCGCGGCGATGGAGAGATGAGTGATCCTGCATAGGCAAATTTGATTTTGTAAAGTCTACCGACACAGTAAAATCTAGCTCGGTTCTAAAATCAAAACTTATTTTTGAAAGTTCTAGGGAATTGGTTAAACTCACCCTCCTCGAATAAAATCTAAGAAAGTATAATCATTCCATAAATGTATTCTGTGAAATTGTACTTGTCCAGAATCTACATATTTTTTGTGTTTTTTAAGTTTCTTTTCGTTGATCAACTAAAAAATTTTTAAAATTTTCTTTTAACTTTAAAGATTTGTTAAGATCGGAAGAGCTGTTTCGAAATTTTGATTTTCGAGGATCTTTTTGTTTCAAATCAGCCCTGTTTAATATTAAAAAATATTACGGGTAATTCCTTGTCTAGTCCACAAAGCAGTCTATTCACTGTAGTTTGACAAGCGCCAACCAAATCATGATTTCCGTCCTGATCCCAGTCGAAACACTCAATAAGGAAAGGTCTGTCTTTGTCTCCGTAACATAATTGTTGAGTTAATATTTCAAAAGGTTTCCATTTTGGATTTAAATTTTGTTCATGATACCTTGTTCTGAAGGCTAATTGAAGCCTAAAGAAAAATTTTATTGACTTCCAAAAAAATTTTCTTGGACAAACGTGTTATCAAAATTAATTCGGCTAATCTTCAAAAAAGGGTCGCACTTTCCCAAAAAATCTTTTCTGTCCAAGTTGTGACCGCTAACAACAAAATAGACAGATTCTTGCCTTCCTTCACTTAATTCTTCGGCTACTACAGTTAATATTCCGGCGAATTCTCCTTCTTCCCTTTAAATTCTGATTATTTTTAAATATTTATTTTAAGGGGTTTTTGATTAATTGGGGACTTTTTAAAAGGTTTTTTAAATTTTTTAATTTTTAAAAAAGGCGGAAGTTATATTTATTTTAAATTTAATCTTTGATCCATTCTTAATTTTTATTTTATGTTTTTTAATTTTTTATTTAAACACTAATTTCTTATTTTTTTGTATAGCTTTAATACACAATTTTGAATACCTCCATAATTTAATTCTTTAGAAAAAATTCTTTTATAATAAAATATTTTATAGAACCATTTAAAAATTCTATTTATGGAACATAATGGAGGGCTTAAATTTATTTTTTTTAATTTTTAAATTTAATTTTTTTGATTAAAAAATTTTTTTATAAGGGGAGAGGGGGGGTTAAATTTTTTCGAAATTTAATTTTTTAACTAAAAAAAATTAATTTTTCTTACATCAAATTCTTTGAAAGCCTATTCATATTAGCACTAACAAGTTCGTGTAATAGGATTGAGCATTGTCCTATACGTTTAGGGTAAAGCCGGCCAGCGGGGTTTAGGCCTTCTTTGTTTTTGTCGAAAACTTCAAAGTGAAGTCTCTGCTGTTCTTCAAAAAAATAGGTTAAACATATTTTTGTACTCCATTCTGGACAGTCTGTATTTCCAACAACTTCAGTCTGTCCAAGAAATTCCCATTGTCTATTCGGAGCACTGGAAGAATCACACACACTAACTCGACAATAAGGGTCAATACATTCATCTGGGTCCAAATCTCGGAGTTCTCTTTAAAAATAATTTTTTTCTTATGTTAAATTTAAACTAGAAACTTTGCTGTAATAGTCAGCATAACCCTCGAACAAAGTTCTTGTCGCCTAATTCCATCAGCAGGTCCAGGCGAATCTGCCCAATCCCCTCCTCTTAAAGGGGATGAATTCATCCCAGGAATGCCTGCAGTTGTTTCATAAAGTTGTTCAAAATTCTCCATAGTTTTAATTCTGTAAAGAGGGGGACGTCCAGAAAATGATTTTAAGCGATTAAAGGATGAAACTGATAATGAAGATTTTAATTGTTTTAATTGTTTTGTGGTTGGTTTTGGGGGTATTTTTTTACGAACGGACATTGAAAATTAATTTTTTTTAGTTGAATTTTAACAGAGAAAAATTTTTTGAGAGAGAAATAATTTTATAAACGGGATAAAGTTTTTTATTTTATGAAAAGGAATGGGAGAGGAAATGGGATAAAAAAATCTTGGAACGTGATCCTTTTATTTTTTGCTTTTTTCTTATTGTTTAGAGCTTTTGCGCAAATTAAATAGAGCTTTAAAATGTTTAGTTAATAGAGGAAAATAAAATGAGAGGAGGGGAACATAAAAACCTGGAAGGTGGATAATTGTAAAATCCTTGGAAGGGTTTAGGAAAAAATTGGGAAAGTTCGGAAAAATTGGAAAGGAAAAGGTTCAGGAAAAGTTGTGGAGGGTCAGAAAATAGGAGAGGTTAAGAAAGGTTTAGGGAAATAAAAAAAAGAATTTTTTGTGCCAAACAATTGTTAGAATAATAAAAATTTTATTGTTATAAGCGGCACTAGAAGCAATACATAAAAATATATTTTATGCTTGTGTGTGAGAGAAAAGTGCGGGTATAAGGTGAAACAAAGGTGAAAGGTAAAATTACACACATCCATTCAATAGCAATAATAATAAAATGAAAATAAAAGTGGTAAATAGGGAGGTGGATTTCTATTTTTTATCCATTTTTTGAGTTTGTTTGTTTATATATTTAGCCTAAATATTCAAAATTTAAATAAATTCACCACGTCATTTAGAGTAAGGTAACCAGCTTGTTTATTAAGCATTAAAGGAGTAGTAAGCAAATTTATAAAATAATCTTAAGAAAGGTTTTCGGACAGCAGAGATGGTCTGTCATCCGCATCCACCTTCAGCTTCCGTTTTTTTAACCCTCTCTGTTGAACACGGTAACCAGCTTGTTTTATATTAAGCATTAAAGGAGTATTTATTTAGAAAATAAAATAAGAGAGTCAACATTTTAATTAAATATTTAAAAGATTTTTAATTATTTAAAAGAAACAGTAAAAGATAATTTTCTAGCTTTATGAGAAAAATTGAGAAGGAAAAAATGTGTGTGTGTTGAGAGAGGAAAGGCTAATGGATATATAAAGGCATCCTTTTTTCTGTTTTTTACGAAGGAATACCTAATGGAAAAAAATAGATTTTATTTTTTTAATATGTAATTTGAATAAAGGGGAAGGGAGGAGAATGAAGATGTACATAAAGCACGCATTTGCTTTTTTAAAGGGAAGAAGACACTTTTACTTGGATTGACAACCGAAGAAGATATAATAATGGTGATGTCATTTTTAAGGGAAAATATGATAGAGATATATAAATTGAGACCTTTTATTAGGTTTTGGGGAATTGAAACATGTAAATAGGTTGGGGAATTGAAAAAAATTTTATTTAATAATAAAAAATATTATTAAAGTGTTGGTGAACTTAAAATTATATTATGGCAACTTAAAATTGTTTTTGCAATTTAGAATTTTTCTGTACTATTAAATTTGGGTTTCCCCCCTAATCCAAAAAGATAAAAAAAAATAATAAATTAGGGACAGTCTAGGGATAGCCCCAAAAATAAAAAATAAATTAGAGTTGATTATCCCCGCCCGACGATGGTTTTTAGGCTATTCCCCTATATCCCCGTTCTCTTAGATTGTTCTCCCAAAGAGGACCAACCCTATTTTAAGTTTATATTTCTACAATTCCTTCTTAAAAAATTTTTTTAAATTTATTTTAATAATCTGTTCAAAGTTTCAAAAGTTTTTTTGGCACTCCTTGTTGGTTAATCCCCCCACCTTCAATTTTTTATTGTTACTCTTTCGTCTATAAATAAGGGGAAATACTAATACAATTATTGGGATAAAATAAAGCTAAATTTGGGAATAAAACCCCCCAATATTTTTTTGCCAAAGAAATAATTAAATTGCTAAAAAATGCAAAGAAATTGGGAGGGAAAGAAATTGGTCTTGTTATGTAGAAATTTCGTGAGATATAAGCAAAGAAAAAATGAAAAGAAAAGGCTAGTGAATTAAATAAAAAATATAAAAAAGGGGGAGGAGGGGGATAATCCTTAGGGTGGAAAATTAAAGAAATATTAAATTAATATTAAAAGTTGCAGAAATTTTTTTAATAAAAAATTTTTTTTTCTCAAGTATAAGGTTGTTAAATAATACAGTAGTCGACATAAAGATAGGGACAAGAGTAATTTAAATGAAAATTAACTATTTTTCGGTCAAAAAATACGTTCTATATATCAATCGAAAGCTCTATTTGTATCTCAGTTGACATGTTTCTGCATTTTTCATGAAAATGAAAATTGGCCGAGATAATCCGGATCTACCGGATATACCAAATCCCATAGCCTCGGAAAAAATTTTCGGAAAAAATCTAACAAACCCATTTGATAAAGCATAGTTTTGTGAGTACTTAACAAAAAACCGCTTAGAAATACCTTTTTCCGGAACGGAGATATGATTTTTTGAAAATGGCATTTTTTGCTTAAAAATTCAATTTTTTGCAAAAATAGGCGAAAAATGCCATTTTCAAAAAATCATATCTCCGTTCCGGAAAAAGATATTTTTAAGCGGTTTTGTGGTAAGTACACACAAAAATATGCTTTATCAAATGGGTTTGTTAGATTTTTTCCGAAAATTTTTTCCGAGGCTATGGGATTTGTTATATCCGGTAGATCCGGATTATCTCGGCCAATTTTCAATTTCATGAAAAATGCAGAAACATGTCAATTGAGATACAAATAGAGCTTTCGATTGATATATAGAACGTATTTTTTGAATGAAAAATAGTTAATTTTCATTTAATTTACTCTTGTCCCTATCTTTATGTCGACGACTGTATATTAATGGAAAGATTAAAATTTCAAAAAAAAATTTTCTTTAATTTATAGTAGTTTTTTGTAATAAATAAAATAAATAATTAGAGATCTTTAAGTAACGCCTTGGGAAAATTCGGGATTTACTTGCCTATTTTTTAAGCAATGCTTTTCGAATTCGAATTTTAATATTGGGGTTTGTGGTCCTTGAAAAATTTCTTTAATTTATATTGTTCTATAAAACAATAAAATAAATAAAATATAAATTATTTTTGGAGAATTAACTTTTCTTCTTCCCCATTTTTCATTATTTTTTAAACTCTTGGGAATTTAAAAGAAAACCGAGAAAGGAGGAAAAGAATTGAAAAAAAAATAAAAACAAAAGGAAAAAATACTTTAAAAAGAAGTAAATATTTATTTATTTAAAAAAAATAAGCAAAAATAAATTAACTTTAAAAAGAAAATCACGATATTTACATAAATAAAAAACAAAAAAAAAGTAAATTAGCTAAAAGTTTTGTGCTTTTCCTTTTCCGTTTAATGAAGAAGAGAAGAGATTTAAATGTAAATTGACATTGGGGATATAAACAAATTGGATTTAACCTTTCTCTCAAATAAAAGAATTCCTTAGAAAAATAAAAAGGAATTTTATGGCAAAATAGAATCGAGGTGTTTTATGAATTTACAGCAAATTCTTTTGTTATTTTAATAGTTCAAGAAATGAAATAAATCTTGTTAAATAAGGATATGTTAAATATAAAGATTGTAAGGAAGGTGAACTAGCTAGATTGGGGAATTTAAGATTAATTCAAATAGAGAAGGTGAATGCAAGCAATCAGGTCCTCGATAGATCAGTTAGTAGAGCAACAGCATTTTACCTGGTGAACGAAAAAAAGCGCCTATGAATAATTGTCAAAAAGTGCCTGAATCTGCTTGGGGCGTTACTTTACCTCACTTTACTGCAATAAAATAAAAAAAAAATTTTTCTGAACAATTTATCAATTAAATAATAAAATATTAAAAATTAATCCATATAAGCTCTCTTTCCTCTTTTGTAAAAATATAAAAATAAATTTATTAATTGCCAAACTTGTGTAAAATTAAGCCGGAAATGTTGGCGAGATTGCTAAAGGCAACGACTGTGTTTCCTCCTCAAAAAATATTAAAAATTTATTTTTAAAAATATTTATATTTATTTTTAAAGCATTTTTCTGTCTGAATTTATTTATTTTACTAAAAATTAATTTTTTTTCCAATTTAAAAATTCCAAAAAAATTCAAAAAATATTTTTCCAAAGAAATGTCTTCTTCATATTGCTCCAATTTCTCCCAAAAAATATTAAAATTAATTAGTTTAATATTACTTTTTATTGGTATTTTAATTGTTAGTTTTATTTCCTGGCTTCGTTTTGATGAAATTTTTGAATTAAAATTGAGACAAATTTTAATATTTTCTGACCCGTCAATGGCCCCTCCAGAATTAATTGATACAAAATTAATTTTTCGACAAACAGTTTGGAATATTATTTTTCTATTTTTTAAATAATTTTTTAAATTTTTTAACAAGTATTTTGCTCTTTTTTGGATTTTTTTAATTTTTGGAATAATTCTTATTTTGGCTGGGTTATTTGGAATTTTGTCTATTTGCACCAAAAATAAGCCTTTTAATGGGTTACTTTGTATGTTGTTAATATTGCTTATATTTGTACAAGTATCAGCTTTATTTTTAGTTATGATATTTAAAGATAAAGTTAGTTTTTGTATTTTAAAAAATTATTAAGTTTGTGGGCCTCGTTTTAGATTTTTAATTTAGATAAGTTTATTACTAGGTTTGTGGCTTAAATTAAATGTGTGTATGATAATTATGAGTGTGGTGTAGTTGGTAGAGATGTTGACTCCATTTAATTTTCTGCTGAGGTTCGAACACATCCGTTGGTAATTATTTTCCGAATGTTGTTTTTTAACTTGTTTTCCTTCGTTTTTTAATTTTTAACTTTAAAAATTTTTTAAATTTAATCTTTGAATATTTTTAGATTTATACTCTTCTATCTGGCTATCTTTCAACTTCTTTAAAATACAAGTATTTTTTTAAATTTATTTAAAGAGAGATTAATTTAAATTTAGCTTGCAGGATGCTGTTGTGATACAAGAAAGGGTATTTTTATTTCTAAAAAATTTTTTTTAGTTCTAAAAATTATCTTAAAAATTAGAAAAAATTTTTAAGTCTACTAAAATTAATTTTTATTTAAAAAAAATAGTTTTCTTGTTGTGGAGATGATGATATTACAGCAACATATAATTATAGATGTATTGAATTTGGACAAGTAAATATTTTATTTTTTAATAAAATAAAAATTAATTTTTAAAGCCATCATGTCACCAACTTTTGTCAAAATATTTTAATTTAATTTTTCTTTCAATTGGAATATTTTTAACAATATTAATCTTTATTGAATTGATGGCTATAATTATTTGTGTTATACTTTTATGTAAAAGAGGAGATCAACAATGAAATGAGAAGAAAGGGGGAAATTTGATATTTTATAATATTTTTTAATCCGTTTTTGGTAATAATAAAACGAGAATGAAAAATGGGGGGAGTGTGCGCCGTAGAAAAAATATTTTTTGATTATTTTTCCGAGTTTAGATTTTTTGGTTAAAAAATTTTTTTATTTTAATTTAAAAATTGAAAAATAATATGGGATATTAAAAACATCCACCAAAAATATTATAGGGCATACACCCTTTTAGATAAGAATTGAAAATAAAAATTAAATTTTAGTGTGTGTTCAGATGACAACATTTCCTGCATTTTTTATTTACGTACATTTATTTTATTCTTTTTTTTGTTTGTTAAAAAATTTTTCTTCCAATAAATTAATTTAATTTATATTTTTTATCAGTACAATTATTTTAATTTTTGTCAGTTTTTAACTAAAATTTATATTTTTTTTATTTATTATTCATACAAAAATATTTTTTTAAAGCTTGCCGTTATTTGCAAAAATTCTCTAAAAATTATTTTTTTTTAAGAAGATTCACTCTCGCTTTTTAAATTTATTTTCCAAAAAGCATTTTTGGAAGATGCAGAAAAATCAATGTTTTTTAATTTTTCTAGTTGGAAGAATTTTTATATTTGTATTTATTTTTATTTTTTTCTTCTCGACTGGCAGAGCTTTAAAGCGAAAATATACACTAAGGCATTGTTTTTACATAATATATATTTTTCCTTTATTTATGTTGAGGGAGAAAATGTATTCTTTTTTTTAATTCTTTCTAATGCGCCAAGAAGTCTTAAATTTCTAAATTTCCTTCCATTTTCCTTAAATTCTTGAAAAAATTTTAATTGTTCCTTTATGTCTCGTTTTACCCCTTAACGACATTTTGTCTCGTTTTATCCTTATCGACGTTCTGTCTTTTTTTCTTGTAGACATTTTGTCGTATTTTATTCCTTTTGTATGTTTTGTCCAATCTTAACTTATCGGCATTTTGTCCACCTTCTTGATGACAATTTTAATTATTTCTTCTTTATGACATTTTGTATTTTTGATATTTCGTATATAATTAATTGAAAAGACGTCACATTTTATCCCATGTTTTCTCATGCAATACAGAGAAAAAGAAAAGTAAAATATTGTTATGCAATGTTTTTAGTTAAATGTTAGACACATAATCAATACTAATTAGAGAAATATAACAGAATATTTCTATACAACTTTTATCTGTTTCTTTTACTTTTAGTTGAGTTTTGAGAATCAATTTGCACTTGTCTATATCAAATATCCTTTTGAATTAATATTTTTACTTTTTTTTCTTCATCATTTAGTTAAAAAGAGTAATATAATCTGGATATTATAAATATATATCTATTTATTTGTTATGTAAGCAATCCTTTTTTTTAAAAAGAAAGAGTGTTTTGCGGCTTTTCCTTCTTATAACTTTACTTCGCTCCTATTGATTGTTGTCCCAAGGGATATTTACTTCTCTACTAGTAATTTCTTTGAGAATATGTTTCTGTCTTCTTTTTAAGAAAATTGAGTTTATTTATAAAGTATGTTTTTAAGTTTAATAATTTATTTCCTGAACTAAATTTTTTTCTTTTTTTTTTCAGTTAATTTTTTTATTTTTCTTATATGTTAAATAATTCTAAAAATAATAAAAATTTAAATAAAATGGAAGAAGTTGATGGATTTTGTTATGGTGGAGAAGTGATTGGACATGGAGCTTTTGCGGTGGTTTATAAAGGCAGACATAAAGAGGTTAGTTTTTCTTTATTTTTTTCTAGGGAAATTAGAGTTATTCAAAATTTTGGGGTTTTTCTGTTTGTTTTTTTGGTAGAGGTTCTGTATAGATTTAGTGGGGGTTATGGTCGTCTATGGCTCTAAATATGGATAAGCTGTAAGATAATCACTTTTTGCTAAAGTTTATAGCGATTTAAAATGTTATCGATTTAACCCTTCCAATGGCTTAGTGGTAGTGTGTCTGTCTAGCCTTATCCATAGGTAACCGGTTCGAACCCTTCCTGGGCTATTTATTTTTAGCGATTTTTCCTTATAGTTTTTCTTCATTTCTTTCATATTTTTTTATTTTTTACCTTTATTGATTTTTTAAATTAAATTTTTTAATCATCTTAGACAAACAAAGAAGTAGCAATAAAAGCAATTGCAAAGAAGAACTTGTCCAAAGCGAAGAATTTGCTCACAAAAGAAATAAAAATACTTCAGGAATTGAAAGGTCTTCAACATGAAAATTTAGTTTCACTTTTACGATGTGTGGAGACTCCAACACATGTTTATTTGGTTATGGAATATTGCAATCATGGAGATTTGGCTGAGTATTTATTTGGGAAACAAACGATAAATGAATTGACTATTCAACATTTTTTCTCTCAAATAGGTTTTTCTTTGAAAATTTAAAAAGAAAATTACGTATTTCCTCTATTCTTAAAAATTTTTAGCAAAAGCACTGGAGGCGTTAAACAAAAAAGCAATTGTACATAGAGACCTGAAGCCTCAAAATATTTTGTTATGCAATCCTCGTCATCCAAACAAACCACAACCTACTCAATTGATTGTTAAATTGGCGGATTTTGGTTTTGCTCGTTCCCTGCCTGAAGGTATTATGGCTGGAACTCTTTGTGGTTCTCCGATGTATATGGCGCCGGAAGTTATAATGTCACAGCAATATGGAGCTAAAGCTGATTTGTGGTCTATTGGAACGATTATTTATCAATGTTTAACTGGAAAGGCTCCTTTTTTGGTTTGGTTTTTGTAACTTTTAATTTGGGGAATATTAAACTAACACAACTACCTTCTCCGTTTGGGTTTTTTAAGTATTTAGAACCTACCTAAAATTTGTCTTAGTTTGAAATTTTTTTCGGGGTTTTCGGCCTACTTATCTTTACTGGTTGCTGAAATAATATTCCAAGTTATTCTCCTAACAGCATTTTAAATTAATTCAACATTCCATACTGTTAGGCACAAACACCTCAAGCATTAAAAAATTATTATGTGCGACATACAGATTTGAGACCAAATATTCCTGACTTTTGTTCTCCTCTTTTGGCTAATTTACTTTTGGGGTTATTAAAAAGAAATCCTGTTGATCGAATGGAATTTGGTTTGTTTGAAATTTTTTGTTTAACAATTTTTGTGTTTTTTAGATGCATTCTTTACCCATCCATTTTTTGTTAAAGAAATTAATATGGATGCAGGAGGTTCTCCATCTCGACATATTTCTAGACAATTATCTTCAGAAATTAATTCTTCTCCTGTTCATTATCCTAAAACAACAGGCAAAATTGTTGTAGGCCAACAACAACAGCAGCAAGGAGGTGGATATTTTACTGGAATGAAGCAACGAATAATTCCTTCTACAGACAGACATTTGGTAATCTTTTTTCCTTCTGAATTAGAGACACAGATCTCTAATATATATATAATTATTTTCTAATATATAATAATAATATTATAGCCACAAACAACTACAACAACCACAAAAACTACTACTTTTCAACCAAACACATCAATACGTAAACAAATTCCTCCTCCAAATAATCAAGACAGACAAGAATATTTACAAACAAAGACTAGTATTTTTAAGTGTTTTTTATTATATGTAATTTATATTTTTTAGCTCAACTAAACGAGTCTGGCGAATTTACATTTTTACCTCCATTGCAAGAAACTCGTCAGTCACATCAAAATCTTCAACATTCTGGAGGCTCTTCTACTTGTTCTTCTGATAATCCTGTTAAACAAGTTCAAGTATTTTTTAAAATTTTTATTTGAAATTATGAGGGGGCCTATTTCTGCAAATATTGACATTTTGGATATCTTTGAGTTTTTTGAACCGTTATGTTTTCTTTGTGGCCATAGATTCGACCTGACAATGAATAAATTAATCATATCAAAATTAGTCTAAATCTCCTATTATTTATAATTTATTTTTAAAGGTAAGCGCAACGAATATACGTCCAAAAATTTCATCAAATGTTCGTGCTGTTCCTGTGCCCAATCAAAGAAATGCTTTTGCAAAAATTGAAGAAAGGAAGAATGGCAAAAATATTAGCAGTAACAACAATTTGTATAATAATCAGACAACAGATCAACAACTTAAAAATATTAAAAATGAGAATGGTTTGTTTAATAGAGGAGAGAAAATGGCTGAATTGAAGGAACAAAAAATTACAAGAATTCCTTCTGTTGAGAAAATTGAAATTCCACAAAGTTCGTTTTCGATAATTTTTTTTCTGGGAACATTTTGTTTTTTGGGGGGTTTTAACTATCAATTATTATTAATAACAGAATTTTTTCTAGCTCGTTTTATCGTTTACAATCAACAACAGCAACAAACCCCAACAACAACATCAAAACCTTCAACAATAGAAACTTCAAAATTTCGTCGAAATAACACAACTAATGAAATTTTACAAGACAACAACAACCAAATAAATACAACAATAAATTCCCCTTGTTCAATTCCAAAATCAGCAACAACAAATACTTTACCTTTAACAACAACAACACCTTTAAATAATCAACAAAATTTACAAAATAATAATTTAAAAAATTCAACCAAATCTCCAATTCCTCCTCCAATTAAAGTTAAAGCATGTATGAAGGTTGTTAATGTTGGAAGAATGTCTGAAAGGTTTGATTGTTTTAAAAAGCGTTAAGATTAGAGCGGGAAATTGATGGTCTTTTTGGCCACAACTTTTTTTAAATTTTTTAACTGATTTTAATAATGCATTGACTTGATCAATCCTTTTGGAAAAATACTCCGAATATCCAGAGTTTTCGATCTTTATTTGATTAATCGAATCGGTTTAAAATTTAAAATGTTGTGGTTCAAAAATAGGTTCTCGGTACTGAGGTTGAGGTGTTTCTTACCTCCTAAAAATTTTTTAAATTTTTAGCGAAGATGAAGAGGAGGAGGAAGAAGAAGAGGAAGATGATGAATATATTCGTGATCAAGTTCAATTACCTTTTACTACAACAGAAGAATTTATGGGTTTGTTTTAAATTTTAGATAAGTTTTCTATTTTTATTTTTTAGACGAATCAACAATGATTGATGATGATGATGAAGAAGATAATAAAATGGCCAATAAAATTAAACCTTCAACATCTTCCTCGTTTAATTTAAATAAAACAATCACTAAAAATCATCAAGAAGAGGAGGAGGAAGATGATACTTTAGAGCCTCCACCACCACCCGAATTAGAACAAGAAACAATTTTGGATGAATGTCATAATCAAACATTGGCAAAATTACGTTTTGTATTAGAATTGATTGAAACAATATGTTCTGTTGCTGAAAATAAATCAAATCCAATTGCTATTGCTATGGAAAGTAGTAAACATAGATCGGTAAAGAATTTTTTTCTTTTTTTTTCTAGAGGGTTAGGGTATTTTTCAAATGCCTTTCTTCAGAAAAATACTCGACCCAAAAAACTCCAAAAACAATAGGCCAGATTTTTAAGGAGTTCTTTTCTGAACTCAACTTCTTTTTTGGATGCATGATTTAGTGGGTTTATTTCAACAAAACCCCAGGCCCCAATATAAACCTCATGATCAAGTTTTGGCAAATCTAGTCACAAAACAAGACTCAGCTCGTTCTCTTTTTAATTTAAAAAATTATTTTTAAGAGACAACCTTCTTCTGATGCATATCGTCGTGCTGAACAATTAGTTTTGTACATTCGTGCATTACATATACTTTCATCTGCTTTGGTTTTTTCACAAAAACAAAGTTTGTATTTCCAATTTTTTCAGATTAATTTTAATAATTTTTTAGTAAATGCAGAAAAACTACATCCATCACCTGCAGTTCAAAATGTTTTGAATCAATTGAACGAAAAATATCATCATGTATTTTTTAAATCCTTTTTTAATTCATTTTTGTATTTTAAGTGTTTGACAAGGTCTCAAATGCTTGCTTCACATGGTATTCCTGGACAGGATCCGCAAATGATGGTTGTTTCTGCTGAACGTTAGTTCTTTAAATTCTTTAAACGTCGATTTGATCTGGGTCTGGGACAAGGTTTTTCCTGTCTTTGGCTTGGTGTTTTTTTAAACTTCCTCAATTTTTCTTGTATTCCCGGTTGTAGTTTCATGGCTCAAGTCGATGAATTCAAAAATTAGTTCAGCCTCTAGACTTTTAATATCCTCTATCTGCATTTAAGATCCTTTCTTAAAATCTCTGTTATTTCAAAGGTTTAATGTATCAACACGCGATTGAATTGTGTCAATCTGCTGCTTTGGATGAACTTTTTGGTAAACCACAGCTTTGTCCAAAGCGTTACCAAATGGCTTATATGATGTTACATACTTTGTTATATACGGTTTTTTTTAATTTTTAAGAACTTAAAAAAATTTTTTGAAGGTTCAAGATGAACAGGACAAAGCAATTTTACAAAAATATAAAAATGCAGTAGAAAAACGTCTTCGTATATTAGAAAAGCAAGGTTTAGTTACTTCTGTAATTAATGATAAAACGATTTTGAGGGATTAAGTTTTTCTTACAAATTCCCCGAAAACGGGTTTTCTATATTTTTTCTTGCTCCCTTCTTTAATTATTTTGTAATCCCATATATTTGATAGACAAAAATAAAAGAGTTTTTAAGTCAAATCTTTAATTTAAAAAAAAATACCTTTAGTCCCCAATATAAAAATTCGATTTGTTTCTCGAAAGAAATCTTGGGCCTTTTAAAATTCCTTGGCATTTAATTCTGTCGAAAATTATTTCCTGCTGTACTTTAAGAAAAAAATTTGGGAAAATCAAAACACCCAGACCAAGAGTTCAGGAAGAATCCCAGCTCGGACATACTTGGTCAGAATCTTTTAATTTAAGGAGAAATAAAGATTTGACTTAAAAAAGAATTTTTAAAACACTCCACGTCTACAAAAAAATAACTTTTAAGTACACAGACTTTTATGTATATATTCTTTAATCAAAAAATTTTTTCGGCTTTATCTTTAATTTTTTATACTTTATTTTTTTGGTGCTAATTGTATATAATTTAAATTTTTGGTATTAAAAAGGATAGTGTCTAATAAATTCTTTTTCATTTGGATTATGCCAAGATTTTATGTCCTTTTTAACTGTATAGTATTAACTACGACTTGTGCCATGTATTTTTCTTTGTTTGAATAAATTAGTTATATAAATTGTGTTTTGAATTTTGTAAACTTCGAGGAAGGATTTTCCAATTTGGATTTGAAATTTCGCTTAAATTTGGCGTGAAACATGTAAAACAATTACTAAATAACGACCTCAAAGTTAGAGAAATGATAAAAAAGAAATAGTATAGTTAGAGAAAAAAATAAAAATGTCATTGAGGACAGTTGAGTACTAGCTTAGTAAAAAAATCGATACTAATCGATAAAATCAATACTAATCGATAATTTATTTTTCAAAAATTTTAAATTTTCAAAAAATCGATACCAATCGATAAAATCAATACTAATCGATAATTTATTTTTCAAAAATTTTAAATTTTCAAAAAATCGATACTAATCGATAAAATCAATACTAATCGATAATTTATTTTTTAAAAATTTTAATTTTTCAAAAAATCGATACTAATCGATAAAATCAATACTAATCGATAATTTATTTTTTAAAAATTTTAATTTTTCAAAAAATCGATACTAATCGATAAAATCAATACTAATCGATAATTTATTTTTCAAAAATTTTAAATTTTCAAAAAATCAATACTAATCGATATATCGATTTTTCAAAAATTTTTAGTTTTCAAAAAATCGATACTAATCGATAAAATCAATACTAATCGATATATCGATTTTTTAAACAAATTAAATTTAAATCTCGAACTATACAAACAAAAACTGATTATTGACGAGTATTTATATTTATTCAAACATAAAATTTGTCTAAAAACAAGCAAAACTTGATACAGCCGAACATGGAGTCTTCATTTTATTTCTTTGATAAGTCTTATTATTTGTAAAACGGATATCATTTCGACTGTATTCGATTAAACAAGAAACTTTTTTAAAAAACTATGTTTTCGTCTCCTTCGTCCCCAAATCCAATTTTGATATTTGAGCCAGTGCCTGCTTCTTTTGTAATTCCATTGCTTCTTTGTTGCTCAGCAATCGAATATTGTGTTTGTCTTTGTAGGCATTCAATTCTTGTCCATGTTTGACCATCTGTTGTTCAAGCTCGTCCATACGTTCTTTGAACTGAAAAAATCGTTTAAATGCCTGATCATGTTAGTTGTAAACCCCAAGTGTGGAAATCCTTCAGAGAAAAGGAGAATTGATTATCCCATCTCGAAAATAAAAAAGATCCGAAATTGATACTAGCCAGGCAAGGACCAACGATTATTTACTATTTTCCCCCGAATTTTAGAGAGGTTTGTTCCGTTTTGATCAAAAAATCATTCCGATTGTTCCAGAAATGCTTGTAGAGGGTATCGAACCGTTTATGAAGAAAATATATCTAAAAATAAAAACAATGACCCAGGAAGGAATCGAACCTTAGTCGACTGTAAAAGTCAATCCAGTACACTACCAACTAAGCCAAAGACAACTCTTAGAAGTTGTGCATTTTAACTTGGGTTATACTTTACAGAAAACATCTAGCTAACTAAAAAGAACACAAATTCCAACCCCAAAGTTAAAATAAAATAAAAAAACCTTTTTCATCGTCTCGGCCAAAATGATGACCAGTTCAGATGCTTTAAATTCAATTAAGGTGTCTCCAACTTGCCGAAAACATTTCCTGTCCGGTTCCAATGTTTGCATAGTCTTCAGAACTGTTCTAAAAGTTTTCTTGATTAATAAAATTGTCCAAAAAATTCAAAAATATACGCGTGTTCCCGATGCTCAACTCGCAATTTTGCCAATTCATTCATTACATTTTGTTGTTGATCTCTCAATTTTTGATAACCATCAATTATTTTTTGTTGTTCTTTTTCGCTAATTGGAGTTGACGATGAAGAAGCTTGTGTTGTTGTTGTTGTAGTCATTTTTTATTTAATTTATAGATTAAATTTAACTAAAAATAAATAATGATTAAACTAATTAAATGAAAAAGGCAACCAAAAACAAGGAAAAAATAAAAAAAAACTGTCTAATTTGTTAAAGAGATGGAAACTCTCTTATTTTGCAACACTCTCTCATTTTAAGCATCTCTAGTTCATGCACCATGCTTTAGAGAATAAAAGAATAATAAAAATATCAAAAATTCAAAATATATAACAGAAAAAACAGGACAAAACGCCCATAAGTGTTAAATATGACAAATTGCCAACAAGGGAATGATAAAACGCCGATAAGGAGAAAATAAACAAAATACCGATAAGGGGAAAACTAGACAAAATGCCTATATGGGAAAAGTAGACAAAATATCGATAAGGGGAAATTGTACAAAATATCGCTAAGGTGAAATATGGACATAATATAGATAAGGGTAAAATTGGACAAAATGCCTAATAAGGGAGAATCGACAAAGGGACAAAAATGCGAAACCGACAAAATGGTTCCTTTAGGGAAAAATGGACAAAATACAAAAATAGAATAAAATACGAAATAAAATTGGACAAACGATCCAATGATACTAAAATGCAATAAAATTTAAATATTTATTAGACAAATAAAATTTTAAAATAATAAATAAAAATTTAATTAAAATTTAAATCTCTTCTTTTTCCAATTTCAAATATTTGAAAGCATAAAAGCCACAATTAAAGGAAGAAAAACTAAAAAATAAAAATTCTTAAAAATATTTTTCTTACCTTTACTAAAATAAATTAAAGAAATTTTTCCAAAATTCCAAAAACTTGAATTACACAAATCTTCATTATCACATTCATAACATTTACAGGAGTGTTTGTAAAAACTTGGACTCATTCCCCAAACATCTCTAACTCCTGCACAAGTTCCACAAGACTTCCAAACAACTTAAAAATATTTTTTGATAAATTTTTTAAAAGAGCAGGAGTTATTTATAGTGTTTGTAGCGATCTAGAGGCTATATTTTTGGGCCATAACTTTTTAGATTATTAACCGAATTAAATAATTAATATATCAATCAACAGATCCTCTAGAGGATTGTTGAAAAATAAACCGACGGTCGCACTGTTGCATCCTATTAAAAGATAAGCCAAAAAATATCGAAAATTTTTATTTGACTGTATCTTTTTCAGTCTATATTTAATTGAAATAATTTTGTCTAAAATTAAAAAAAACTCACAAGATCCATAAGTATCCGTATAGCAAACAATATTTAAACATTTTCGCTTTTCATATTCCACAGTATCATTGCACCAAAGGGGTTCAATGGGTGGAGGGCGATTTGTTTTATTTAAAGGATTTGAGCCTACCAAACATCTCAAAGATTGGGAATTTTGTTGTTTATTTTCTATTAATTGTTGTGTTGGTTTTGGAGTTGTTTTTAGTGTTGTTTTGGCTAAAGTTCCATTTATTTCCCAATTTAATGTTGTTCCGTTCAATCCCTCGTCTGTTCCGTTTGTTTTATTTAAAAATAGCATTGTTGTGGCTGTCGAATTTTCATTTTCATCAATCTCTAGCGTAGTAGAATTTACTAAAAAATTTAAATTAAAAAAGGAGTACTTTTTGATTTTTTAAAATTAAAATAGGAAAAAATATTTTAACCAAAAAAATAGAGTTGAACATTTTTAAATTGCTGGGTTGCTTTTCATATACAGGGTTTTTTCCTCAACAGACCCGGGCCGGGTTTTTAGAGCTAACCCAACAGCCCACGGAAAATCCGGTGCAGGCGTCTAACTCAATTAAATAAAAACAATCCTTTTACCCTCATCTTCAAAGTAGATCGTCGTCTCATTATCAGCTATAATTGTAGTAGCCGAGATAATTGAAATCCACAAGAGAATAAGCCACATTCCTCTAGAAAAAATAAATTTAATTGGTTTTAGATATTTAATTAAATTAAAAATCTAAAAATAAATTTAAAAACAAAAAATACCATTTTAGAAAATGATTATAATCTAGCCTTCTAATTTTGCCATATAAAAACATCAAAAGCCTTTTTTGTATAGAAAAAAAAAACTAAAAAAAATTAAAATAAAAAAGGGTGAATGAATCATTTAATATTTTAACAAAATAAAAAATTTTTTTTAAATCAAATATTTAAAAATCCAAAAGTTTAAGGGGCTATAATTCTGAAATTTGGGGGATATTTCATTAAACACTAAATTTACTAAAAAGGACAGACTATATTCTTAACATACTTAGTTAAGAATATACAGACTATATTCTTAACAGATACAGACTATATTCTTAACATACTTAGCTTTTTTTGGTTAAGTTGGATATGTACAGTTTTCAGTTATTAAAGGTCGCAGGTTCGAATCCCACTCTTAGTCAAAATAAATTAAACATTAAATTATTTAATTTTTATCAAAAAAATTCTTTTAATTTTAAGAAAATAAAAAGCATACCAAAATTGTAATAAAAAAGCATAATTGAAAAAATGAATAAAATATATAATAGAATAATAATTTACATTAAGCATCTTCTAAAAAATTAATTTTTAAAAAAAGAAAAAATATAAAAATAAAAGTGTATTAAAACATTTTAATAGACAAAATCTGAAAGACTTTTTTATTAAAAAATAAAATTTATAAGAGAAAAAAAGTATAGGTAAATTAATTAAATAAACTTTAAATCATTTTAAGTGTCTCTAAAGTTGAGTCTTTCCTTGGTGACAATTTTTATTTAAGTTATTAATTTATTTTTTGTCTAAAATAAATTTTTTTTGACTCAACTAACATTCAAAAAAAAACAAAATTTAATTTAAATTCTCAACTAGAAATTGTTGAAACTTTTTTAATATTATTATTATTCAATTGATTTGAACAATTATTTTCTCCAAATATTGTTGTTGCTGTTGATTGTTGTGGGGGTAGTATATTATTTAATGGAACAATTTGTTGATGTTGTTGCTATAAAAATTTTAAAAATTAATTTTTTAATGATTTTTTGCTAATTTTTTTCAGAAAAATTAATTTATTTAAATTTATTTTTATAAGAAAAAATACCTACCTTTGTCCCATTAGACGAATTAAATTTTTGCTTAGAAGGAGAAATTGTTGTTGTTGTTGCCTTTTTATTTTTTGTTGGTGTATTCCCATTTAATTGTTGGTGGTTTGTAATTGTTGGAAATAAATTTTGTTGTTGTTGTGAAGGAGGAAGAAGAGAAAGTTGTTGTTGTTCTGAAGAAAAAGGAGGAATTCCTCCACCTCCACCACTTCCACCACCAACACTTGCAATCATTCCCATAGCACACAACATTTGTTGCATTACACGAATCTAAAAAATAAAAAATATTTTTTAAGAATATTTTTTAATTAAATTTTACCTGTTGAGGACTTAATTGTTGTTGCTGTTCATATGTTTGTTGAGGAATTTGTTGTTGATTTCGCTGTCTATTTTGTTGTTGCTGTTGATATTGTTGAAATTGTTGAAACATATTTTGCATATAACTTATTTGAGCATATTGTTGTTGTTGTTGCTGTTGTTGTTGATGGGTAGTATTTGCAGCAACAAAAGCTTCAAAAGCAGAAAAATTGTTTAAATGATTATTATTGTTGAAAAATATTTGTTGCTGTTGCTGAGGTGTTTGAAATTGTTGTGCTGGTGGTGGTTGTTGTTGTGTTTCAGATACTGTTTGAACTTGTTGTTGTTCTTGTTGCTTTTTATTTGGTTTAGACCGATTATATGTTCTTGTTTTTGTAGTTTTATTTTCAGAGGTATTTTTGTTGTTAGTTTTTGTATTGCTGCTAGTTGTTATTGTTGTTGTTGTTTCCGCCTTAGAGGTAGCACTAGGAAGGTTGACAACCGGAGGTATTTGTTGTTGAACAGATTGTGTCTGGAAAAAATTAATTTATTTTTAAAATTGGAAAAAATAATAAACTTTTAATAAAAAATTTTATTTTCTTACTTCAATCAATATACGCGGACTTTTCCCTTCACCGGCAGGAGTCTTTTGTTGTTGACCACCACCACTACCCCCAGCAGTTAAATTTGCTCTTATTTCATTTGTAGGATTTGTTGTTGTTTGTTCACAGTTATTATTTCCTCCATCAATTTTAATAGATTTTTCTTGTTGTTTTTGTACCTTTTTAGGTCTAATATTTGGCGAGGATGAAGAAAAATTTCGTTGACGTTTTTTGACATTTGTTCCATTATTTGTTGGTGGTGGAGAAATTAAAGAAGTTACCGGACGTAGAGGAGAAACACCAGCAGTTGAAAGTCTTGCAATTGTTGTTTTTGTAGAATTTGGAGGTGATTGTGTTGATGAACGAATAATATTTTTTGATAAATTTATTTTTGTTGTTGTTTGATTTTGTTGTTGTTGATGTTGAGAAGAAGATTGATGAAAAGAAGAAGCTGAAATTGAGGAGGATTGTGAAGAAGTAATACCAACAGAAGGAGGTGAAAGCAAAGATAATGAAGCTGCTGTTTTGTAAAAAAAATATTTTAGTGCAAAATATAAATATAAAAATATAAAAATCAAATAACTCCAACCCTCTAGCACCCAAAACCTCTAAATACTAAATCACTTTCAACTGAGCCATGGCATCTGTTCACTTACATAAACTGAGCTAAAATAGCTTCACCTAAAACTCTAAAATTTTTCAAAACTCCCTAATTCATAAAACTTTTAATTTATAATCAAGAAAAAAAGGTAATAATTAACAAAAACGAGGAAAATGAAAATTAAAAAATATTAAAAAGAAGTCCCAAAAATATCTAATCCCTTTTTCTTAATTTATATTTTTCTTCTAATTTCTTAAAAACTTATTTCCCTTCAAAAATCTTTCAAACATTTTAGCTTTATAACTTTAATAAAAAAAACTTCAATTTTATAAAATATATTGGCGTCATTCAATTTACACTTTTTTTCAGACAAAATACAAAAAATATACATACATTTTCAAAAATACTTTTATTTCCCACAAATTGTTTACTTTAAAAAATTTTTTGTAGTTAATTAATTTAAATTATTTTTGAATGATAAACAACACCAATGTCCTTAAAAATATTTTTTTAATTAAAGTTATAAAGCTGAGATTGAAACCGGTTTTTTTTAATTATATAAACTTTGCTCATTCATTCTCCTTTTTTTTTATTTTTAATTTTGATATTTTTTCATCAATTTATTTTTCCCTCTCAATCATTTTTTTTCTCCTCACCGGTTTTTTGAACGGCATCATCTCCTTCACCTCCAATATTATTTTTTCCTTCATTTATCCCAACAGATTTTTCTTTTATTAATTTTTCTTCTTTTTCAATTTTTTCTTGTACTTGTTTTGGAATTTCATTCAAATTATTTTGACATTTTATTGTTGTTGTTGTAATTATTGGTGATACTTGTTGTTGAGGTAATTCCATTGGACCACTTTCCAAATCTAACTGTGGCATATCTTCATAAGCTGGTTGACGATTTTCATCTTCTTTTGGGGGTAATTGAGCTAATGTAAAATTTAATCGAAGAGGTGATTTTCTTGACCAACTAAATAATTGAACGACATCCTGAAAAAACAAAAAAAAACTTATATTAAAAAATTCAACAAAAATTTTAAAAATAACCTCCAAACTAAAATCATCTTCCAAAACAAATTTCAATTTTGGATCAACAAAATAAACTCCATAAAAATTAGACATTGCCAATTTAGATTCTAGTAATCGTTTTAATTGTTCAATTTTAACTTTTGCAGAACAACGAAAATAACGACAAAAAGAATATTGTTTTTGTTGTCGTTCTATTGCTGTTGTTGTTGTTCTCTCACAAATATTTTGAGGAGGAAGAGAGGAAGAACTGCTGCTGGGTATTTGTTGTTGTTGATCTATTAATATAATTTGTTCTTCACCAAGAATTTGTTGATTATCCTCATTTTCTCCCCCCTTATGATTTTCTGTTGCAGCAATTTTTCCAGATAAAGACACTAAAGAATCATCCCCACTAGCAGCCAAAACTTTTGTTAAAGGAACATATTCAATTTGAAGTGAAATATTTTCGTTTGGAGAACATAATTGAGTTGATAATTGAAGCAACATTCGCCTTTGCTGAATTCGTCTTTCAGAGGGTAAAGCTGTAGTAGTAGATGAACCATTATTTGAATCACGCGAAGAACGATGTTGTCGGCGTGCTACACGACGTAATTGACGCCAAAAAAGATCTGGGACTAATTTGTAGACCTTGAAAAAATTTTCAAAAATATTTTCGCAAAATAAAAGCAAAAATACCAATTCCTGCAGTCTCAAATCCCTTTTGTAAATATGTTCATTCCCAAGTTCAATTTTACATTTTGGACATTTTCTTGAATCAGGACCAGCCGAAGATAAATGTTGCAATAAACAAGAACGACAAACTTTGAAAAAAAATAATTTTTAATTAAAAAAATTTTTTATTACAAAAATGAAGGCATCCAGTAAGTGTAACAGCATCCGACAAATAATCTTGACAAAGAGAGCAGGTAATATGTTCTTCTAATCCTAAAGCTTTAGCCTGTTCTCGGCTATTCATTTTGTTGTTGTTGTAAATAAATATATAAAAAACTGAAAAAAAATAATGTTTTAAGATTTGAAAAAAATTTTTCAAAAAACAATTTAGAAAAAAAAAGAAAAAATTTCCGAAAGAATATTTAAAAAAACAGGTATTAAAATTTTAAAAAAATTACTGAAATCCTTTTTAAAATTTAAAATTAAACCAACGATGTACAGTAATATCTCAAAATTACTGTAAAATATAAAAATAAAATGTTTTTGGATATATTCAAAATTATTAAAAATAAAAATAAACTCTACACAGTATCAAGAAAAAAAATTTAAAAAAAAATAAAAGGAATTACGAGATGTAAGGACCAGCGGAGAGCGACGACCATCGATCGG